TCTCCGGATCGAGCGCGAGCGCTCGGAATAACCCCCCTGAGAAACCTTTGATCTCTTCGTCCGCGGACGCGCCCATGAGCGCGGCGAGTCGACGGACGGCGTCGCCGCGCTCCGCGAGTCGCGCGCGCAGCGCCCGGCGTCGCGGCGTCGCGCACGCGAGACCGACTAAACCGCGCACCGTCACCTCATCCTCCTCCGCGAGCGTCGCGTCGATGAATACCTCAAACGCCCCGGCGCGGATCAAATCATCGAACGCGTCGTCGTCCTCGGCGCACCCGCGCGCGAGATTCACGACGAGATCCGCGCCGCCGACGCGCGTCATGAAATCCATCGCCGACCCCCCCGTCGCGCGCGCGCACGCCATCGCGAACGGCACGCACCGTCCATCGCCCACGACCGCGTCGAACCCCCGTCGGTCGCCCTCGCGTTGGACGAAGCGAAAGAAATCCAACGCGTTCACGCGCGCGACGTCCGCGCCCTCCGCCTGGCCGTCGCCCTCGATCGCGATCGTCGCGCACGCCCCGACGCCGTCGAGCGCCAACGCCCGCGATCGGGCGTCGTCCACCGTGGCGCACAGCGCGCTCATCGCCGCTAACGTCGCGGCGTGACATCGCATCGTGCGCGATCGGTCACCGAGGGCGTGGATTAAATCATCCATCACCACCGCGAACGCGCTCGGTAACCGCACGCGCATCGCGAGCGCGCCGAGCGCGGACGCCGCCGCGGTGATCGTCGCGTCGTCGCCCGATCGGAGCTCGCGCGTGAGGTCGTCCACGGTGATCGGGAGCGACGACGCGGCCGATGGCATGAGTGCTCGATTCGCGATGGGATGTGACGGCCGCGACGCCGCGCTCGGGCACCGCACGCCTCGACGCGCGGGCGAGCGGACGCGTTGGATGAATCACTACGACGTCCTGGGCGTGGAGCCGACGGCGAGCGCGAGGACGATCGCGAGGGCGCATCGAGCGATCGCGCTGGAGACGCACCCGGATAAAGTGTCCAACGGGACGGATGGAGAGAAAGCGGCGGCGCGGGCGCGGTTCGACGCGGCGCAGCGCGCGTACGAGACGCTGAGAGATGATGCGCGGCGGATGGCGTACGATTCGGAGATGGAGGTGAACGGAGGACGACGGGACGACGTGATGATGAACGTGACGTTCGCGGAGAGCGCGCGGGGCGGGACGAAATTAGCCGTGGTGCCGTTTAAGATGACGTGTGAACGGTGCGATGGACGTGGACGGATCGACGGTGCGAAAGGGGAGGAGGGGGATGAAGGGGTGTGCGGGAAGTGTCGCGGGGACGGGGTGATGGATGCGTATTATCACGGACGCGTGTACGTGCCGCGAGGCGTGGCGCACGGCGCGCGATTACCGATCGTCGGTCGGTCGCAGAGCGTCCGAGTGCGGATTTTGCCGAGCAAACAGTTCACCAGGGATGGGATGCACGTCAAATCGACGCTTCGTTTGAGCGCGGAGCAGGCGCGAGAGGGTGGGTTCTTCGACGTCGAGACGGTGTACGGGACGGAGACGGTGTACTTTGATGAGGAAACGAAGCACGGGGACACGAAGACGCTGCGCGGCAAGGGACTGGAGCAGGGGAAGAAATTAGGTGATCACATCGTGGTCGTCCAAGTCGAACGCGAGCGCGCGCCCGAGGATGAAGGAGAGCCATCCGAGGATGAGGACGACGAATCGGACGCGAAGAAGCGAAAACAGGACGACGAGGACGACGAATCGGACGCGAAGAAGCGAAAACAGGACGACGAGGACGACGAGGACGATGTGAACGACGCCAAACAGGAAGTGGAAGGAGATGAAGATGATGCGAAGGAAGATCCTTCGAACGCGGCGCCGGACGCGGCGGACCTCGAGCGCCTGCTCGCCGAGAAGAAAGCCAAACTCTTGGCCCAGCTCGACGCCGCGGGCGCCAAGTGAGCGCACCCGCATCGACGCATGTATTAAAACGTAGCAACTAGACGTGATCGGTGACCACTCTGAGCACTCACATCGTTCCTCGCCATCCGCGCGACGCGCCTAAAATAGCTCTCGCGCGCCTCCGCGCCGCACACCATGACGCGCGCGCTCGCCCCCGCCCCACCGCTCGCGCGCGCGCGAACGCGTGCGCAAGGTCCTCGACCATCGACTCGACCCTTCAGCGCGTCGGTGCGCGCCGAGAGCGAGACGCACGGTCGGCGTCCCGACGCTCGAGCCCACGTTCAGCAAAATCTCATCCAGCGACGCTCCGTCGTCTCTCGGGCGTCGATCGCGAACGACGTCGCGGTGAACGATGCAAATGATCGCTTCGGACGTCCGCGCGCGCGGGCGCCCGCTCAAGCGCCGCCGATCGTGGTTTTGGGTGGTTTCGGCAACGCGGCGAGCGACTACGAAGACGCGCTCGGGAGCGACGACGCGTCGTTGGTGAAATCGCTCAAAGAGCGCGGATTCGCGGTGCACGTCGCTCGATTGGAGCGAAAAGATTGGGCGATCGGGATCTTACGAGGAATCTTCACCAAGGGGTTTTGGTTGAACGCGTGCACGACGCGCGAGAGTTACGGGTGGTATTTAGAGCGCGTGCACGAGGCGGTCGAGGAGGCACTCGAGGCGAATCCGGAGGCGACGAAGGTGGATTTAGTCGCACACTCTGCCGGTGGATGGCTCGCGCGTGCGTTCATCGGCGGCGCTCGAGCGCTGAACGCGAGCGAGGCGGAGTGTTCGGGAGAGGCGCTGGAGCGGGACGCGCGCGTGCGAAGACTGGTGTGTCTGGGGACGCCGCACGCGCAGGATGCGAAATCCGATCCCACGCGCGGGGCGTCGAAGTGGGTGAATGACACCTGGCCCGGGGCGTACTTTGCGCCCGAAGTCCGCTACGTGTGCGTCACGGGACGCGCGGTGACCGGGGACGTCACGGCTGAGCCGAAAACGGTGCGCAAATACGCCGCCGGTTCCTACGCCGTCGTCGCCGGTGGAGACGGGAACGGCGTCGAGGGCGACGCTGTGGTCCCCAATAGCGCCGCGCTCGCGTTAGAGGGCGCCGAGACGGTGGTCATCGACGGATGCTGGCACTCAATGTCGACCGTCGGCACCTTTGACGAAGCGTCCAAGTTTCCTTGGTACGGCTCGGACGACGTCGTCGACGAGTGGCTCACCGCGCTCTGCGACTGAGCACGCATAGGTATCGCACTTGCATCGTCATCATCGCGGTGCATCGATGTATTCGCACCCACACGCTTTCGCCTCGTCCGCTTCGCCCGGCTTCGCCTCCGCCGTCTTCAGTGCGCGACTCGCACTCGCGCCGCGCGCGATGCCTCGTCCGTCTCCCGTCGACCCATCGTCGTCCTCGGTCGACGATGACCCACTCGGTGCCTTCGACGTCGGCGAGCTGCGCATTCGAAAGCCCCCGCCCGCGTGGACGACCGCGGCGATCGTGTCCAGCGTCTTGGCCTGGGGCGGTCTCGCCGTGCACAACCTCCGCGCGCTTCCAAGGTTCGATGGCGTCCCCCCCGTGAGCTTCGACCGGGTCAGGGCGAGCGCGAAGTTTATTCCGAGGTGCGTGAACGCTCGAGAGGGCGTTGAAAGCGATGGGACGGCGTGAAAGACGCGCACGCGTCGCGGCGAGAAGCGTTTAGTGTTGAGCGCGCGACTGACCGAGCGGACGCGCGATCGGACGACGCAGATCGGCCCTGTTCGCGCTTCGCGTGGGAACGTTTTTATTTGGGATCTTCTTCGTCGGATATCACATGATTTACGAGGAGCGAAAGAAGCACACGGACGGGATGGAGTACCTGAGCGATTGGACGATTTTGTTGCTCTTCGCGACGGAGGGCGCGTTGGGGCTTAGCATGTATAGGAAGGAGCGAGAAGAGGGAGATTTGAATGGTTTAGCGAACGCGCTGACGATTGCGTACGCGACGACGTGGACGATGAATTTAGTAGCGAGCGCGGGGGCGTGGTTTTCGTTCTTTGCGTATCCAATGTGCGCCACGCTCGAGGGCGTGGACGACTACCCGAAGTGTTACCTGGAGTGGTACCGGCTGACCGAGCACGCGGCGAACATCGTGGTGTTGTTTTTAGAGTTCTTGTGCGGGGCGATGCCGATACGGCGACGCGATTTCGGGTGGCCCATCCTGTTCATGGAGGCGTACGTCTTATTCAGTTGGTTTTCCTTTTGGCGTAGCGGCAAAGTCGTGTACGACATGTTCGCCTTCTCCAAAGGTTTAGAGTCCTTAGCCTGGCACAACGGCGCCTTCCTGGGCACCACCGCCGCATTCTTCATCGCCCTCAGGCTCCATCAGCGTAAGGGCTACCGCACCGCACCGGGCGTTCGCGCCGCCGGGCCCTTCATCGTCGCCCGCGTCGACGGCGAAGGCGCGGGCGAAGCCGACCCCCTCGTCGATCGCCCCAAAACGTGATCCCGCTCGCGCGCGACGTGTAAGATTAGCTAGCGATCCATCTCAAATCTCTCGACTCGTCAATCACCGCCTCGACCGTCCCGCGTCGCTCCGCCCGCGTCCGCGGCGAAGATCACCACATCCACCGTTCACGACCCAGCACCCGAGGACCCCACGCGCCCGAACCCCACGACGGCACTTCGCGTCGCTATGCTCGCCCACGCGACGCGCCGAGCGACGTCCCGACTCGCGCGATGCGCGCGACAAAACGTCCAGCGTCGATCGATGTCCGGCGGCGCGTCGATCGAGGAAGAAATCGGTGCGTCGAGGCGCGATCTTCGATGATTCGCGCGCGCGCGCGGTGGTCGCGAGACGGGCGAATTCGTTTGATTTCGACCGTTTTAAGAGCTTTGCGACTGACCGGAGGATCGACACGTCGGACGACGCAGCGGAGATGAATAAATGGCGATCGGTGAGCATGCTCGCCGTCCCGGCGTGCGCGGGATTCGGGGTGTACACCCTGGCGAACGTCGAGCACACGCACAACGAGCACCCGAAGTACTCATACTTGAGAATCAGAAACCGAGAGCAATTCCCGTGGGGGGGAGATCTCGGGTTGTTCGAGTACCCGTCCAAGGAGCACTAGGGAGATCGGTGACGACGACGCGGGATTGTAATCTAGGTGAACACATGAATCGTGAGACGCGAGAGACGCTCGAGGCCAAGACGCGAAAAATCAAAACAACCTATGGTATCATTGCAATCCTCGAACATCTCGGACGACGGCGGAGGGAGAATCAGATAATAAGAAATCGCCGCTCGCGCGCGCGCCGTGGAGGGGACGACGGACGACGTCTTCTCGCTCACTTGAGCTTTTTGTTTTCGGCGGCGAGTATGGCAACCTCCTTGGCGTACTCGATTTCCGAACGCTTGATGCCCTTCTTCATCATGTCGAACGTCGTGAGCTGAATGGACTTGTTCGGCATGTTTTTCATCGCGTTCGGGATGAAACCTCGGAAGAGTCCGCCGACGCCGTTCTTGGCGACGATGCCCCGGCCGGCGTCGAGAATGTTGGCGTACGTGCTGCCCTGCAACTGCATCTGGCGGCGAATGGTGTCGAGCGGGTACATCGAACCGGTCGCCAGAGCGGTGGCCATGAGAGATGCCGTAGCGATGCCCTGCGCCTCGTCGCGAATCTCCTCTGGAAGCGCCTTCTTGAAGAGATCGAACGCGCAAAAGTTGAGCGCGCTGTACGGAGCGATGGAAACGCACGTCGCCGGCAAACCCTTGAAGAAACCGATCGGGCCTTCGTTCGCCAAAATATTGCGCGCGACGTCCCCCATGCTCTTCGCGCTCGTGTCCACGCTCAAACGAAGACGAATGATGTCCAACGGGTACGTGACGATGGTCGCCGTGCACGCCGCGCCGGCGCCCGCGAGCAAGCGCGCCGGAACCGACAACTCCCCAGTCTCCTTGTTCTTCAGCTTATTCTTGTACGCCTCGTAAGAATACAGCATCGCGCTCGAATACGGCAAAATACGCACCACCTGCGGCACGTTCCCTCGCCAGTACCCCGCCAATCCCTCCGTCCTTCCGATGGCTAAGAACGCCGCCAACAACCCTTTATCCGCCGCCGCGACGCTCGCCGCGGACGCCCTCGACGCGCCCGCCGTTTGCATGATGATCTTCAATCGATCCAGCGGCGCCGTACACGTCTTCGCCATCGCTCCCGCGACGCCACCGGCGAGGAACATCGCCACCGCGGGTTTCACGCAGTGCGTCACGCACGCGATTGGGTTTTCGCGCTCCGTCGCCAGCCGACGCAGCGTCATGCGTCGTTCCACCGCCGTTCTCACCTTTCGTCCCGCCGCGTTCGCCGTCGCGGCGAGCGCGGAGACGACCTCATTCACGTTTCCGTCGCGTCTCGTCTCGGCGTCCGCCGTCGTCGCTCCCGCGCGCGCGAGCCCCCGTCGCCTCGAGCAACGACCGCGATGGGTTCGCCCATTGTCCCCCCTCACCGTCGACGCGGTCGTCCACGACGGGCCGCCGAGCGCGCGCGAGGCGAACGGGCGCGTCCGCGAACGCGGCTCCGAGGTTGACATCGCGCCCGGGACGTCCACGCGCGCTCTGACGCGCGACGCGATCGACGCGGGCGATCGACGCGCGGGCGTGGGTCGTTTTGAGTCGTGACTCGTGAAAGACCCCGTCCGCGCGTGACACACCCGCGACCGAGCCGCCGGACGGTGGTGCGTCCGTGTGGTGCGTGCTGTGATGAGTGATGACTCGTCAAAGACCCCCTCCGCGCGTGACACACCCGCGACCGAGCCGCCGCCCACGTGGCACGGGTCGTCGCATGAGTCGTGACTCGTGAAAGACCCCCACCGCGCCATCGCGCGGGCGACGCCGCCGCCGCGCGCGCGACGTCGACGCGCGCGCGCGATGGGCGCGCTCGCGTGCGCGACCGCGCGCGCGGTGGCGACGGTGGGTGACGGATGCGCGCGCGCGGCGGGTCCACGCGCGCGGCGCGAGCGGAGTTCGACGACGACGCGCGCGAGAGAGAATCGCCCGACGCTCGACGCGACGACCGGGACGACGGTGACGGCGACGATGGGAGCGCGTCGACGCGTGCGTCGATCGGCCATCGTCGATCGAGAGGAGAGCGAGCGCGAGGGCGCGCGCGCGCGGTCGAGGGCGGCGAGAGCGGCGGACGGGACGGAGGATTACGCGCGGTGGAAGTGGCGGCGCGTGATGTTAAAGGTGAGCGGAGAAGCGCTGGCGGGTAAGGAAGGGTTCGGGATCGACCCGGAGGTGGTGCGGTCGATCGCGAGTGAGGTCGCGGAGGCGGCGATGGGCGGAATCGAGGTCGCGCTGGTCGTCGGTGGTGGGAACTTTTTCCGAGGCGCGGAGAAGGAGGGCAACGGGTTGGACCGGGCGAGCGCCGATTACATGGGCATGCTGGCGACGGTGATGAACTCGTTGAATTTACAGGCGGCGATCGAGGGTAAAGGTGTTCCCACGCGAGTGATGAGCGCGCTTGAGATCAAGGAGGTGGCGGAGCCGTACATTCGAAGACGAGCGATTCGACACTTGGAAAAAGGACGCGTCGTCATCTTCGGCGCGGGAACGGGGAATCCGTTCTTTACCACGGACACCGGCGCGGCGCTAAGAGCGGCTGAGATCAACGCGCAGTGCGTGCTGAAGGCGACCAAGGTGGACGGCGTCTTCGACAGCGATCCGAAAAAGAACAAGAACGCCAAGCTGTACAAGGAATTGACGTACGAAACCGTCCGCCGGCTTGGTCTCGCCGTGATGGATCAGACCGCGATCACGCTCTGCGAAGAGAACGATATCCCGGTGGTCGTATTTAACATCTCGAAGGAGCGAAACATCGTCAAGGCCCTGCGAGGATGCAGCGTGGGCACGTGCGTCGGTTCGCCCGAGAACTGCGCCGACACGTGCTCGTGAGCATCGCGCTCTGAGTTTTTCAAAAAGGGGAGCGGTCATCCGTTTCTTCGCTCGTGCGCGTCCAGTGCACAGACGTGAGAAACGTCTCTGCATCGATCCGTCCGCGCTTGTAATATTAGAACGTTATACTTTAAGCTCGCGCGAACGTGCGGATGCGATGAATAATCAGAAACGATGCCACCTCAACTACAAGTAAGCTAGGGCTAAAACCGTTCCTCAGACAAGGTCTGCGTGTCCTCGGATGCGAGATTAGTCGAAGAGATCGAAGTCCATTTCGGCTTCTTCTTCCTCTTCCTCCTCGGCCGGGGCCGCGGCGGCACCGGCGTCACCGCCGGCCGCACCGGCGGCGCCGGCCGCAGCCGGAGCGCCACCGCCCGCACCGACGTTGGAGATCAAATCACCGACGGACTTGGACTCCAAGAACTTGGCGAAGAGACCCGCCCAGTACGGTTCGATCGTCATGCCGGACGCCGAGACGACCGCGTTAATCTTGTCAGCCGTCACCTCTTGACCATCGTCGTGGAGGATGAGAGCGGCGTACGTGCAAGCGAGATCACCAGACATTTTGTTTTCTGCGTTCGTGCAAACCATCGACGGCGCGCTCGTCAGTCGTCGCGTTCACATATGTCGTCAACATCATCACACATCCATCGCCGTGCGCGGAGCGATCGCGCGCGCGCCGCTCGTCGGAACCCCCGTTCGACCTCGAACGCCCCGCCGACGCCTCGAAAGCCCTTCGTCACGCGATCTTTCCCGGTGCAGCGCTCTCCGACGCGTACGAAGACCCGCTCGAACGCTTCAAAAGCAAGAATAAATCACCCTCGATCCATTCACCGCTCTCGACGCGCGCGTGCGCCCGCACGCGCGCGTCAACGTTCGAACATCGGACGAACGCTGCGTACGAACTGGGGTTTTCACCATCCAGTGCGAATCAGCCTCCGCGTCCTCGTCCGTGCCCCCTCGCGCCGACGCGTCACGCGAACGAACGCATCGCGTACCTTTAGTTTTGCTTGAGTCGTAGCCGCGAGAGAACGCTTTAACTGCCTGAGCGCAGAGCACACGAGTGAGGACGATCGAGCGACGCGCGCGCGAGGTCGTCGAGGGTGGGGCGCGACCGACGTGCGGTCTGTGACGCCACTAGTGTAAACACATGCGCATCGAGCGCGTCGGCGCGTCGGCGGGACGACGACGGATCGAGCGAGCGACGCGGTCACCGGTATCATCGATCGCTCGACGCGTGATTATCAAGCTATTCTAGGTGTTTCATGACGAGCGAACGAGCTAGTCGTCGCCGCGTCGCGGTCGCTTAGATCGACGCGCGCCGGCGGCGACGACGGATTTTGTCTTCGCGTCGTACTCGTCGCCCTCGCGCCACTCGCGCTCTTCCTTCTCGAATGCGGCGGCCCACTTGGCGTCGTCCTCTTTCTCACCCTCCAAATCGCGCTCGTTTCCGTACTCGTCGAGCGGGGATTTCTTCTTGCCCGGTTTGCCTTGGCGCTCGCGCTCCGCGTCGGCGCGCGCCTCCTTCTCTCGATTCTTGCGCTTGACATTCGCCTCTTGCTCAAGCCGGCGCTTCTTGCGTAGTTTCTCGCGATCGACCTTCTTCTGCTCGAGCGTCTTGATCTCGTCCGCCGTCTTCTTCACGTAGGCGTGGTAGAGGACACGGCCGTCGCACATGCCTTCCTCCACCTTGACCAACTCTAGTTCCATCCTCGGACCTATCTCGCTGAGGACGATCTTGGACGTGCTGTCGGCGTGAGCGATGCGGTTGAAATCTTGCGTCAAGTGCACTCGACGACTCTCGTCGTCAGATCCTTCGCTGTCGCTCGCGTCGCCGACGCGCTTGTCGAAAAACTCGCTCACGTCCTGCAACTCCCCGAGATCCGGCGCGTTTCGCGACTGTAAGAGCTTCTTCAGCTTCTTGTTCGCCCCCACCGGAACGGCGTTAATGCTATAATGTCTGAACTGAAACCGCTTCGCCTTGGCGTCGTAATCCACGAGCACCGCCCGCTGACACGTCGACAGCTTCACCTTGCGCACGTTTATGGGCGGAAACATATTCTGAAACGTAATCGTCGCCAACTTTTGATGCGCCTCGTCGCCAAAATTATTTAAAACCACCAACGGTGGGGACAAGAACGCCTTGGCCGGATTCCTCGGATTCTTCTGCGTCGCCGCCACCTCTCTCGCGAGAGAAAACGAGTGAATCTTAAACGTCAGCGTCGGCCCCCTCGGCGTCTTCGCAATCTTCAGATACTTGTTCGCATCCGACGAGCTCAACATCACAAAGTGCGAGATCCCCAGCGGTCCGCTCACCTGGACGAAATCCTTCAATTTATTACTCTTCGACTCCTTCAGGTTCTTCGCCGTGTGCGGCTCCATCACCTGCGTCGCCGCCCGTCGCCTCCGTCGTCAGTCTTTTCTCTCTGATCGACCCACGCGCGTGATCGCGCGCGACGATTCCACGCACGCACCCGTCGCACGTCGTCCCGCAGATCGCTCACCGCGTCCGCTTTCCGTCCTCGGGCGAACACCAACGCGCGCGGACATTCCTTCGCCCCCGCGCGTTCGGCGGCGGATGCGTCGACGTGGGTCCGCCGTTTCTTCCGTCGCGTCTTCGCCATCGCGCGAGCGCGCGCGCGTGCACTCGCGCGCGACGCGTTCGCGTTGATCGACCGCCCCCGTCGCGCTCTGCGTCCGCGCGCGCGGTCGACGGCGTCGCGACGGAGGAAACGGCGGCGGTCCGGGTGGGTCGTGGACGCGCACACGCGGGTGTTTTGTCGGTGACACACGCGGGTGTTTTGTCGGTGTCACACGCGGGTGTTTTGTCGGTGACACGCGGGTGTTTTGTAGACACGGGCCGACGACCCCTCCACGCGCGCTCGCGTTCGAATCCACGGCGCGCGCGATGGGAATCAAGGGCCTCCCGACCGTCCTCGACGCGCACGCCGCGCGCGTCTCGCTCGCGTCGTGCGTCGAGGACGGCGCGAACGCGCGCGCGGCGGTGGATGCGTACTCGTGGTTACACAAAGGTGCGTTCGCGTGCGCGAGAGAGCTCGCGCTGGGCATCGCGCCGTGGGGGGGGCGGGAGTCGCCGTACGTGCGGTACTGCACCCATCGCGCGCGCATGCTGCGACATCACGGGATCGAGCCCGTGATGGTGTTCGACGGCGACGCGTTGCCGGCGAAGCGGCGAGAGGAGGGCGAGCGGCGAAGACGAAGACGAGAGGCGCTCGAGCGTGGACGACGCGCGGAGGCGGCGGGAGATGGACGAGGGGCGACGACGCATTTCGCGGGGGCGACGGATGTGACGCCGGAGATGGCGCGAGAGTTGATCGTGGCGCTGAAGAGGGAGAATTTTGAATACGTGGTGGCGCCGTACGAGGCGGATGCGCAAATCGCTCACTTGGCGCGGACGCCGAAGGAGCGGGGTGGGGTCGATATGGTATTCACCGAAGACAGCGATTTGGTCGCATACGGATGTCCGAAGGTTATGTTCAAGTTGGAGAAGAGCGGTGACGCGAGGCAGTTTCGGTTGGAGGACATGTTGGCGGGACGGTTGCCGGCGGCGACAGATGAAAACGAAAACGAAAACGCCGAGAACGCGGCGACGACAACAGCCACGAACGGGACGAAGAAGCGATCGAACGGGAACGTTTTGAACTTCCAAGGGTGGGGGTACGACTTGTTTCTCGATCTTTGCGTGTTCTCGGGTTGCGATTTCTTGTCCAACATTCCCGGCCTCGGCATTAAGAAGATGTTTAAACTTCTGGATAAGCACCGCGACGCACAAGCGGTATTTACGGCACTCCGGGCGGATCCGAAGATAAATGATATTATTCCCAATGGGTATGAAGAGGATTGGCGCAAGGCGAGGATGATTTTCAAGCACGCGGTGGTGTACGATAGGAACAGTCACACGCTGGTAAATTTATCGCCGCTCCCGGACGAAGCTGTATTCGATGATTTGGATTTTCTCGGACCGAAATTCGACGATGGGCAGGCCAAACGCATCGCTGATGGTGAACTCAATCCCATTTCGCGTGAGAAATTCGAAAAGACGCCGCCGCCCAAGGCGAGGACGAGGACGATTGAACCGGTCAAATTCGGTGGCAAGCGAAAGCAGGCGAGCGGTGGCAACGCCGCCGAGCGCTCATTCATGATGAATTTCTTCACCAAGGCGGCGAAAAAGGTGCTCTCGCCGATGAAGAAAAGTCCCGCGAAGCTGCCAACGTTAGATTCGGACGACGACGACGACTTGGCCTCTGTCGTCCTTGCTTGCGAGGCCAGCAAGCGCAACGCGTCAATCGAGATAGATTTACTCGAGAGTGACGACGATGGGTGTCTTCCGGGGACGAAAAACGCCCCACCGGCACCGTTCGCGCGAATTGTCCCTTCCGAGCGGCCGAGCTTGCTCAAACAGCTCTTCTCGCCCAAGCGAAGGCTGAACTAACTTCATCGATTTTGTAATTTGTTTCCCCTTTAGCCTCCAACGAACTTTGTTGAATCATAACTCGTGCGCGGAGTCAACAGTGAAGAAATGAAACGGCATCGAATTGAATTGAATTTTGAACAGTCACACGTCGCCTCGCGCGCTCGTCTCGCCTCAACCCACGTTCAACACCCCGTAAAAATGTCTCTCGATCTCTACGATATCGCCATGCAGGCGTACTTCTCCTTGTACGGCCTGACGATGACCACCGACCCCGACATGTTCTGGTCCGCCAAGGGAATTATGCGCGTGCCGTATGTCACCGCCTTCGGTGGTGCGACCTCCGCGGTCGGTTTCTTCGCCAGAATGACCGGCTTAGGATTCGTCATCATGGTTCTCGGACGAAGAGCCGGGACGCCGAAGGCAACGTTCGCCAAGCAAGCGCTCGCGTTCCACGTCTTGTCCACAAAGTGGTTCTGCGATCTGACGCAGGTGGTCTCCACGAGACGGTCGCCGAGCATCTTCATCCCGTGGGCGTGGAAGCTTCAGGTGTTTGTGAATATTGTCCTCGCTCTTTGGGGGATCGTGGCGCTCGGTGGACCGAAGAAGGCGCTCAAGCTGGATTAGACTCGCTTCTGAGTGAATCCCGATGGCAAATGCGTGCGAAAAATGACACGTGCCACCCGCAGTCCGGTGAGGTCTCCGAACCGGTTCCACGACGCGCGAGAAATTTTGTAATAAGACTTACTTAAGCCACACACGCGAACGAGCGCGACGAATGAGGACGGGCGAGGGGCAAGACGCGCTGAGCGCTGTTTGAGAAACTGAAAACTCCGTTTTCAAAGTCTGTCTATGACCGTATCGCTCGCCGATCCGGTTCGTCTACAGTCGCCACACCCTCCGCAGAAACATCATGACCGCGCGCTCTTCTATGAATTTACGCTTGGTTGATGGCCGCCTTCTTCTTTTGCCAGAGAAGGTCAATGGCGGAGTCCGATTCACCCTGCGTGTGCAAACGTTCAGTTATCATCAGTCTCGAGTCTCGCCGTATCGATCGCTCTCCCACCCTCCGTCGTCACGCGCGACACTCCGGCGTCAGCTCCCTCGCCGTCGTCGCGCTCGCGCTTCGAGCCGATCAACCTTCGCCCTCTCTCCTCTGACGCCTCGTTAGGTCTGGTTGAACCCAAAGCCCTAGTCGATCGCCCCAGCGTCGCCAGCACCGTCTCCTCGACCCCGCGCGGCGCTTCTCTTTCGTTAAAACCGTCGCGCGACGATAATTAACAAACGCGTCCACCGAAACCGAGTCGCAAACGTACCTTCGAGCGCACGTAGCCGGCGAGCGCCAGCGTGGTGTACTGTCCGCTGTACACCCCGTTCGCGTCGAGGTGCCCCACGTTGAGCTGCACCGAGGCCTTATCCGTGGCCGTGATCAGGCGGTTGGTCCAAGAGCACTTTCTCGGGATGTAAAGGTCCACGTTCTCACCGTCAGCGTTGATCATGTCGTCGTAGCGTGCGTCGAACAGAGAGGACGATGCGAAGATCGTCCAGCGACCTCGTCGAGGGTCTCGCGGGCTCGAATGGGAAAACGCTCATGGACTGAACACGGTACTTTTTATGCGAAATCCGTGTAGGTTTTTATATGATAAAGTTCGGACATGTGGGTCATATCCTGAATAGGATTACACTGTAAGACGCATACAGATGACGAAAACCAGGACGATCGCACGAGCCGTCCTAGCGTGACGTCTCTCTCGCCTCATTCGACGACACGACCATGAGCGCTGCTTTGGGATTCAGCGCGTCGGTGAGCGGCGCTCGCGTGGCAGTTAAGGTGCGTGAAAGATTTATTTTTATGGTTATCCGTCGTGTTTCCACGTTTGCGGACGACGCGGAACGCGCGCGCGAGGGATGAAGACACCGCGGGTGGGGTCGGCGCGCTCGGAGGGCGACGAGTTGAACGAATGATATAACGAGCGCGCGACTGACTTATAGGGTACGTTTGGCAACGCACAGGCCGAAAAGAGAACCATCAGCGCTCGCGCGCCGTTGCGAGTGGAGAACCGTGTGGCGGTACGTGCGAAACGCGAGCGACTACGCTGGCGCGAGGCGCGAGCTTTAACCCTATTTCTTGAGGGCTTGTGAAAAGCGCGTGGAGAGAGGGCCTTGAGGACGCTTAGGAGCATCGCGCGTATAATGATTTCGATTGAAAACGTTCCATGACTGACTTTTTTTTATCTTAACGCGATCGCAGCTCCGATTCACCCGCATGGGCCGCAAGAAGGAACCGTTCTACCGTCTCGTTGCCATCGACTCTCGCTCCCGCCGCGACGGCTCACCGATTGCGCAGCTGGGCTGGTACGATCCGATCAGAAAGGAGTCCTCTTTGGACGCCCCGGCGATCAAGGATTGGCTCAGCAAGGGTGCGCAGCCGTCAGAGACCGTGGGTGCTTTGCTGAAGAAGGCTCTCATCATGCAGTAAATGAAAGGGATTTAGTAGCACGCCGGAGCCAGGAGGAGACGACTTTTAGGAATTAATTTGTAACCAGACGCAAAATTTGCTTCAAATTAACTAAACTATTCTAGTTCTACTTCTTTTCGTCCGTGCTCATTCCTGAGCATCGTGTTCGACGCGTGCGCGAGTCGCGGCACGCTGTTCCTGACGCTCCTGATGCTGCTCCTTGAAGAGCCTCCTTATGTGTGTCACGAAGCCCTTCCCGAAGCACTCGACGATTGCTTTCACGCGAACTTTGTACTCGGCTAGAGCAAGAGTGGAGCCTTCGTCTTCGATCCACGGTTCATCGTACTTATCGAGGACGTGATTCAACAAGTACCCTTGAATCGCTGCGGCTTCGTGCTTCACGGCAGAGCGATATACATTGCAGGTTCGGTCCAGCGAGAGATTCGAAAGTTGTACGTTCTCGATGAAGAGTTTCTCGGTCAAGTGCTTCAGTCCCAAAAGATCAAAGCGAGTCGCCACCGAAAGAATCTCTTCACATCTTTCTTGCAGGAAAGAAGGATGGCATACACTCGACATGGGCGAGATAGTTCCCGAGTAGATGAAATCCATCATCGCCTCGAGTGCGGATCTGCTGACGTCTTCAAGATCCACGAGGAGAGTACCGTCGGGAAGACGCTTGCCTGAATCAAGAACCGACAGGAACGCATCGGAGGCGTGCGTGAAAGCGATTTGATGCGCTCCGAACTCATAGCGCTCGCCGTTTTCCCTGCCGATGAAGGTCACGTCAGAAAGTTCAGGATCCTTGAAGTTTGCCGGCATGTGTTCTTCCGCCGTCGGCGTCGATGGCGGTGGCATCGTATGCAATTCTGTAGCGTTCTTAGGGCAAATGTTATTCTTCACTTGCCGTAACGCTTCCATGACGACGTTCACTATGCGCCTTCCACCACTGAGTCCAGTTTGTGCCTCGGAGAAATCTATCATCTCAGCCGGTGTGCCAAGGAGCATGTCCGACAGCACTTTGAGACCACCTTTAGTGATGAAAACGGTGTACAGCTCATCCGGGTTCTTGTCCATCAAGAGCCATGAGAGTGCGAGCGTCACTCTTTGCTGCTCGAACGGTTTGCCGTTACTGATCAAGAACGCGAGATAGTTGAAGACATCCTTTCGCAAAATTCGATCCTTCAGGCGATTTATAGTCTTCGTCAGGCACTGCTTGCTCTGTTCTACCTCGAGATTGCTGAAATTCAAACGCATGAACGCGTTCTCCTTGAGCATGTTCGCAACATTGTCGTAATGGTCTGACAAACCGTACAATGCAAATGCAGCATTGTGCTGCAGGTTGTTTACAAATCGTTTTGCGTCCGCTTGTAACTCCTGATCGCTCTTCCCTGTGACGTTATTTAGACGAAGAACGTGTGAAATTTCATCGACGTCGGATTCGAGCAAATTTAGAAGCGGTTGCAATCCATCAGAGTGACAAATGCCAACTTGATTATCTCCGTGCTGTGCCAGCCGACCCAATGCGAAAGCAGCCATCTCACGAAGACCCGGCTCACGATGACGTGAGAGCATCTTGATGAGAGACTGGACTGCACCACGCTGAACGATTTTAGTCCTATAATCAGGATCGCCCTGCGCCGGAGGTTCAAGGCGCGCGGCGAACTGACCGAGCAAAAGCGCTGCTTCACGCTGACTTTCTGAGCAGGGAGATTTGAGCAACTCAATCACCGGTTGCAGTGCACCCTCATCTAGTGCACGACGCTTGATGTGTGGTGAAGAGTGTACTAAGTTTCCAATCACGCCGATGGCTTCTTTGTGTAGTTGCACATCCTCTAATCGAGCCATGAAAATGAGCTTTGGAAGTGCGCCACATTCAACAATTTGATTCTTGTTCTCACTGTTCTTGAAAGCCAGCGTCCTCAACGTGCTCGCAACGGCTCGCTGAACCTTTTTCTCTTGAGAATCTAAAAGAGCGACAAGTGGTGGTATACCACCGGCGTCACGCACCATATGTTTGATCCGATTATTTTCGTGAGCGAGGTTTGTGATTGCGTCGGCAGCGCGTCTCGTGATGCTCGCATTTGCAACATTGGCGGGACCGGTGCCGCAAGGTTGATATCGCTTCAGCAATGGGATTAACTGCTCGATTCCATTCTTTGAATTTACTTGGAACGAATCTGCGATGCGATTTTGATTAGCAACTTTCGTCGCCAACAACCCGATCACAAAGCAAGCTTCCTTTTCAACGTCACCCACTCCTGAGACTTCGAGCTCTTCCACCAAGTTGTGCTCTTGCAAGATTCGACACTTGTGAAGTAACATTAGAATAGGGACAATGATCCCCACGTGCGAACAGGCACTGTCGGTATCGCCATCCATGAGAATGCAACACACATCAGAGAGCTCGTCGTCAGCCTTGAGTCCGCTTTTGACCGTCCTCATGTGCGTAATCACCCCTTCATACCATTCGTGAATGCTCCGCCAGAAAGTCCGTCCATCTCGGACTCCATCCGTCTTGGGACGTATTGCTTCCTCTTCGAAGAGCGGGTATTCCGGTCCAGACACGCCGTAAGTTTTTTGGAGATGTTCCACGAGAGGACAAGTAAGCCCACTTGGTATGGGTTTACCTCGTTCATTCATCTCATCCGCTGCTTCTTCGAGCACCCTCCCTGAGCTCGCCAGCATTTTGAACACCCAGCTTTCATATGATTCGTCGTGAAATTTGTCAATATGATCAGATATATCGATCTTCGATGCCAAGCTCGAGGTAAACTTGCTCATCATGATTTGTAAACGCCTATCAACGCAGATGACCTCCAAAACAGCGGTGTCAAAACCAACAGCAGAGGATGGAGACTCCTTCACAACCTCTGCCAGAGCTCTGAGCGATATGCGGAGCTTGTCAGTATCCCAGTTGGAAATTTCCATCACTCGCTCTCCCTTTGTATCGATATTCACGCTTGGTTTATACAGATTCGTCACGAGCTTGTGATGTTCTTCGAATGCGAGGATGCAAGCTGAGATGGCTCGACCCGCGTTCATTCCCTTGTACTCTCGTATCTCCAACAACGTGTTGATGATGGTGCCCGAATTGTAAAATTGTGCTCTAAGCTCTGGACTTTTTCGCACGAACATGGCTAACGCAGCCAGCGCGGCGGGGATCACTTTATCTTTCGTCTTCGCATCGCTTTGCAGTGCGGTTCGAGAGCCGTCAATGCTCGCTAAACCCAAAACACTCAGAAGCGCAGACTCGACATCGAGAAAGTTGTCTAGAACCGCCGCTTGCACCTTCTTAGTCATCATTTCGCATCGTGTCGCCAATATTTCGCCATCCATGGTTTCATCTTCCTGTTCATCCGAGCTCAAGGCGAAGCAAGCACAGATACCGAGAAGTTTCCACTCAGCTTCGTAGTCGTGAATGTCCGAGCTGCTTCCCACCTTACCACGCCGAGCGCGGAGATAACAAAAGAATATAGAGAACACTGGATCGACCAAGTTCTCGATATCAGCACTCCTCGTCTTGCTCGGGTTCACGGTCAAAAGTGTAAACAACGACGATATATCCGCCGTGAACGCTTCATGATCTGATTCGCAAGCACTCATGCACGCGTGATCAGCGAAGACGTATCCGATATCCAACTTGAGAAGAATGTCTCGCGCCATCTCTTTCGTAGAATTGCTCTTGTTGCGCTCAATCGTGCTCATCAGACCGTTAGTCCACTTGGGAAGTCTCGTCAAATCGGATCCAATGGCTTTGATCTCTTCATACAGTTCCTTCACGCAGCAGCTCACGACCGCGAGCACGTATCGAGTGAGTTTTCGTTGAAGCTTGTCTGAAAATCTTTCATCGTTCGTGCGGTGCCCCCTTGGATATCTTTGGCCCTTCAAAGGAAAGAAGAAAGAAACAGCAGCCAGACTCTCGATGAGTTTGCATAACTCTTCATAGCAAGCTCGTTTCGTGGCCTCGTCCGAGTGGACGTTTTGGTGACTGCCGTACCACGCTCCGAGCGTCTCGGAGATGCTCCCTGCTCTCATCGAAGAGAGATTCTTGTAGAAGACCTCCAGCAGCGTGCGGCTCCAAGTGAGAAAATCCTCACCTATGAAGTGAGTGATGCGATGATGATATGCCTCTTTCAAGCAGCTGAGATCCGACGCGATCTGAACCGCGCGAATGGCCCAAGACAAGAAGTGCACTCCCGAATCAAAGTTTTCATTTGTGATGGATGCCGTGGTGAACGCTTTCAGAGGCTTGAACACCACATCGCAAACCGCCTCAGCGCAATACTCAAAACTTGCGTGAATCGTTTTGAAAATCTGGATGATAGTTCTAAAGTCACTGGCTCGTCGACCAAACTCGTCGGGGACGTCTCCGTTCGCCTCGCGTTTCGTTATCTCCTTGACCATGGCAGAGACGTACGATTCGCACTCGGACACCACGTCTCGATCCTTTTGCATAGAAAGCCGAACTCCCGACGTCATCAACAGTTTCACCCAACTACGAATCAGTTCATCCTCGCGCGTTTTCCAACACAAGCGCCATGATTCTGGTGTCGCTGCCATGGCGAGCCATATTCGCTTTCGAACTAGTCTCGACTCGTCGAAAGCCTTGGCGCACGCCTTCAAGAGCTTCGCCGCCAACCGCATCGTGTCCATCGAGCGAGTAGCTGAGGTGCCCCCCAGCGCGCGGATGTGCCCACCACTCGTACCGATCAGCGCTGATTTCTCCTCTAACGCCAGCGTTATCTTCCGCTCGTACTCCGAGGCGTGTACCAAGTGCTCGGGCAGAGACGTCCCGGTGTCAGGCGCCTTTGCGTTCAGCGCCTCCACCGCGTCGTCCATCGCCCTCGTCCACCTCATGAACGCCTCCTCGTCGTTCGTCCTCTTCACCAACCCGGCGTGCATCTCGATTTCATCCTCTCTCCCTCGCTTCCCGCTCTCTCTTCGCGACGACGACGCCGTCGCCAATCCTGTCCGCGCGAGCGTCACGCTCGTCCACGGTGCTCTGGTCCGCGCGTCGACCGCCTCGTCGCCCTCCTCGTCCGCGCGCACCGCGACCTCGGCGTTTGATCGCGTGCTCGTCGATGATCGGCGCTTCTTAGACGCCGAATCGTCCGCGTGCGTCGTCATCGTCAGCTTCGAAACCGTCGCGCGTCGAGACGAAGCCTCTCAAAAACGCAGTCAAAATCAAAAAGTTGAATCAGATTCAACGATGATTCGAACGCCCACCGCGCACTCGCTTTGGTTCGTCGCGCGCCTTCGTGCTCAGGACCGTCGTGCGACCGACGTGTGCGCGACGTGGACGACGTCGCGATCGAGGCGACGCGCGAGACGCGATGTGGGGTGGAGCGACGGGTTCGCGCGAGACGAGTGCAACTATTTTTTGGTCGCGCGCCAAACCGTCGGCGTCGATCGGTTGGTGTGTAAATGAATATCACTGCACGAGATCTGTCTAAATCGCGCGGAATGCGTCTACTTCCCTTGGAGAACGCCGATGAGCTCATCCTCTCGAAACAACGCGTACTCGTTGCCGTCGCCCACGTTCACCGAGACGCCGCCGTATTCCGGGAGCATCACCTTGTCCCCGCTCTTCACCTCTGTCGACCCGAACGATGCGCGTGAACGTCAGTACACATTCTCGAACAGAAACCTACGAATTTCACGCGGAGCGCGTCGTCGATGATCGTCTCTCTCGTCGTCTTCGCGTTCGCTCCACGCACCCATCGGCACGAGCTCGCCGTTCGCCGCCCGCCGTCCCGGCCCCACGGCCAACACCTCGCCCTCCTTCAACTGCGCGCGCGAATCCCGGTCAGTCCACCGTCGACGTCTCACCCGCGTCATCGTCTCCCACCGCGTCCACGCGCTCGAATCCACCCCATCGACGTCCACGTCGTCCCCTCTTCGGCGACGAAACGAATCGAAGCGATGCGCATTCTTCCATCGCCCTCCCCCGACGTTCGCGCCGCGCACCTCGTTCGCGGCGGACGATTCCGGGAGTAAGATCCCACCCGCCGTCTTCGTCGCCGGTTTCACGCGCTGGACCAGCACGCGATCGAGCAAAGGTCGGATCGCACGAAGCCGCGACGCCATCGACCTCGCGCGCGTCGATGCCGGCCGTCGACGCGACGTCGGGGTTTCGCCACCCTTTGTGTCGTCTCGAGGCATCATTCGCGGACCCTTTGTGTCGTCTCGAGGCATCATTCGCGGACCCTTTGTGTCGTCTCGAGGCATCATTCGCGGACCCTTTGGGCGTCTCGAGGTATCATTCGCGGACCCTCTGGGCGCGCGACGGCGGACGTCCGCGAATCGCGGCGCGCGTGCGCGACGGGCGTGGCGACGCGCTCGGCGACGGGCATGCGCGGCGTCTCGGCGAGGACGACGACGACGACGGATCGTCGCGACGCGTCCTGGGCGAGGGATCGTTTGGGTGCGCGAACGACGGCGAATCGGTCCCGAATTGGGGGGTCGTCGTCGCGCATGGGAGCGACGACGACGCGGACGACGTACGTGGAGACCTCGGAGGGATGCGCCGATGCGCTCGTGGCGGTGGTGAAGAATGCGAGCGCGAGGGCGATCGCGTCCAGGGGGACGTTCTCGATCGCGCTCGCGGGTGGGTCGTTGATTCGGATGCTCGGCGCGCTGAAAAAGGCGGACGCGGAGGTGGAGTTCGGGAAGTGGGTCGTGTTTTGGGTGGACGAGCGCTGCGTGAAGTGGGCGGATGCGGAGAGTAATTTCGGTGGAGCTAAACGGGCGCTGTTCGATGACGTGGACGTGCCGAAATCGTCGCTGTTTGCGATCGACGAGACGCTGTGCGAGACGAATGCCGGCGCGGCGATTCCATGCGCCGAGGCGTACGAGAAGGATCTCCGAGCGTTGACACCGCACGCGATCGAGCTCGACGCGAATGGACTGCCTGTTTTCGACATGCTCTTACTTGGTTTCGGGCCGGACGGACATATCTGCTCGTTGTTCCCCAATCACGAGCTCTTGAAGGCGACAGATGGGTGGATTTTGCCCATAACCGATTCGCCGAAACCGCCGCCCGAGCGCGTGACATTCTCATTACCCGTGGTGAACGCGGCGCGGGAGAAGGTGTTCGTTGCCTCGGGCGAGGGTAAGGCGGAGATGACTGCTCGTATCTTAGAAGAAGCTCCACAGGACGGTTCGATTCCTGCAGCTCTGGTCACGGGCAACGTGCGGTGGATCATCGACGCCGCCGCCGCGTCAAAGATGCGCAACAAATGACAAATATCCGCTCGCTGTGTTGTAACAAATCACTCTACGCTCGCTCGCGCGATTCCGGGGGATTTCGCTCGTACAATGTTCCGATCGCTTCGTCCCACGGCGCTTCGGTCATGAGCCTTCGATAAATCTCGCCGCGCTCTTTCAAGATGCGCTTTCGTGCGCTCGGCTCCGTAAACGCAAGCCCATCGTGAAGGTTTTCCCGACGAATTTGATACAGCGCGTCGATGAGATCGACTGGATAATGGCTCGATTGATCTTCGTCGATGACCGTTTCCTCGGTATCCTCCTCTGGACGAGCGTTCACTTCGTCTTTGCCGTGCTCTCTGGGCGCGAGTCCACACTGTCGAAGTTTGTCGTCGACTTCAATCGAGTCGTCCAGAGAATTGGCGAGGAAAAAGTCCGCCTCAGCGGATTCAGCGGTAATCCTTCCAATGGAAACCTTATTTAGCTTCAAACGCGCGCATCCTCGGCGATAAAGCGCCTTGGCCTTGATGGCAAAGAACTCAGGTTCGTCTGGCCGTGTGTCAAGAACGTCGTTACAGTACAACTCAGATTCTCTGTAGTCGCCCAGTCTGTACATGACGAGCGCGAGATTGAGATACACCTTTCGAGAGACTTCGTAGCACTTCTCGTTATTCACCACACCACACGGGTTGTAATCCTCTTCGGGTTCGATGAGCTCGAACGCGTCGGCGGCCGCGAGCCACTTCCTGCTCGCCGCTCGGTAACGCTTATTCATGAAAAGCTTCTTCCCGAGATCGTTCATCTCCGAGCCGAACGCGCACCTATCGAGTGTGAGCATGTCATACTTATGTGGTCTTCCGGGTTTGATCTCAAGAATCTCAACACGTCCTGGACGAACGATGTGCTCGACATTCGGAGGTAACGCTTCGTGGTCGGTGAGCGACTGCTCGCCTCGGCACACGAACTCAACCACCGCCCCTTTGGGTGAACCCAGGATCGCGCACTCGACGCCGAAGGGCACTGATCCATCTTGCATCGTGAATTCAACCTCATGCTCTATGTCCCCTTCGTCGTCGAATCGCCAACGAACGCGCACGTGGTTCTCGCGAAGGACTGTTTGGTGTGACTCGCCTCCCTGCTCTGCGCCGCGCACGACGACTCTTTCCACGTCCTCCTCTTCGGAAATGTCGTCACCTGGCCCCTTCATCACGCAAAGATCGGGGAACAGATCCATTAATTCTTCCATTTTCGTCGTAACGCCTCGAGAAACGCGCGAAGAAGTGAGGCGTATGATGTCGTGACGCGACTTGTCGCCGAGCGCGAGGAGCAAGTTATGAGCAGGTCTCTCTACCTACGGTTACAAACCCAATCCGATTCGTATGCTAAGTGATTTAGTACTTCATGCCTTCACGCAAGATGTCGTACGGGATCGGCGTCAAGAGCTCCGACTTGACGTTCTCGAGGGTGAAACCCGTACGCGGTTGGCCCGTGACCTCACGCTTCGTCGTGATCTTCTTGCCAGCCAAGTGAGCCTCGTGGTGCGCCTTGTCGTTCGCTTCGCGACGAGCGATGAAATCCTCACGGCATCGAGAGTGTTGCACGTGCTCGATGCGCACGTGGATGCGCTTACGAGCAATGCGACCGCCGATCTGCTTGTTGATCTCCACACCCACCGCGCGCGGCGTCACGTTCCACACTTGACCCGTTCTGCCTTGGTACTGCAAGTACGGCATACCCTTTTGTTGCGCCGAGTTCACCTTGATGTCGACATAGTCACCGACACGGAACGTGCGCAGGTACGTCGTGGTGTTCAACGTACCGTGCTCACGGTGACCGCGGGAGAAGAGGTTACGGGTACCGTGGCGGAGACCGCGGGACCGAGCGCGTTGGTTACCCATCTGTGAATTGGGAAAAAAAGTCCAGGTCAGTCGTCTCGTTCGAGCACCATCGAGTTCCGTTCCTCCAGATCGCAAACTAAAACGTTTCCATCGCTCTCGCGTCGCCCTCCGACCGCATCGCCGATCGCGCGTCCACCGAAGCGCCATCGGACGTCGATGCACGTTAGGGCTTCAACGCTTCACGGCGACTCGACCGATGCGCGCGTCCCTCGACGCGTTCGACGTCTCGAGTCTCGACACCTCGCATCGAGGCGACGAAAGGAATCATTTGCCACGTTGTTCAACGCTCGATCCAACGCTCGACGTCTCCGTGCGACGCATCGCCCGCGCGAACCGTCGAGTTTCGCCGCCTAGGGTCACTCGCGCTCGAGAGCGATCGTTCGACCGCTCGCGCGCGCTCGACGACCAAAGGCTTCTAAAACGTCGACGATCGCGCGCACACGCGTCCATTTCGTCGTTTCACCCCGTCGCATCGATCGCGAGCGTCACGCACCTCTCGTTCACGCGCCGCAAAGAGACGGACCGTGGCCCGATCGACGCGCGCTCGACGTCCGCGGTGTCCCACGCGAGTGATGGACGCATGATGACGGAGAATTTAAATCACACAGTGTGAATACTACCTAGAATACTATCCAACGACCAATAAGTCTAGGGTTACGCCAACACACCCCACCGCGCTCGAGTCGCTGGGACGCAGTCGCGACCGCGCGCTCGTTTTCTCGCACCCGCCGCCCGAGCACCAGCGGGACGAGGAATCTTCCGCGTCGTCGATCACTTCTCGTCGCGCCATCGGAGGACGCGATGAGCGGGGCGTACGATGAAGTAGATCTGGAGGATATGGAGTGGAGCGACGACGCGCGGGCGTACACGTATCAGTGTCCGTGCGGGGATTTCTTCCAAATCACCCTGGAGGAGCTGCACGCGGGAGAGGACGTGGCGCACTGTCCGTCGTGCTCTTTGGTCCTGCTCGTGATTTACGACCCCGATGACTTACCGCCGTTGAAGGAGGCGGAGGCGTAGAAGGTGGTGGACGAGGTCAGAGGGCGAAACGTAGGACTTAGAAGGACTAGCGGCGCGGGATAGCAAACGCGCGCGCGCGTGTAATAGAGTACAATACAATGAACAATAGACTATTTGAGCGCCGATTCGGCGTCGGCGACGGAGCGAGCGAGGCGAGCGTCGACGTGAGCGATATCTCTCACCGCTGAGAGATTTTCAGACGCGGAGGCGACTTGACGATTCGACTCGGAGTTCCCGGAAGTGAGCGTACGGAGTAGAGCCGCCGCTCGAGCGTGCTGCACGACGATCCCCACCCGGATCTCCGTGCGCAGACTCTCCCGACGAAGCGCGTCGAGCGCGCTCGGCGAGAGTACGTCCAAGGCGAGCAGGCATAGTTTGCGCGCCTTGTCGACGTTGCCGGTGCGCGCGTGAATCTCGGCAAGGTGAAGTCTGGTTGACGCAAGCGCGAGCGCACCGCCGTCGCCGCGCACCTGCGAGAGAATCTTCGCCGAACGCTCGAGCAACGCAGTGGCTTCGTCCAGTTGATCTGTTCTCATAAGCACCACGGCGAGGGATTCGCACGCACCGGCGATTTTGACGTGATCGTCACCGTTCATGTGCTCGAGCGAGAACAAGACACGCCTTCGAACGCGCTCGGCGTCTTCAAAGCGTTCGCCCTCGTAAAAAAGCTGTGCGAGACGCTTCATGCGACGAATGCACGCATCAGTGTGTGCTGCTCCGATCTCTTCGCTCACCTTGATCGATCGCTCCAGCAGAATCGCGGCGTCTTCCTTTCGGTCGCTCCGGCAGAGCACCTCTGCCATGTGATAGAGCGTCGTCGCGTACTCAGGGTGATTCGTCCCGAGCGTCGCCTCTTTTCTCTCCAAAGACTTCGAATACAACTCATACGCTCCATCGATATCGTTTTGCTTTAATCGACAACCCGCCAGATTGTGCAGCGCCGTCCCCACTGCCGGGTGATTTTCCCCAAACGCGGCGCGCAGGATGTTCAGCGCCTCAGCGAACAACTTTTCGCTCTTCTCCCACTTCTCCTCTATTCGATCAAGCTCGGCCAAATTATTCATCGCCGCCGCGACGTGCGCGTCGCCCTCGCCGAATCCCTTTCTCGCCTCCGCGAGCGCTCTTTCTAAGTACCGTCTCGCCTCATCCAGCTTTCCCTCTCGCACGAGCGTCCGTCCGAGGTCCGTGTAAATCCGCCACTGCGCCGTGCTCTTATTCGATTTCGGCGCTTCTCGCGCCTCACGCGCGTCCTTCGCCACCCCCTCCGCCCGTCCGACGTTCGGGTCCATGCCCCCGAACGCCGCGACGCCTCCGAACGCGACGACGACCAGCGGTGCGCGCGCCCATCGCGTCGTCGCCTCCCCATCCTCCCCCGCGCGCTCGAGCGTTCGAGCTCGATTCGACGCGCGCGCGTCGACGGACGCGCATCGGCGAACGATCGACCGCGCCGTCGTCGCCGACGCCATCGTCCACGCCCGTCGAGCGACCGTCATCGCGATGACGCCGTCGAGGACTGGCGCCCCGACGTCGAGACGGTTGTGTGTTTACACCCACACAGGTCTTACGTATGTACAATACGGTGACGCCACCACGCGACCGAAACGTCGTCGCGATGACGCCGTCGAGCGTCCCGTCGACGCGTCGCACCGCTTCGACGCGCGCGCGCGGCGGCGGGACGAGAGACTCTCCACCGCGCGCGTGTGCGTCGACGGGCGCGCGCGCGCGGGACGTCGCGTCCGGTCGCGTGCGGGAGGTCGGTGGGCGCGATCGATAGAAATCTGCTCCGACACGGGCGACGACGAGGTCGGGGACCTCGGAGGGATCGGTGGATGGAGTCCGAGCCGCGAGCGATGGAGACGACGATGCGGGACGGTGACACGCTCGAGGAGGGCGTCGACGTCCGTCGAGGCGAGCGGACCTCGGACGAGGACACGAGAGAGCTCTCGACGTACGGGACGCCGCTCGGACGACTGGGACGGGTGGACGGCTTGGAGAGATTCATAAATCTGAGATCGTTGAGGGCGCACGCGTGCGAGTTGACGACGATGGAGTGCGAGGCGTTTAATTCATTAAAGTTGCTGGAGGAATTGGATCTGTCGTCGAACGCGATCTCGAGCGTGCGCGGATTGGTCTCGCTCCCTCGGCTGCGGCTGTTAAACTTGGCGAGCAACGAGTTGGAGTCCTTGGAGGGGCTTGCGGAGGCGTCGACGACGCTGGAGAAAGTGAACGTGTCGAACAATCAGCTTAAATCACTGAGCGGACTGGCGAGAAGCGATGGGAGGGAGTGGGGGATTCGAATGTTTGACGCCAGAGGGAACGCTTTGCGGAGCTTCCAAGCGGTGCGAACGCTGAGCGAACTGACAAAACTAGAGTCGCTGCGCCTTAAAACGGAGCGACACGGTTTGCTCGGACCGGAGACGAATGATATTTGTGAGGTTCCGGCCTATCGTCTAACGATGGCGTCCCTAATTCCTTGGCTCAGTCACCTCGACGACGTGGTCGTCAGCGTCGACACGGCGACAAAGGCGATGTCAAAGACTCTTGAATCAAACGGTGGAACACCGGTAAACGGTTCACGTGGGAGCATGACGCCTCCGCCCGCCGAGCAATTCGTGAAGACACCTCGGCGAGATGATCCCAGGAGAGAAGGGTCAGCCTTGAAAACGCGTGGAATCCAGGTCAACTTAGCGAGTGCCAGGAGAAGCATCGATTTCACCGACAAAGTCAAACGGGTGCGCAACGAGGGTCAACAGACAGACAAACCGTCGACAAAGGATGCGCAGACGCAGAAAACTTCGAATGAAGTGGTGGAGAACGAACAGCAGCGCGAAGAGAGCGTGATACTTCGAGAGGAACTGACGCAAACGAAGGAAATGCTTGAGAGCCTCACGACCCGCGAAGCCGAGGCGCGGGAGCAAGTTGACTACTTGGAATCAACGCTTCGAGCCGTGCGATTGGAATCGGCGGAAAATCTCGCAAATTTGAAGGCGATGTATGTTGACGAACAGAATGCGATGCTCAACGAGTGCGTAGACCAAGCTCGAAAGGAATCTGCTGCTTGCGTCGAGGTGAGCGAGGAGAACGCTCGTTTGAAGGAGCGAGCGGGGGCTTTGGAAAATGAAATACGGGCACTCACCGAGGCTGCCAAGGCTGATCAAGCAAAAATCAAAAGTACAGAAGACACCTTGCAGCAGACACGTGAAGCTTTACGGGGCGCACAGGACGAGCGATTAGAGTTAGAGGCCTTGAACGAAGAGTTGGCCGTGGTAGTGGAGAGTCAACGCGATGAGATCGCTGGTTACGCCGGAACCACGGAAGTCGTCAGATTACTGGAAACTGAGCTCGAGCGAGCGCGTTCGGCGAACCAACAGCGAGAAACCGCCCATAAGACGATCAATAACGCAAGGAATGCGGCCTTGAAAGCCGAAAAGGCAGCCATCGCCAGAGAAGAGAGAGCTCGAGACAGAGAGCAGTTGGCGGATCGACTCATTCAGGACGTGGAGGCGCTTCAATCGAAGCTCGAAGCGGCTGATGAGGGTATGCGGATAAAAAGTGATATGCTCCAGCATCAAAATGAGCTCATCAAGTCTCTCAAGGCTGAGGTGGTTCGGATGCGTCAGCAGAACGCCGAAGAAGATCAGACTCACAAAGCGAGGATAACAGAATCTGAGACGGTCCTGAGGGCTACGACAGAGGAATGTCGAGCTTTAGCGAGCCAAGTGGAGTCACTAGAGCTCGAAATGACTGAACTCGAGACTGCTTTAGCCGAGTCCGACGTCGATCATGCTTCGTACGAGCACGCGATCAAAAATGCGAGGGTTGCTGTGGCGGAGCGCGATGAGATCATTGCTCAAATGACGTCCCAACTCGCTCAGGTGTCAAAAACACTTGAGAATCGTGATTCCATCGACAAGGCTCGAAATACAGAGTTAGAGATGCAAGTGATCGAGCTCAGGGAACAACTCGCGATCGCTCGGCAGAAGGCCAAGTTCAGCGAAGATAGGTTGATTGCCTTTCAGGAGGAGAGCGATATTATGGTGCGAGAGGCATACAAACGAGTTGAGGAGGTGGAGGGTGAGATGCGAGCTCTACTTTGCGATATGGCTTCAGAGAAGAGAGCGAATAGAGAGAGGATGGAACAGATTGGTAGACTACTGAATGCCGATGTTCCCTTAGAGCTGGATTAAATTGCTTGTAAAACACACATTGATCACGACGAGATTTTACGATGAAATGACGAGACTGTGTGAGCTTCACTATCAGGCACTCCGACGAGCGTACGCGCTCAAGTTTCAATCGCTTGCATCCCTCGAGACTTTCCCGGACACTTTGCATGCCAACCGTCTGGTCGATCGCGCGCGTCTATGCGCTCTGCATTGGTCTCTCGTACGGCCTACTGTCTATTCATCGGTCTCGGAACGAGGTCCAACCAAGCGAGGAAACTGCGATTGTCTTGACCTTGAGCGGAGACGAGCGTCTCGACGAACTCCATCGTGTCGCTTTTGAATCTTTGCGCTCCAATATTGGAACATTTAAACTTGTGGTAGTTCAAGAAGGATCGAGCCGTGAGTGGCTCAAAAACTCGACTCGGCTCGAGTGGGTTGTGCACGCTTCTCCCGTTGACGAACGTAAAGCTTACGGACGAGCGTTTGATCGATTTTCTGGGATATATGGCGCGTCTGTTAAGCCAGCCGCAATCCGTTGGCTGTCAAATAGTCTGTACTCCCGGGCGTGGATTATCGAGCCTGACACTGTGTTCACTGGAAAATGGTCGGAACTGTTTGGCAAATATGCTGACGACCGGAGCGATCTCATCGCATATAACGTCACGTTTCGGTTTCAAAATAGGACCTCATGGAACCATTGGCACGGATGCACACTCTGTGGAGGGCTCGCAGATTGGAAAAAGCAAGCGTCTTTGCTTCCAGCGTTTCGAATCACTCGAACTCTCGCAGAAGCACTCGTCCTGCACCTTAGGACGACCAAGATGAGCGGTCATCACGAGGCCGTGCTTCCAACTTTCGTCACCGCTAACGCTGAACATTTTTCTTGGTGCGATCTCGCTCCTGACGTCGAATACTTTCGCTGGCGCCCGGTGTGGGACGCTTCCAGACTCGCACTCCCAAACTCGCTTTATCATCCTGTGAAGTCGCCGGCGAGTTTTCGCCGGATCTCCCCCTCGTTCTCTCTGAGCTGACGATCGTCAAACAAACATGGTCAGAGTCATCATAAATGTATGGCCCACGTGATATCGGCTCGTGGGACGGGATTTCATCCGGATGTGCCGAACCTAATGAGCGCCTGATTTCGCGCGATGCGCGCGCGCTAGGGTTGGGCGTGTCCGACGGCGTCTCCCCGCAATGAAGCCCCATCGCCGCCCCCACGTCCGTCTCGATCGACGCGAACGATCACTCGTGATTTCACTGTATCACGCATCCTCCGTTCCGCCTTGGATCTCCTTCTCGATCGCCCGATTCGTCCGTTCGTCCGTCCGTCCGCCCGTGGCTCTCGCGAACCCAATTCTCTGAGTGAACACTCGTGAACTCGGAGTGGCCCGTTGAGCGACGGTTGAGCCCGGGTCTCGGCGTCGTCATCGTCTCCGAACGCCGACGCGCTCGCGCACGAGCGCGTTCGCGCGACGAAGTGAAGGGTCGATACCGCCCTTTACATGCTCTGAGCGAGATCGTCATCGCGTGAACGCCCAACACGAACGCTCGCGAGCGGGATTTCCTCGAGCGAGCGCCGTGGGTCCGAGGACGATGGTCGAAAGCCGCGGACGTGAGCGCGGATTTCAACCGGCGTCGAGGTCGTGCTCGGGCTCGAGAGCGGCGCGAAGTCGCGTGGGAAAGCCTTCCAGACTTTATCGACCGCTCCCGGTCGTCCTCTTGCTCGTTGTCGCGTCTATGGCTGCGGTTCCGGGACGAGGCGCGACGTACGCGGCGTGTCCAGAAGCGTGCGGCGCCGCCAAGTCTCGGGGCGTGTGTCGGATTGACGGAACGTGCGAGTGCGTCGAGGCTTGGACGGGATTAAAGTGCGACGTCCCGGCGATTAGCGTGGTGCGGGAGGTTCGGGGAGATGGGACGGCGGCATACGAGCACGACACAAACGGGACAACGTTCAGCGAGGCACACGTCAGCAGCGTGGTGCTCGACGGCGTCAAGGGGGTCGCGTACGTGTACGCACATGATTCTGGCGGGGTTCGAGTGGTCGAGGTGGATGCACGGTACCCCGAAAGCTTCACATCGGGTGGGATCACATCGCGCGGTTGGGGAGCAAACGGACCGAGGCGAGAGTTGACAGGAGCAACGCCGCCAGCCATTGCGCCCGATACGGGTTACTGCGGCGTGGAGACGTCGATTTCGTGCACGGCAAAGCATCCGAGAGCGTATGGGCGCGTGGATCCCGCGAAGTCGCGCGGATGGTACGGTGTGCATGCAGAGCTGTCGCTGATCCTTGATCCTTTCGATATGTCCCTGACGTCAGTCATTGTGCCCGTGAATATGTGGAAGCCGAACGAAGAGAACAAGTATAAATTTGCACTTTATCAGTACGTTGGTACAGCGTGTACGTCTGATCCATCTGCATGGGCGAACTGCGTGCTAGGCAGCTCCTCAAGCGGAACACCATCAAAGTTCGAGCTCTCCAATTTCATTTTGGACGCAGTTGGAGTTAGCAACTCCAACGGGATGATGGTGTACAAGGCGACACACGAGGACGGTGTCTCAAAAGGCATCATTGGCCACGTCAATAAAAACATGCAGACACAACAATATACCCCCTTATCACCAGGACTGATGAAGTCAAGGTGTCCTGAATGTGCAAACGCTCCTGACGCCTTGCGCATCGAGACGAGCACAAACTACTCCGCATCTGGAGTAAATAATTACGTCATATTCGCTGGTTCTGCATTGCTCGATTACACAGATAGAACATTTTATCCGGCTTTGTACAAGGTCAACGCGAATCCAAACGTTCGTGACGGGGATGGTGAGGAAATGTACGTGGTTAATACAACCATAGCAGTGCCCGAGGCATGCGAAGGACAAAGAGATACAAGACAGGGACGATTCTCAACTTTCACGGCGATAACGAGTCACGGTGAGTTTGGATACGTGGGAACCTCTGGGAGAGACAGTAACTGCGCTCAATGTAACAAACGCGCGGCTTGCATCTTCATGTTTCACATGAGTTTCTCTGAAGGCGATGGACCTCTCGCGGTCCTCGTGCTTGACGGCGAGCTCGGTGAGCGCGACGCTTTGAGCGCGATCGTCGTTCCGAGTACGAATTCCGGAGAGAAGGATTACATGTACTGGACGGTCGGCTCCGGGGATAATAGTACAAGTCGAATCGTAAAGATTGAAATAGGTGGGGTCGATACTTCGAGCGATTGCGTTACCGGTTGCTTCAAGAGGGTGGGAACGTTTAAGGAAAATTTCCCGATAGGAGGCATCACTCCAGTGCCAGGAGAACATAGAATATTCGCTGTTAGCTCTGGAGCGACGACGAAATATGCAAAATATTCAACGTCTGTGATCTCCAGAGTTGAACCAACGCATGTGAGTTCTCTGACGTCGGGTACAACGGTCAAGATAATTGGAAGTGGTTTCCATTCGCCTTCGCTCGGAGCTGGCCTTAGTCATTCGATTGCTTGCAGATTTGGACATACGAACGATGCGAATGACGGATTTGCGAATACTTCATGGTCGCCAGGGACGTACATTTCGCCGTTTGAGATCTCATGCATTACTCCGTCAGCTGCAAACTCGAGCTCAACAAACATTGGTTACAGCGAGGTTCAAGTGTCATTCGATGGTTTCCCAAGCGATTCAAGCGACCCGAACGGTGTGTGGCAAAAGTCTTTATGGAATTCTGCCCACCTGTATTTGCGATATCACGATCCGGCTGTTATCGTCGCCACAAATATAGGCACTGAGGAGGCTAGCGTATTGTACACTGGAGAAGATGCCGACAATCTTCCTGTTGATCTCAGAATCGCCGGAGGTCCATTCATAAACTCTCCGGACTTGAAATGTAGATTCCATGGCGACGACACGAGCGTGACAAACGCCATATTCGTTAGTGCGATAGAGATCAAGTGCAAGGTGTGTAAAGTGGTCAGTGGGCGCTGCTCAAATCCAGTTGGAAGTCCTCTGCCATGGCTTCCAAGTGGCCAGCCAGCCGAGGTGGAGGTTGAAGTATCACTCAACGGTGTTGACTTCGGTGATTCAAAAGGAAAACTCAGGCTTCATGGGCTGCCTGTGGGTGTTAAACTCTTGGACGGACCGAAGGTGGAGCGTGCGATTACTGCAGCCTCCGGTTTTTCTGTGGGAACCTTTCAGGTTGGCCTCGTGGATGTGAACGAAACTCTAATAGCGTACGATCGAGGCGAAGGAGGAACTAAAGGTTTCAACATCTCAGCTGTGATATCTGGGCCTTCTAATGTCGCGATAAGCGACGATACGTCATCGGCCACGACGACTGAGGGCGTCGCCTCGTTTGTACCCGCTCTGACTGCGGCACCCGCTGCAGGAGAGTACAAGATCATATTCACTGCAGCTGATTGTACTAAGAGCGATGGATCATGTGTGATGAGCTTGAGCGTACAAGCAGAGGCACTTTTTTCCGTACAACCAGGTCCGAGTGCTGGCTTGTCTGTGACACCAGGGAGAGCACTTACACGTTTCATGATCTCCGACCCCGGGCTGTTTCCAGCAGATGTGATCGCGCTGCCCGCAACTCAAAACACATCTATAGGGTATTTGATCGTTGATCTTGTCGACTCAGGGGGAAGTGCGTTGCAATCACTCTCAAAGAACGATGTTGTGGTGACAGCTTCTCTCGTTACAAGCACAGTTGATTCCAGTGGTATTTATGTAGCACGAACCACTGGCGCTCAGCTCATCGGGACGTTAAACAGAACAACGAGCGATGGTCGTGCATTATTTTCTGACCTATCACTTATCGCTGCGGCACCATCCGGTTCGAGAGCCGTAGGTTCTGCGGATGACATCACCTACGGTGAGGCGACAAGAGGAGATTTTGGAGAAGCATCAAAGTATATTTTGCAGCTCAGCGCAGTGGTCGAGGGAGTTTCATACTCGACTCACGCAATCATCCGAATCGATCTTGGTAAACCGTCCTATCTCCGGGTGAATAACACGTACAGCAAGCGGACGATTTACGCCGAAGCTCCAGAGCAACCGATTGGTGAAATCATCATCGGCGCGTATGACAGTGGTAATAACTTCGTCGGCACAGCTGAAACAAGTTCACGCAGCGTGACCGTGACAGCTTCAGCCGGAATCAACTTGGCTGGTAATCTCCAAGTGGAGAGGGATGATACTGGGGTGTGGCGATTCTCAGATCTCAAGGTTCTGGGCCCCGCTGTAGGAGATTTTGGTCTTACTTTCTCCTCACCGGATTTGCCCTCCGTGTTACAAGTTGTTAGTGTACTCGATGGGGACGCCGGGTACGAGCTATCACCGTCTCTGTCAACATTATCAACGGTTACGGCCGGACCAGCTGTTTCACTGGATTCATTTTCGCTGTCAATTCTGGATAAGAGCGGTACCTCTCTGGGAACATTCGATAAGCACTCGACAGGTGACACTGTGGCGCCAAACCGAACGATTCAGGTCAGCTCCGAAACTCTTGCGCTTTCTGGATCGACCGTGCTATTCACGAACGGGAACGGTCAAGTCTCTGTCACGGGTTTAGTCGCGGAATCGCCCAAGGTAGGCTCGCATACCTTGATAGTATCTGAGACCAGTGCACATGTGAGCGGAGAGCAGCGCGAAGGAAAGCTGCAGCGCGCAACTGTCACTGTAACCGTCGTTGTGGGCGCCGTGAGTGGGTTCAAAGTCATCAGTCCCAAAACTTTCGAGTTCAGTTCATCGTTTACCGACAGTATCCAGGCATCAGAAGCGACGGCATATTCCGCAGGGCACACGGTACCACTCAGTGACTTCGTGATAGTTCCTGTGGATGGTGCTGGTAATGAGTTGCCGACGGGAACCTCTCCTAGTGGAGTCACACTGACGGCAACTATGAATGATACGAGCCGTGCCGTTTATCCGTACATACTTGGTACGAACGAGACCGCTATCGCTAAAGCCGCAGTGCTCACTGTGTATTCAGACACATTGACGTATCCAAGGACTGGCTCGCTCAAGGAGACCACTTCAAGTGGTGGAAATGCAACATTTTCTGGGTTACACTTAGTTAAACCGCAGACTGGGACATACACATTGATATTTACGTCGTCTGATCCCAATTTGAATTCTGCGAGTGTTGATTTAAATATCACTCCAGGTACTTCTGTGCAGCTTGGGTTGCTGCCGTACTGCGATTTAGTCGATGGTGAGTGCCAGACAACTGTGAACTGCACCTGTCATCGATATCGTTCCGCTCTCAAAGTGCAGATGCACCCAATCATCGTAGACGTCCTCGACGGTGCATTTAATTTCGTCGGGGATTTGCACACGAAGAGCTGTGAAACGTGCCCAGACAGGTCAGTGCAGCTGAGCCCAGAGAACGTCACCGTTTGCAGGTGGATTGAAGTGGGAGTTTCGTGTGAGTGTGCAGGTAACAGCGATCTAGCGTCGGCATCGTCGACTCCAGCGCTCGATAAAGTGCAGTGTATATCACTGGGGGCTCTCAGTGTCCTCGTAAACTCGGGAAGAGGTTCTTTTGATGATTTAATCATCCCCTACCCACGCACTGGGATGTATGCCGTCTCCATTCACTCGCCTGGGCTCCTGGGGGTGAAGTACCACTTTTCCGTACAACTCGGTTCAGCGGCGAAGTTCGTGCTCGAGCGAACTCAAGCTAGTGGCTCGTATAAATCTGGGGTTCGGACTTCTATCGTGAACGCTACAAACTCTTTGACAGGGCGTCTTTATGACGGAGGCGATAATTTTCTTTACACCGCGAGCACAGGATCAATAATATTTGTTCGTTGCAAAACCGCCGCATTGAGCGACTATCCACAGGGAATCAATCCAGTGATCGGGGGCACGACTTACGCGATGGCGTGCGCTAACTCTGAGACGTGTGCATCAATGGTACGTTTCTTCAAACCTGCGTGCGCGGAATTATTTAATTTCCCAAAATAATTAATTGACTTTGTTTAAATGCAGAGTGGAACTCCAGGTGTTGTGGAGTTTAGCAACATCGAGTTGCTCGCGCCGGTCGTGGGATCGCACCAGATCGAGTTCTTGCTACAAAGCGAGGTGGTGGCGACTTATACCGTGAACGTTGTGCTTGGAGATCCAGCCAGGTTAATAGTTGCAAATAATCCAATTCGTACATACGAGGCAAGGACTTCGACCGTGCTCGATCCATTCGAAATTGCGATCGCAGATTTTGCCGGCAATTTGCTCGGCTCGTCAAACACGAATGAATACGATATCTCTGCGTATGTGACCGGTCCAAGGTACGTTCAGTGACAAAATTAACTTTGGCTCGGTAATTAATTAATTATTTCTCGGTACAGGCATAACTTCGCGTTGAGCGGGGCAGATGCAACGCTGGCGGCGGGAGCTGGTAGTGTACTATTCAGTGAGCTCGACATCGGCATGCCGGAGGTACGATTCGCGTCCACAGAATATTTTCGTCCAACCAGTCCAACTCACATTTAATTAACTTGCAGGCTGGAGAATATGAAATTTCGTTCCGTTGCGATGCGTGCACGAATGCCGGGACTCCAGTTGCGTCGACGACTTTTAAATTTTCAATAGGTCTCGGGCCCGCGACAGGCTTATCGGTTTCACCGGTACGTTTATTTTACGGCATCAAAATAATTCAACTAACAATTAATTTAAGGAGCACACCTCAGCCATCACAGGCGAAACGGTCGCGTTGCAAACAGTATACTCAACTGCGAAGGAAGTGAAACTGAGCATCATGGAGCTTCGAATCGTTGACGCAGGCTCGAACGTCGTGAACGTCAACCATGAAATTTCCGTCGAGGCTATCCCCATAGCTTTGGGTGCGTGCAACTTCCCAACAAATTTGTCGTACACTCCGCGAACAGTGGTCGCCGGGGCGGCGATGTTCACAGACATAGTATTTTATCGCCCTTGTACGGGTACCTACTCGTTGACGTTTTCAGCACAAGGATCTGGTTTGGCGTCCGTCTCTAAGACCTTACAGTTCACTGTGGGGTATCCAGCAAGCCTGGACGTCTGCACGGCAAACAGCTTCATGCGCGTCTCGAATGGGCTGTGTCGTGACCCGACGAAATACACGGCGGCACCAACTCTGAACTTGAGGCACTTTTTGACAAGAATGACCGATTCTGGAGGAAACCACGTCGGTTCAATTTGGGACCAGGAGGCGAGGAATATCACAATCGAACTTGACTCTTTCACACCCGCGAGCGGACAACTTACTCAAGCGGGTGTAGTGCCAATCTTACGTGCTGATTGGGATGGTTCTCTTCTAGCGGAGAATGGCCAAGTGGGTTGGTGCGAAGATACAGAAGACGAAAATCCACAAACTGTGGTGCGCGTCAATCCCCTTAGCGGGCTTTTCGAATATTCGATAGAGTACGAAAATCCTGCACCAGCGTACTGTCGGGAGATGTACTACAGCGGTGTTGGACCAGATACGCACTATAACGTCGGTCTTCAGATCGAGAACGCGCTAGCAGGAGTATATCGGCTCAAAGTCGCATCTATATGCGACATCACGCGTTGTCCAAATGCGATTTATCCAACGCTTGAAGTTGATATGTTAGAGTTCACAGTTGTCCCAGGCGCGCCGACTGGTTTGAGTGTGGTCACCGCACCTCCGTTCATAAGTGACAATGACTTTGCGCTGATACCAGCACCAGTCGTTGCTGTAGTTGACTCAGTCGGGAATATTTGCGTTAACGTGACCGCACAAGTCGCGGTGAGTGTTCTCCCTGTTTCGGCGCAAGTAGCTAGTGGCGGAACAAAGGATTTGGTTGACGGAATGGCAACTTTTGATTCCCTCAGAATCGCTGGCGAGCGTGAGATCGAATACCAACTTAACTTTTCGTCTTTGACGCTCAACATAAGCGTCGTCCCGGCGAGTACGATTCAGATCATGAATTGCTCAACCATCAGGCCCAACAGTAGCCTGCGCAACGGTGCGTGTGAGTGCTTACCTGGCTTTACTGCTGACATCACTGGTGATACCGGGCACATCGAGGACGTCGAATCGCTGTACGTGGAAAAGAATATATCACTGTACAAGGGCGCCACTCCCGGCTCGATGGAATGGATAAGCAGCCTGAATCCATATGGAGTCTGTGTACCATGCAAGAACGGTTTCTACAAAGGTACTCATGGCAACGCCGCTTGCACACGTTGCCCGGCGTTCATGGACACATCGCGTTCTGACGGACAATTGAGATTGCCTTATCGATCGATATCTGGGATCAGGCTTTCTGGCGAATTGGGTCACACAAATAAGACTGCGTGTCACTGCATCTCTCAGACGAAAGTGCCATTTAAGAGTTACTACCGAGAAGTGCCATTTCAAAATTTTGCATGCGCAGCGTGCCCGGAGGGTGCCAAATGTAACGGTACCGGTGTTGAGAGTCTCGAAGCGCTTCCTGGTTTTAGCAGGTATGATCGAACAACGCTCAAGTTCCGAGCCTGTCCGTACAAACTGGCGTGCTTGGGCGGAATGAGCAGTGGGTGCCTGGAAGGTGGCTACACCGGCCATACGTGCGCGGCATGCGGGAAGGGATACTCGTACGGTACGATCCAAGATACCTATCCACCAAAATGCTTCAAGTGCACACGTCATGTGATGAATCTTCCGATTGTCATCATGCATCTCGTCTGGATTCTGGGCGTGGTATGGACTATTCGCAGAATAAACCAATGGCGGGGTTCTGAGGCGGTCAATCTCATCAAATCGTTCCTAACATACCTTCAAATGAATGCGTTGGCTAAACAATTAGATCTAAAGTGGCCGAGCGCTACGAACTTGTTCCTCCTGATAGCCGAGAAACTCTCTTTGCCTGATATTCGCTCGGCTCCGCAGAAGTGTGCGCTCAACTGGAATTTCTACGTGAATTTCATGTTCCACGAGACCTTGCCCTTCGGAATGCTGCTAATCTTACTTTTTGGATTCACCATGATGAAATACGTTGAACAGCTGCGAGAAGAGGTCGCAAAGGCGAGAACTGCGGCGACAAAGGAGGCTCTCTCGAAGCTCTTTGAAACCAATCATGAAAGAGGAGAGCGACAGGTCAACACAGCGAACAAAGACAGCGAAGAAGGCCTCGAACAATCGCATCAAGTCACTGCCTATGACACTGTGATCTCTTGGCTCGTTGTCGGCCTTTGGTGGCTCTATCCTACTGTCGTTCAGTACCTGATTGAGTTCACGCAGTGCACCGGGAGCGTTGGCGATAGTGATCGACACTTTGTTTCTGATTACTCGCTGAAATGCGCAGGAACGATGTACACTCTGTACGCCGTGTTAGTCTCAATTCTCTTTATCGTCTATCTTGTCGGTATTCCGTACTTTTTACTGCTACTGGCACGTCGAGAAGATATTGCCACGGAACACAACTCAGCAACGGTCGCGTATCGGCTCGGAGTTCTCTACAAAGGCCTCAACGTCAAGGACGCTTGGTGGTGGGAGTGGGTGATATTCTCTCGCAAATTGATTTTAATCACCGCTGTCATCATATCCCGGAGAAGTCCGGTCCTTGGCGGATACGCTGCGAATTGTCTGTTGCAATGTTTCTTCTTGCTCCACATCGTGGTCCGCCCGCACTCCAGCGACAGGCACAGGAAAGTTGAAACCTTCGGCTTGCTCGCCACCATGGCGACGTTTACAAGTGGTTTGATTTATGAACGTGACGCGAGTAATTCGCGCTTTGGAACGATCATAACCGTTTTTTTGCTAGTTTCACACGGTTGGGTGTGGCTCAGCTTTGTCCGTGTGCTCAGGGAGCAGTGGCTCGAAGAGGGCGAAGTGGGTATGATCAGGCGTGCGATACGGGACTTGGAGTTCGAAAACACCGTCGTCGACGCGTTCGAAGCATCTCGAGAAGAAAAAATATCTCACGCCGAGCAGTTGACGAAGGAAAGCGAGCAAATGCGTCTTAAGAGTATGGCAGGTCAACGTCTGCCATTTGCGGATGACGACTTACTTGCCAAGATAAGGGGAGACTCCACCGTCGACATCAGAGCCGAGCACATAGAATTGAGCTCTCAACTGAGAGATCTACGGAATAAATGGAAACTTCGAAGCGCGCACCGGCAGGATCGACTCATTCCGATGGACGAACGCCACCTCGTCGCTGTTGGCGCACGCGGGCGTGCTCTGGAGTCACCCGCTCTGAGGACATCAGATTCGTCCGCTTGCGAGAAAAATGACACGAACACGAGTTAGAATTTTAGAGTAGATGAAATCAACGCAATAGCATCGAGCGTTGATTCCTCGAGCGCAACGTCGCGTCGGCATTCTCTCGTGATGACTCACTTTCTTGCCTGGCAACAATTTTCTTGAGGAGAACGTCCATGACACGAGTCATGACTCAAAAATGAGTCTCGTCGTAGGAAACAAAAAGAGTGACCCCCGACCCACGCCTCCCTTCACTTCTCGCTCCGCAAGACTCTACATATGTCCGTCGCCGCGTCCACGTCCACTTTCGCCGGTAAGGCCATCGCTCAAAAGGCTGTCGTGAAGACCTCCAAGGTCTCCACCGTCGTCAAGGCGAGCGCGAACAAGGTACGTCGTGCGAGCGCGCGTTTTCTCCTTGCGAGAAAGAATCATCATCGCGATCGAGCTCCGTGATACGCGGCGTGCGCCCTCGCGCGCGGACGTTCGCACGCGTACGCGCGATCGAACGCTCTCGCGATCACCAATCGAGAGAATTTTTACTGACGGATCCGTTTCACCACGAACGCACGCTCGTCGACCGAGCGCACGCGCGGACGACGACGAGGCGCGCGCGAGGGCGATATCACAGAGGTCGAACCCCGATCTTCCATCGTGCCTCGCTCGCGCCGCAAGTCGTCTACGCGCTCGCTCGGTCGCGAGTCGTGCGTCTGTGCGGTGATTTATCACTCAACAGGCGCTCTCCCTCGCCGCCGCCACCGCGGTCGTGCTCTCCACCGGTCCGGCGTTCGCGAACACGGCCATCGAGCTCACGGACAAGCGCGCCGAGCAACAAAACGGGTTGCAGCTCATCTACGAGGTACGTTTTCTGAGTCATGACTCTGCGAAGGAAGAGGTTGAATCCAACCGTATCCACGCGAATCGAGATCTTGTGGTATTTTCGATCAGTGCGGTTGGGAAGTCATACTGTGGGAGAGACTAGACTGTGATTTCTATCTTGGACATTAAGGGATATCTCGCGAAGGTGTGGAGACCAGAAGAAGGTTGACTGACCTGAACTATTGTCGTGTTCTGTCGCAGGCTCGTGACTTGGACTTGAGCAACAAGCCGAACGCCGAGGGTAACTCGCGATTCTCCTTCCAAAAGCTCGGCTCGACGGAGACCGCGGCGCGCGCGCGAGAGTCGGTGGTGCGTATTTCGCGTGCGCTGAGCGATGAAGACACGCGCGTCATGTTTGAGAGAATTTAGCGGCGTATCACGTGGCGATCGAGGGCACGAATGACTGACGACGATGACAATGACGCTGTGTGCATGATTGAACAGGCCCGCATCAACGGTGACGTTGGCACGTACGTCGAAAAGAAGTACTGGACCCAAGCGGCGAACGAACTCCGCCGCCAAGTCGGCACCCTTCGCTTCGACATCAACAACCTTGTCAACGAGAAGGGTGCTAATGCTGCCGAGGCCAAGGCGTTCTACAAGAAGCTCGAGAACCTCGACTTCTCCATCCGCCAAAAGGACCAAGCCGCCGCCACGGCGCTTCTCGCGGAGGTCCAATCGACCGCCAACACGCTCATCAGCTCCCTCGCGTAAGGCACAGCGCTCAGCGCAGACGCCGCGAACCGGACCTAGTCACCATGATTGCTAGCAACGATTACGATGTTCGGAATGTATAGGAGTTATGTAATTCACATGCGATGAGAACACGGGTCAAGCACGACGTCCGCGCGTCTTGCGGCTTTTTGGAAACGCCTGGAAGCGCGCACGTACGGACCTCACATCATGTCCGCCGTCGCCCTAAGCTTCGTGCCAACCGCGCGCGATCGCGCGCGCGTCTCCGTGTACGCGCACACGTCCTCTTCTCGACAATGTACGCTCTCACGTCCGCGCTCGAACGCGTCGAGGCGAAGCTTTGTCTCTGAACGCGGTACTTTACCGAATGAAACCCTCTCTCGCGCTCGCTCTGTCCGCGCGAGCGCGCGATTCGGGGTGATCGCCCTGGCAAACGTTCTCGGTGACGGTTCGTCGAGCACTAGTGAAGACGCGGATGATTCGGACGACGAGGAGACCACGCGAGCGAGCGTGCAGCTGCCGCGCACGCGTCGAAGGGTACAGATGACGTTCACGTGTAACAAGTGCGAGGGGCGGACGATGCGGATGATCAATCCGGACGTGCTAGAGCGAGGAACAATGTGGGTACAGTGCGGTGAGTGCGAGGTGTGGCATCAAATTGTCGATAATCTGGGGTTGATTTTCGACTTCACTGGGGACTACGACGAGCTGAAAAACGTGGTGAAGAACGCAATGCGGATGCGACCACAAACGGATAGCGATTGATTAGTACAGGCGCTCGAAAGTAGTAATTAAGAATAGTACTCTTCAGTTTGCGCGTCGATCGTTGTCGATCGGATGGACCGAAGCTCCTCTAGAGACGCGTTTTTGACGCGCGCGCTGTTGGTTGCGACGAGCATGCCGAGCGCGACGGCGGCGAAGATGTACACCGATAACAACGCCGGAGACAACAAGGCAGTTCGACGAGATGAAGAACCGTCCAGTGATAAACTTTGGCGAGGGATTGCGACGCTACCGAGCGACGACTCGACCCCGCTGCTAGCTGTTTCCCCCGCTTCCACGTCTGAATCCTCCTCCTTGGCGTGGAAAGTCGGTGGTGGTTTTTGATTCTTCAAGTAGCTCCTCTTGATCGCGCATCTCGCACCACCACCGTGATTAAGCTTACAGTGGTAGTTAAAATGCTCGTGGAACGAGTTCGGAGTCAATTTATCCGGAACTTTCACGCCTTCGCGCAACACCGCTCGAATCAACTTACCATCCATGAACATGTTTGCCGACATTCCTTTCGTCAAAGACAGCGTGGCGGCCCAGCTGTACATCATATCTCGCACTTCGTGGAACGTGTTGCCCTGTTTCTGTCCCTTGTCACGACCGTGAGGGATGAAGAGCGGTGGCGTCGCGACCCGAAAGCCGTTGTCCAGTTTGACGCCGTCGGCTAGCACGCACTCATCAAATTCAACGCACGTCAGCGAGCACACGTCCACCTCCTTCGTAACGGGCGCTCGATACGCCTTCACTAATCTATCCATTCCTCGCTTACTTATCAGATACGCCTGGGTGCCGTGTAAACGTCTCATGCCTTTCGGCAGCGATGAAAGGTACCGTCCAGGCGCAGTCTTGCGCTCTCTTTGCCAGTCGTAGAAGAGTTTCATAATCGCTGAAGATTCTCCCAGCGCCGAGAGTTGAACCAACGTCCAATCCTCCGGTAATCTTGAGACGTACTCCTCCAGACCGCTCATCCACGTCGCCATCAGCTCGGGCGACGCGTCGTCCTCCAACACCAGCGCAGTCTCCGCCCCGGCGTCTGCCGCCTCGTAGATCGCCGATAAGTGCGACAAAGTCCTCCCCAATCGCTCAAGGTACGTCCCACTAAACTTCTCCACGCCATCGTCCCCGCTCGTCGCCCACCCCTTGCGCTTGCACGTCCTCGTCTCGAACCTTCTGACGAGCTCGCTCGCGCGCGTGGCATCCGTCGCCGCCACGCGCTCGAGCGTCGTCCCGATCGCCCGAAACCCATCCTCCATCGCTAATCTGCGCTCGGCGGCGCCTCTGGCGTTGATGTAATACGCCCTGATCCCACCCCGCGTCGCCGTCGTCGCCGTACCGACGCATCCATTCACCAACACCATGGCGAACACCACACGCCACACCCATCGTTCCACCGTCGACGTCGTCGCTCGGACGCGCGCGCGCCCCGCGCCCCCCCCCGGTCGCCCGCGCGACGATCCCATCCCTCGTTCGCCCCGATCGAGTTCGCGGTCGTCCCGTCGCGCGCCGCGGTGTCCGTCATCGCGCGTCGATCGTCCGCGCGGTGCGCTCGACGACACCGCGCGCGATGTCGCGCCTCGCCCCGCGCCCATGCGTCGACCGCGCGCCCGCTCGACGGACGCGGACGACGACGCGGACGACGACGACGCGGACGACGACGCGGACGCGCGCCGGCGTCGAGCGGGCGTCGAGCGGGACGCGACGACGTGCGCGCGCGCGCGTGCGACGTACGAAGCGACGGCCGCGGGGCTGCGTCGGCGCGCGCGGGCGTACGACAGAGCTCGCAGGGGCGGTGGGATACCGTGGGCGGACGGGAGCGCGCCGGAGGTGGCGCTCGTGGATGGACGAAGCGGCCTGGGTGGATTAGTCCCGGGCGAACGCTTCTACGCCCCGCATCTGGACGTGTGGGAGTTCACGCACGGACGATCGCTCGAGGCGGCGAGTCAGGCGTTGAATCCTGGGGTTTTCACGTACATCTCGGCGGTGCTCGGTGAACAATCGAGGGTGACGCTCTTGGCGTACGCGCTCGGACCCGACGGCGGCTTTGGTTTAGAGGGATGGCGCCCGGGCGAAAATCCGAGCGAGTGCTTTCGCGATGGAAAAGTACGAGTGGGAGGAGAAGAATTTGACTCTGGATTGTGCATCTTTTACGCCCTGGACTCTTCGAGCACGCGTCGGAGGAGTGGTGTCGGGACGCTCTGCCAGTGGATAAAACGGAACCAGATGGGACAACGTACGTTGGTGCGAGGCAATATTGAAGATTTAGACGTACTCATCGCGAAGCAGGATCCTTCGCTGATAGAGTTTCGCGCTTTGAGCGTGGTTTGGGTGGAATTACCAGCGTTACCGCCTAATCAGAGTTGTACGCACGAGTAGCGGTCAAATTATGTACTATAAAGATTTCGCTCACCAGGACAGAGACTTAAACGCCGAGCCGCCGAGTGTGTATCAGCTCGGAGTCCACACGGCGCAGGGAGGTCGGATGGCGGAGGCGCGAAAACTGATGTCCAAGATTCTGGAAAATTTGCGGTGTACACGTGAGAGACAAGTGCCCCCTCCGGGGACGCATGAGTCAGCTTTGAACGCGTGGGACTTAGACTGGGAAAAAATAGAAGAGACGCTCCCACCGTTCGCGCAGCATCCGAGTGGATTTTCGTACTGGATTTTGCATGTCATGCCGATGGCAATTGAAAACGACTTCCGACACCTTGTACTCTCTACGGATGACGTTCTCTTGCGCTTGCAGCTGATTTTCGAGAGGATGCAACCGCAATCTATGCAAGTTTTCGCACCACTGCAGCACCACTGCAGTGCCGTCAGCTGCGTAGCTGAAGCAAGAATGGTGCGATTCATGTCTAACGCGTGGACTTGGGAACGTGGGCACGAGCTGTTCCCGGTTGTCTGCGCATCTCGTATCATGGTGGCGCCGGGAGGCGGTTTTGAGCGATGGGTTGTCGTCGCGGGTAAGCAGAACGATGTCAGGGTAATTCATTCCGCTGGTTCGTACCACCCGGACTACACGTGGTTCCAAGGATACGCTTGGCGCGCTGTTTCATGCCGCGACTGCTCGACCTTCATTGGATTCCACTTCACTCCAACCAGAAACGAGAAAGAGCTCGAGCGCGTCAGACGAGAATCCCAAGACTGGCCTCAACGAGCCGCTCCCTGGGCCTCCGGAACCCCATCGAGTTTTTATCTCTTCAAAGATCTCGCGCACGGTTGGTCGCTCGACGCTGAAGACGAAATTCTTGGTGATGTAGACTACGACTCGCTGTAAACCAGCGCCTGCGCGGCGTTTCGCGCGCGCGCCTAGGGTTGGGAGGCGGAAGTGGACGTCCACTCCCGCCTCCCCGTCCCCACACGCTCGCGCGTCTCTCTCGTCCGCGCCCGGACTCCGAGCACACGAACGTCATGCGCGTCGTCATCGCGTCTCCCATCGCCGCGCGCGACGCCCTCGCGCGCTCGCGTTGCGCTCACGTCGATGCGACGTCGACGTCGAGCTCGGCGTTCGTTCCGACGCTTCGTCGACGTCGCGCGTCCTCGGTGAGACTCGATCGAGGGCTCAAGACGTCGCGAACGACGACGACGCGAGCGAGGAAGGGCTCGACGACGGAGCGCGACGCGAGAGAGGCGCCGAGCGTGGGCGGGGGGTCGAGTGAAGGCGGTGGCGGAGCAAAGGCGGCGGCGGATGCGGACTTCACCAAGTGGTTGCTCGAGCGCGAGCTTCCGAGCATGGGGAGGAAGACGATGAAATCGCTCTCGTCATTACCGCTGGCAATCGGGGAGTTGATCGTCATCGCCGGTTTCTCGGCGCTAGGGACGGTTATTGAACAGAACAAGTCGTACGCGTGGTACGCGGAAAACTATCCAACGGAGAATCCGACGTTTGGTTTCATCGATTTTCCGTTGATTCTGGATCTCGGACTCGATCACATATACACCACGTGGTACTTTGTATCGCTCTTGGCGCTCCTGGGGGCGTCCTTGACGGCGTGTACGGTGACGAGGCAGTGGCCGGTGTGGAAACTTGCGGCGAAGTGGAAATTCTTGGATCGACGGGCGACGCTGCTTGCCATGGACGAGTCAGAGTCCGTGCCCAGGGCTAGATTGAGCGATTTTAGCGAGTTACTAGCCGCGCGTGGGTACCAAGTTTTCGTCAAGGGGGAGAAAATGTACGCGTTCAAGGGATTGATTGGGCGACTCGCGCCCATCGGGGTACACGCGGCGTTGCTCTTCACCTTGGGTGGCGCCGCATACAGCGGTCTCGGCGGACTCAGTGGATCCATGATGGTCCCGGATGGGTCATCGTTCGAAATAGGGTCAGGCTTGACGCGAGGCTCACTGTTATCTTCCATGCCTGGTGTCGCGAAATCGAGCGTGCAGGTGAACGACTTTACAATTGACTATTTACCGAATGGGCAAGTGTCGCAGTTTTATTCCGACCTGAGTGTGGTGGATCCGAAGGGCAAGGAGATGTCCAGGAAGACAATTTCGGTCAACGTTCCGTTAAGAATCGGAGGAGTGACGATGTATCAGACCGATTGGGCGCTATCGTCCATGCAAGTGACGGTGCAAAAGGCGAACGAAGAAGGTGGCTCTGGAGCGGGAAACACGTATGTACTCCCCATGGCGTCATTGGAGGGTAAAGGAGGTTTCCAAGGTCGCATTTGGGGTACGTTCTTACCAGTAGACTTCGACGGAGATCAACGTCAGGGTATTTCACTCGTCGCTCGCGATTTTCAAAGCGTGGCAATTTATGATAGCAAGGGGGCGTTTGTGGGCGTTCGCCGCCCGGAGAGTAAGAAGCCCATAGAAGTTGATGGATTAAAATTGGTGCTCGGAGACTTGAAGGGAAGCACTGGGTTGGAGCTGAAGACTGACCCTGGAGTGCCACTTGTGTACGCCGGGTTTGCGGGCCTCATGGTGACTTCCTTCCTCTCCCTGCTGTCTCACTCGCAGGTTTGGGCGATTCAGGAGGAGAGTGCCATCGTTGTCGGTGGGAAGTCGAACAGAGCCAAGGAAGAGTTCAGAACCGAACTCGACGATATTTTAAATTCCGTTCCGGAGTATGTCGATTAGTTGCGCCATTGTATTTATAATTCTTTTCATTCAACGTTCAACACGAAACTATTTTTTTGCCGCACGCGTCTCGCGGTTTTGTAAGAACTTGTTCGCGGCGCGAACCATCCACAGCGCGTTTGGCAACGATTTGTTGTATGAATTTCGACCAATGGACATCGCGTTCGCGGCGAGTGATTGCGGATTCGCCTTCACACGGAGCCATTGATAGCCAAAGACGCACCGACATGTGTCGAGCACGCCGTTCTCATACTGCACTTGAAGTTCATCTCGTGAAAGGAGTTCACATTCGACATTTTCCACGCTCGTCGCTGCACCAAATTCGACAGCGGCTGAACAGAAAGATTCGTAATAGGCATCCACGAGCGCCGTCTCTTCGAGTCCGGATCCATCTATACCCAGTGCCTCGTAATGTACAGATGCGCACATGAAGTGTCCGAGGTCGGTGCCTGGCAATCCGAATCCAGTCCACTGAAAATCGATCAGTCCGATGTCCCATGAATCGTCACGCTTCTTCACAAAAATATTTCCCTGTTTCGGATCGCCATGAATCACAGTATGTATCGCGTGAAGTCGAGATCCTCCCTCGGCTAAGACGTCATCTGCTCCCGGACACGCGCTGAACGGGTGTGACTCGGCTCCAATGCGTTTCGCATGCTTTTGCAATCGCTTGCCGACTGTGGAAACGTCGAAACTCGACATATGTGGGTCCGCTTTCCAAGCGTCCCCAAAGCTCACCATGTGCGTCTTCCAAGCCTCTTCCAGCACATCCATTTGCTCTGACGGTTGAAAATTCGGTTGCCAATATCCACCTGATGGCCACACACACGAGCGCAGCTCGTTGTCATTCTCTGGGGAGGATTGGCGATATCTACTTCCTGGTAAAAAGAAAGCGTGCATCCTAGCCAAGGCTCGTAGGGCACATTCAGCTTGGTCGGCACGAAGCATTCGCTCTTGATGCCATCCGTCTTCGCTTCTGAAATCCTCGAGCAAGAGAGAAAACTTACTCTCGATCGGATCCGCATCATTCGGTCGCAGGTCGGCGGCATAGCATCTGGGCGCGTCGATTCCAGCTTCTTTCAGTGACGCGCAAGCGTTCGAGGCCAAAAATGAAGCCTCTATGCGATACGATCGGCTATCACGACCGATTTTCAGCGGTTGCGTGACGGCTTTCGTGCGCATGTAGGTGAGATTGCCCATGTCAACTTTTTTGTAAAACGCCGACGGCGGCAGACCAAGCTTCTCGCCAGCTTCCGACCACTTAAATGTTAACCGACACGCGTCCGACATCAACCCGCGTACGGCGTCGTCCTCGGGCGAGGCATAACCTAAGAGCTTAACCTCGTCGACGTCCACGCCAACCTTTCCTGCAATCGAACGCGCAATTTCTGCCACACGAAGTGGGGAGCCATCCAAGCATCTGGCAACGTCGAACGCTTGCGCAGGATTCTCGACGTTGGACATCGCGATTGCGCTGTCACCACCGCTGCATCGGTCTTGAAGGTTACGTAGCGGCTCAGACTTTCGCATCTCGGCGCAAATATCGTCGTGTTTCGGTATTACTCCCGGTCCAGTGGCGATCACCCCAAGCCGGTTCACCAAACCGGTGGGAGCGTTTCGAGAGTGTGTGAGTGGTGCTCCGAATAAATCCGTCACCTTGCCACCAATCGCTCGAAGCACACCCTCGGGCGCACAAGAATCCCACAAAGACGTTCCAAAGTGCATGATCGCGTAATCCGCGCGGCCCTCTGCGACAGCGAGAATCTTATTCCCAACGCCGCCGATGTATCCGTGTGCGTGCATTTTTCCTTCTTCATAAATCAATCTCGACAGAATCGCCGTCGCTTCCTTGAGTGCGGCGTTCTTAGAATCACCCGTGACGCATCTCATCGCGTTATCTAAATTTTCCTTGTAAGACACGGGCATTTGTTGTCCGCGTTCTCCAATGACGCCCAACACGCCGCTCTCAGCTCCTGGAGCGGCGAATCCCCATACCACGCACGCCTCCCTCGAGGAGACGTCTCCCTCCGGAAACGGCAAACCGATGATACCCCCCACGGACCGTCCTCGAACCGCTACGCCGATCAGGCACTGCACCGCGTGCAAACGTTGTTCGACGAACTCTCGCGTCCCGTCCACTGGATCGACGAAAATCGTTACGTCGCTCGCATCCACCTCCATCGCCCCCAGTGCCTCGCCCACGGCGCCGCTCGACGACAATACGTCATCGATGAGATCCAATCTTAGATTTGCGCCCTTCTTCGGACTCGACGGCGCCGCGTCTTCGTTCTCATCCTCCTCGCCCACCACGGCCACCTCCGGAAACGCCGCGCCGAGCGCGCTCACAATCGCCGCCTGTGCCGCCAGGTCCGCCTCCGTCAGCGCCGACCGCGGGTCCATCTCGTCCTTTCTCGTCACCACGAACGCCGTCTCGTCGTCGCTCGCCGCTTCATCTCGCTTCCGCTGCACGCGCCGAATCTCCTCGCAGCCGCGAGACGCGGCGTCCGCGCACGCCGACAGCACCTCGCGCACGCGCACCCGCGTCGTCGTCGCCGCGTCATCGCTCGACACCATCGTCACCGTCGTCCTCGCGGTCGTCTTCGCGCTTCTCACGCTTCGAGCGCTCGACCGCTTCGCGTCGAGTTTTCCGCTCGCCACGAGCGCGGAACTTTTCGTCCGTGCCGACGCGTTCGCCCCTCTCACGACGCGTGCGCGAGCGCGGGCGAGGCGCATCAACGCCCACGCGGGCTCCCAGCGCGTCGGTCGTGGTCGGGTCGGTCGATCGTTGGGGTCACGCGAGAGGCGCACACTGAGGGGTGGCGCGGCGGGCGCCTCGGCGAGCCGGGCTCCATGGTCGACGCGACATCTCGGAAAGAAACGCCACGCGAGGAAATGAGACGCTAGAGTGTATTTTTCTATATTTTTCTACGATTTTTCCAACTCGTTTCGATGGAGTAGTGAGCGTCGCGTCAGAGCTCGTCCTTTACACGCGTTGGCATGATGTGCGAGAAGTGCTTGTCGAACAAGACGCCCCCCAACGCTTTGCGACCGCGGTATTGCACGGTGTTCAAAGCCCTGAGCGCCGAGCGCTTTTCGCGCAGACGAATCTTAACCGCGCGGCGCTCATCGTCCGCTAAGCGATCGCCGCGCAATAAATGCTCGTCGTCGACATCGCTGTAAGGATACGAGTTTAGCAAGTCCGTGAGCGTCGCGAAGAGCGCATCGTAAACCGCGACTTCGCTCTCTTCGCTCAATGGGCGGTTTTTCAGACTCTGCAGGTCGAAATTGGGCTTTCGCATTTCGCTCCATTCGGTGGCGTTTGCCGAAACGAGCCGCAACGCGCACATGAGTTCCGCCGACGCACCGTCGCGCGTGAAACCGATGTCCTCGGCGGGACCACACGAACCAATTTCTTCCTTGAGATGAACTTCGTCTGGAAATGTGAACGTGATCACATCCCTCGCGTTGTTCTCCTCTGAATAGACTGCGCTCGTGCCGAAGCGCGCAAACGTCTCGGCGTCCGAGTACTCTCCGTGACTGCAAGATAGCTCATCGCCCGCTCGATGCTCGTCGACGTTGATCACGAACGTATCATCCACCATCTTCACGCACGGCACCGAGCTCGAGGTGTCGTGCACGAGCAAATGCGCGAGCGGCACGAGCACACGTTCGCGCACTCCGTCCGCGCGCGTCACCTCGAAAGAATTCGCCCGCACGATCGCCAACGCCTCCTCAAACTTGGATCTCGTAAAATCCTGAGCGCGAAAAATCGTTGGAAACGTCCGAAACGTCCGAACCGCCGCGTTCCAACCCCTGACGATGTCTTCGTCGTACCGCCGCATCACCTTCTCCGCGTGATGTTCCGCGAGCCGTTCGCGCGCCTTCTTCGACACCACCGTCGAATTCGCCGGCGTGCGCTCGTACAACGAATCCACGAACGGTCTATACCTCGACGCCACTCCTTTCTCCCGCTCCATCGCGAGCTCGATCGCGAGCGCCCACTCCGCGCTCTCGTTCGAGACCGTCGCCGTCGTCCCCCGCGCTCGCACCGCGCGCTCCTCACGCACGCGCGCGATCGTCCCTCCCGTCCCGCTCTCCCGCGCGAACACTCCTCGTCGCCGCCCCCCCCCCGTCCCGTCCTCGTCCTCGATCGCCGCGTACACGAATCGCCCACCGTCGCCCGTCGACCCGTCGTCCACCACCGCGCCCGCGTCCAACCACGCGACGAACGCCTCGTCCTTCGCGTCCGGCATCGCGCGCGCGCGCATCGCCATCACGACGATCGCGCACACGACCGCGCGCGCGAGCGCCATCGCGCTCCGCGCCGTCCCGCGCCGTGGACGCGCGCCGACCATTGGATGAATCGCATTCGTCGCGATGGGCGACGGCACACAAAACAAAACCCATACGAGCGCACACAAACCAAAACCCGGACGAGAGGAAACAAAACAAAACCCATACGAGAGGACACGAACCAAAACCCATACGAGCGCACACGAAACAAAACAAAACCCGTCCGAGCGCACACAAACAAAACCCGCGTGTGCGACGCCCGCGACTTCGCGCGTCGACGCCGACGCCGACGCGAGCGCCGCACACGTCGACGCGCGCGCGGACGCGCGCGTGGGGGGACGACGGAGGCGCGGACGCGGCGCGAGCGTCGATCGCGCGCGCGCGCGGACGCGGGAGACGACGGGAAGCGGTGGGGCGTTATCCACACGACGGGACGCGACCGGACGCGCGCGCGGTCGTCGACGCGTCGTCGCGGTCGATCGTCGGAGATCGGTCCGAGGTGTTCGGTCGAGGGTGGTGTCGTCGAGAGGTGGAGGGGCGTGGACGCGCGCGGGAAGGGATGTCGGCGCTCGGGGGATGGATGACGCGCGCGGGGGCGATCGCGGCGGATGGGACGCGCGGACGGATGCGCGGCGGACGGATGCGTGCGCGGTCGAGCGCGTGGACGAAAACGACGGCGGTGCGGGTGGGGAATGGGGTGCGGTGGGGGACGATCGCGTCCGCGGTGTCCGAGGGTGGGCGGGATGGGCTCGTGGGTGAGTTGGAGGTGCTGGAGGCGACGCTTCGGGAGATGCTCAAGCCGCGGGCGAGCGGGGAGCAACCGCGGGCGGCGGACGTGCGAGCGGTGCGGAAGGAGATTAATCGGGTGAAGAGAGAGTTGAGAGAGAGCGGTGCGGGGGGGGAGAGTGTAGGGGTGAGTGGGGTGCGGATCGGAGGAGCGCCGACAAAGGCGGAGGCGCGATACGAGAGCTCGTCTGACGAGGCTGATGACGACGCGGCGTTGATGGAAGAATTGCAAAAGTTGGAGCAGGAGAGACAAATTTTGATGCAGTTGAGGGCGCTCGAAGAGGAAAACGCGAAGTTACGAGCTAAGAGAGAGTCTGTGGCGGCGTCAAAACAGCGTGAAGAAGTCGTGCACACGGCTGCGACGGAAGTGGCGAGCGCCGCAGAGACTCAGACGCGGGCCGAGGCAGAAGCCCAAGTGCTCGCCGCGGAAGCTGAGGCGAAAGCGAAGGCGGAAAAAGATAGAATCGCTAAGGAATTGTCTAAAACTGTCCTCGTGAAGAAGTCTCCGGAGTCTAGTGCGAAGCTCGAGCGAAGTTTGACGCTGGAGGAGAAGAAAGCTGCAGCTCGCGCCAGAGTGAGAGCTCAGGTAGATGCAAGGATGGCTCAGTTGCGCGAAGAAAGTGCCAAGCGCGCGCCGCAAGTTGCGGAACGCCTCAAGGGACTAGGAAGACCGTTGTCGACGATCGCATCGAACGGATCGGTTGCAAAATTTGAGCCTAGCTTTTCAAAGGTCGAGAAGCTCGCGACGAGCGGGAACGACGAGGTTAGCTCACTTTTGAAGGAACTCTTGATTCAAGAGCAGCAGTTGCGTGACGAGCGCGAGGGTATTGAAGCGAAACTGCGGGCCGCAGAGCAGGCTGAAGATACATTTTTGAACGAAGGCACTTCTGATGTGGCCGATGAGGAGATATTGCGTGAAGTTGATGATGCATACACAGACGTTTGTATCAATATTGAAGCCGCTGATGCGATGGTTGCCAAAGCCAAAGCTAGTGAAGCTCAAGCCGCTGCCGACGCTCAAGCCGCTGCCGACGCTCAAGCCGCTGCCGACGCTCAAGCCGCTGCCGACGCTCAAGCCGCTGCCGAAGCGCAAGCCGCTGCCGAAGCGCAAGCCGCTGCCGAAGCGCAAGCCGCTGCCGAAGCGCAAGCCGCTGCCGAAGCGCAAGCCGCTGCCGAAGCCCGAGCCGCTGCCGAAGCCCGAGCCGCTGCTGAAGCGCAAGCCGCTGCCGAAGCCCGAGCCGCTGCCGAAGCCCGAGCCGCTGCCGAAGCCCGAGCCGCTGCCGACGCTCAAGCCGCTGCCGACGCTCGAGCCGCTGCCGAAGCTCGAGCCGCTGCCGAAGCGCAAGCCGCTGCCGACGCTCAAGCCGCTGCCGAAGCCCGAGCCGCTGCCGAAGCGCAAGCCGCTGCCGAAGCCCGAGCCGCTGCCGAAGCCCGAGCCGCTGCCGAAGCCCGAGCCGCTGCCGAAGCGCAAGCCGCTGCGGCATCGGCTGTGACTGCTCAGGCTGAGCGTGAAACTCGAGTTCCAGTCAGCGTTGATGACGAAGCTCGAATCGAAGCGAGATTCGCGGCTGACGTTGAAGCGATGTACAAGGAAGTTGAGGAGCTTTCCTTACAGATTCCATCTGCTGCGAAAGACTGGCATGATATCCTCAACGAGACCGCTCATAAATTCTCCAAGATTTGTGTACATTTGAATGGCATATCACCAGCTGACTCAAAGCTGTGGAGCGTGGAGCCGGCCTTGCCAATCCCCGGATCACCCGTCACAGTGCGCTACTGTCCTAACGATAGAGTTCTGCACGGTCGAGAGTCCATCGTTATGCATTACGGTGTAAATGATTGGATGGGCGCGTCTCAGGTGGAAATGAAGAAGTCGCAAGGAGGTGTGTTCATCGCCACGATTGATGTTCCTGTCACTGCTCTGGTAATGGATGTCGTATTCAGTGACGGATCGCAGACTTATGACAACAATAACAAGAGTGATTTCCATGTTCCCGTTCTCAACGCGTCGCGAAAGTTGGAAATCTCGAGGATGAGCGCAGTGTTGGAGCGATTCCAGGAATGCACTGTTGCTCGCGAGGCAAAGGACGCGGCTGAAAAGATCAAGCGCGAGAAACGTAAAAAGGCGAAAGCTGAGGCGAAAGCTGAGGCTGAAGCGGTCACGATCAGGCAGCGAGAGCACGTGCTGTTCACAGAACCAGCAAAACTCGAAGCAGGGCAGACTGTCAAGTTGTACTATAATCCAAACAACACATTGCTGAATGGATCTGCCAGCGTGTTCATCATCGGAGGTTGGAACAGATGGTCGCATAAAGAGAAGTTTAACGTGCAGATGGCCAAAGTGACTGTGAATGGCGAAGTGCGAATGCAAGCTGAGTTGAAGGTGCCAGAGGATACGTACATGATGGACTTCGTGTTCTCCAATGGCCCGCATGACAGTGCGCTGTACGACAATCGCAACAACATGGATTATCACCTCAAAGTTATCGGTGGAAAGGATGAAAACGGTATCTTTGTGAAGGATAAACCACTTCATGTCATGAGTGTCAGCGTCGAAATGGCGCCGATCGCCAAGGTTGGTGGCCTCGGTGATGTCGTTACTTCTTTGGGTCTCGCAGTTCAAGCTGAGGGGCATAAAGTTGAAGTCGTCCTCCCGAAGTACGATACGCTCAAATACGATCTTATCGAAGACCTCAAGGAAGAAAATGGATTTCACTGGGGTGGTTGCTACAACAAGGTTTTCAGTGGCACCGTAGAGGGTGTCAAGACGTACTTCATTGATCCAGAAAACGGGATGTTCAGAGTGGGGATGATTTACGGCACCGATTGGTTGGAGATCCCTATGACGGACGCTGAGAGGTTCGGCTTCTTCAGTCGCGCTGCTTTGGAGTGGATGCTGCAGAGTGGTCGCCAACCAGACATCATTCATTGTCACGATTGGCAAACTGCGCCAGTTGCGAAGGCTTACTGGGAAGACTATCACAAGTACGGTTTGGACAATCCTCGCATCGTCTTCACCATCCACAACCTCGACTTCGGTGAAGGGTTGGTTCGCGAGGCGATGGATTACACTCAAATCGGAACGACTGTGTCGAAGACGTATGCGCAAGAAGTATCCGGACACAATTCAATTTCGCATCAACTTGAGAAGTTTCACGGTGTCGTGAACGGCATCGATCCAGATATTTGGGATCCGTCCGATGACAAATACTTGCCTGTTTCCTTCGAAATGGGCTCCGTGGTCGAAGGCAAGGCGGCGTGCCGCGCGGCACTCTGTGCGAGGAGCAACATACCGAACAGGCCAGACGTTCCGCTCGTTGGTGTCGTGACGCGTCTGACGCATCAAAAGGGAATCCACCTGATCAAGCATGCAATTTACAAGGCGATCGAGCGAGGGTGTCAAGTCGTGCTTCTTGGAAGCGCTCCGGACAAGAAGGTGCAGCAAGAGTTCGAAGACATGGCTAACCACCTCAAACAGTCCCACTTTAACGATGCGGCGCTGCATCTGTACTTTGATGAGCCGCTTTCACATCTCATTTACGCCGGAGCTGACATGCTGCTCGTTCCCTCAATGTTTGAACCGTGCGGCTTATCTCAGCTGATCGCGATGCGTTACGGCACCGTTCCTGTTGTTCGACGCACGGGTGGTTTGGCCGATACTGTGTACGATTATGATCACGACCACGCAAAGGCTGCCTGGGAGGGAATGCCTGTGAACGGATTCCAGTTCGACGGCACCGAGGCGCATGATATTGATTACGCGCTCAACCGCGCAATCGACCTATTCTACAATGATACCGCCAAGTTCCGCGACCTGCAAGCGAATTGTATGTCGTGCGACTTCTCTTGGAACAGACCCGCGCTGGATTACATCGAGCTGTACCACGCGGCGAGAAAGTGAAGAGATGAGACTCCGAAACATTTGTTGGAATATTTGTGCAAATCACAACATCTGGCACCCAAATTTCGAGCCCGCGCACACGTCGCACGCGTCGACCTCTCCCTTCGCCCGCGCTAAACAGTGTCGCATTCTTGAATCTATGACTTCGACCATGAGAGGGTGCAATCCGATTGGTGCTGACACCAAGTGTCGCACGCCTGAGTGCGCTGCCGCTGCCTCCTTCACAAGCTGAGGAATATCCTCCTGCCAGTGCCGTCCCGGCGACAAAAAGAAAGGTGCCACGACGATTACATTAGCTCCTCGATCCACGCATCTACCAAACGCATCCGCGATCGAGGGCGACGCCAATTCCATGTGCGCCGCCTCGACGATGTCCCGCCCGGTCACGCGCGCGTACTGCTCGACGAAAACCTCCAACTGTGCGTTCGATTCCTTCCTTCGCGAGCCGTGATCGACGATGACGACGCCCAGAACGTCTTCGGTCGCGGAGTCGTCGCTCCACATCGACGCGCGAGCGATCGCGCGACGCCCGGGCGAGGACAGATTCCTCGAGCGGGACGACGAAGCCTTTGGGGCGTGTTTCTCGCACGTTCTCGTCGATGGGCGACGCGCACCGCGCGTCGAGGCGGCGGCGTGCGTGGTGGTGCGCATGGTGGTTCGATTGCGCGGCGGGCGAGGCGTGCGGTGGTGTGAGGTTGGCACGCGTGTGAGAGAGAAGGCGCTTGCGCAAGCGGAGGCTCGACTCGTGATCGCGTTCGTCGCGCGCACGGCTCGGCTCGCGCATCAGATGTGCGAAAGAATGATCATAAATTATTATCAACGGTTGTGATTATGCGCGGGAACAGATATGGGGTCTACGGGGCCGGGACGGCGGCTTGCACTTTCGTTCCATTCGGAACAGCGTCCTCAACGCCATCCACTGATGGGTGGAAGTGCTCGGGCATGAGCGCCTCGAAATCGTGCACGGTGGATATAATGTGATCGGCGTGTTCGCATTCGATCTCGTGTCCCCCGTCTCTGGCGTGCGTGCCGACTAAGATGTTTGTCCATCCCATCACGCGCGCCGTCTTCATGTTAGACGTGGAATCGTCCAGAAACAAGCACGCTGCCGGATCGTCCACGCCAGCGATGCGCATCGCCGCCTCATAAGCCTTCGTTGAGTGCTTGGTCTCCCACTCCACCGCTCGAACGTCGATGATACCCTCGAACAAGTCCTCGATGCCCAGAGCCTCCAAGCACCTCTTCGCGTGCGCCGCCACTGAAGCCGTGAACACCCACTTCGGCGTCTTCATTCGGAGCAACATCTCCCGCAATCGCTCATCCCGCTCAATCTCTAACGGTATGTCGTGCGCGTACTCCAAGAACTCCTCCAACTCCTCCTCTCCGTGTAACAACGCTTCGTTTTGCAAGCCTCTGAGACACGTCCCGTGTTTCTTATACAGCTCGTACGCGGCGCCGTGCGGAAGCCCCAAGCGCTCCGTTGTGTACGATTCGATCTTCGCCGTGATCACGTTCGCCGTGCGCCAGTCGTTCTTGTACAGACAATCGTCGCAGTCGAAGAAGACGACGGCGTGCTTCGGTTTCATTTCTTCGCCGCTCGCGCTCGTCAACGCACCGTCGTCGTTCGAGCTCACAGCCTTGGAAGGAGCGAGGTACTTCGCTCGGTGGTCGTCCATGGAGCCTCTCGCGGGCGCTGCACGGGCGTGGAGGACGATCGAGGAGGTGGAGGCCATGGAATGAGGGCCCGTTCAAACGCCCGCGCGGCTCGAGGCGGGTGGGGGAGCGACGACGGAGGAAGCGCGCAAAAAATTTGTAAAAAATTGAGAAAAATCATTCAAAACGTATCAATGAATTCATCGAGTTTTCATCGTCGATGAAGCGGCGCGTCGCGTGTTTGCAGTTGGGTCAACGTCGACACGTGACTCGAGTGTTTCTTCAGTTCGGTCTGGGTGTTTACTGCACCGGAGAAAACGATGTCGGTCGAATGAGTCTGGTGTCGAACATCTGCACCATGGGCGCAATGTCGTTCACGGCCTGTCTCCACGCTGAGGCACTTCGCGCCGTCTCTCTGGCGCGAATGTGATCCTGCATGGTGTCGTATCGCCACAGCTCGACGAATTGGTTCAATTTTCCGACGTCGCTGTATCCCATCCAAACCAGGCTTGACTTCCCCGCCTCGTCGCTCGCGAGCTTGCTCGGCAATCCACCCGCCATAAGCTCGACGAGCTTCGGGATCGGGTTATACCCGAGCTCGAGTTGATATCGTCGAAGCTCAAACACTCCGTTCGCTCCGGAGGCTCCACTCGCCTCCGCCCGTTTCGCGATGTCATCCGCTTCCATGCCCACCGACCCCGTCGCCTTCGTCGCTTCCAAGAAAATCTCCGCCCTCTGATTTTTCAGCATCGGTTTCGCCTCCTCCAGGTATTTCTGCCACTCTGGATCCGTCGTCATGCGCTTCCGCGTCGCGTCCCGCTCGTCGTAATCTTTGTACCTGTACAAGTGCGTCACCTCGTTCGTCTCTCCACCGAGCTCGGTGACGAAGAACGCGAGAAACCCCGGGGCGACACGCTTTCGTGTCGCCGCGTGGTGTTCGCACACGCGTAAGAAGTCACCGATCCTCGCCGGTTCGACGTCGTACGTCCGCATTTCGTACAGGCTGGGTGGGTTCGCTTTTGATGACGTCGACAATAAGCGATTGGACGTCGACGCGAAGCCGTTGGCGATGGAGTTAGACTTAAAGGCACAGCTCGCGGCGAGGTCAAATGCGCATTTGAGCGATTTGCAACGAATACACATCTCGCGGAGCGCGGTGATGTGAAGGGGGCGTCGAGCGCGCGCGCGGTGCCGAACGGTTGAGGGGGCTTGAGCTTTGGGATCGGGTATGGTTGGACGACAGATTGCTCTCTCTACACTCCTGCGGATCGATTCTATTTTTTCTACTTTTTGTTTTGCCCCCAGTGCTGTCTGTTTTCCGTCGCGATGTACAACTCGCTTTCAAGAGCGGAGCTCGAGTGAATCGCTCGCTCAATGATTTTAATACACTAAAGATTTCACGCACTCACGAGTGCGCGCCGCGCTCACGAGTGCGCGCCGCGCTCACGAGTGCGCATGATTTGGATTTCCCTTTGTTTACCTTTTGTACCGGTAGGCTTTCCAATTTCGGGATTCTTTTAAGACCAGTTTCTGCTCGGAGCGTCGTCAGTCGGCGACGGCGTGTGGATGGTGTCCTTTTGTGCTTCGTCGATGCGTTGCTTTGCTCGCTTCGCCTCGATTTCTGCTCGGTATGCCTTCTTCTTTTCCAAAATTTCTTCATCGCGCTGTCGCTTCCGACTCAATTCCTCCTGTTTCCTCGCCTCCCGTTCTTCCATCAAGCGCTTGATGCGCTCCTCTTTTGCTTCCTTTTCGCGTTGACGTTTACGCTCGCGCTCCTCCTGAGCTTGCATTCGGAGCGGGTCCGCCGATGCAGACACTCCCAACGCGGCAGCCTCTGCAACATCGATAACCATCGTTTTCGCTCCCGGACGATCGGCACCGGCTCTCGCTCGAGCGCCAAAACTGCCCGCGCGACTAGTGTCTCTCAAGAAGGATGCACCTCCGCTCATAGGTTTTCGCGTCGGAGCGAACATCGAAGCCTCCTGCTTTGCCGCGCGGTTGATCGTCGACACGTTCGCCATCGGAGTTGGGCGTCCCGAAGAAATCGGTCGCTTCTTCGGTGCCCTGCGCTCTCGAAGCGTGAAGTGTCCGTGCGTCTCGCTCGAACCACTCTTCGGTGCCAGGTACATCTCCGCCTTGGACGTCATCTTCACCACTGAACCGCTCGCGTTCGCGTTCGCTATCGCCTCTCGAATCGACCTCACCACAACGTCGACCTAAGTCGAGTCAAAATCACGAGCATAAATGGTCAGTACAGTGTCGCAACGCTCTTGTCGTGTCCAGTCCGGGCTAGGGTTCACTGTAGAGTGCCGTCGCTTCGAGTCGAATTCCTCGCGCGTTCACTCGCTCGTTCTCACGCACCGCCTTGACCTCGATACGCAAGCGATCTACGTCAAAACGTTCACCCTTCCCATCGATCGCCATCGCCGTGTGACGCGCCCATTCATCGGAATCCTCGATCGCGACCTCTCTGAGCGCCAACACGCGCGCGTTCGCGCCCGCTCGTTTCGGCGCCAACACGCTCGCGTACAGCGCCCCTCTCCTCGCCAACGGGGTCATGATCGCGAAACGACTTTTCAACTCGCACACTAAAGCGTCGTCGAGCGAGGACGCGCATCGATGGGCGGGCCACGGCTCGGCGAGAGATTTCTCCAGATCTCTCGCTCTCGAAGCCATTGTCGAAGAATTCGAACGAATGCGTCGAGTTTTCCGTCTCTGTGCGTCCGTGCGCGACCTTGACGATCACGCGACGCGTCGAGAAGAAAACCGCGCCAACGTCGCGCGAGAGCTCGCGCGAGGTGACTTCCGCCCGAGAGCGAGAAGTGAGGATTCGAGCCGCGCGCGCGGTCGTCGGGGCGCCGACGAAACGCAAAAACCATAAACCTCGTATATTAGTGCACTTTATACCATGAGCGTCACTTCGAGGCGTGGAGAGAGCGGCGATGGCGACGTCGGAGGCACCGTTGCTCAAGCGCACCGCGGCGACGTTGAGCGATGACATGGCGGTGAACTATAAGCTCTTACATAGTCCAAAGTTTCGAGCGCTCGTGGTGGAGAACGTGCGTGGAGCGACGAGGAGAACGATTGATTTCGTTTGTTTTTCTTTGTCTTTTGGTGTTGTGACGCGTTCGAGCGGTCGGTCGGCTCTGAATCGACCGCGGGGCGGTTCGCGTTCGCGCATGCGGACGCGACCCGTGATTATCGCGTTCGGAGGATTGAAACGACGCGATTCGATGGAAAGACTGACCCGGGATTATTGTTTTCATAATGATTTGCAGGTGCTCTCCGTCACGGCGTTTGCGTTCATGGCGAGACAGACGGAGAGTCTGGCGGGACCGGAGATGGAGACTTTGAACAATTGCGGCGTCAATGGGTGTGGGTTTACGAGTTTCTATCAGTTCAAGGGTGTGGTCGGCGTCTACGCGGCGTTTTGGGTGTACACCGTGTTGCTGATCGGGTTGTATCTCTTCAGTCGCGGCCCGCCGCCCGGGACCGAATTCGTCGTGCACGCGTTGTTCACGCTGTGCATGATCGCCTTCGTCTCTCTGAGCGTCATATCGTGTACGTCCACGGTGATCGAATCGGATTACTCCGTGTGCAAGAACGCGGCGTACGCCAAGGCGTCCCTCGTCTTCGCCGCGCTCGTCGTCGTCCTCAACTGCGCCACGTGCGCCTTTGTCTTCAAGCAGTGGCGATCGTTACAGTTCGTGGGCATGCCCGAGAACTTCCGTCCGTTCGGTCGGCACAGGCACAAACATGGACACCACGCCGGTGACGCCGACGACGCGATTCCCACCCATCCGTAGCTGCCCACCTAGCCCGCCTCCTCCGCGTACGCGACGACTGTCATTTGATCCACATCGTCTCGGGTGTTCACGCCAGCGCACGACCGACCCATCGCCCCCGTCCCCGCGCATCGCGACGTCGCCATGCGCGCTGGGCCTCGACCGCGACGGCACGGCCGGCACGAGAGCGGCGGCGCGTGGCTCGTGGACTCCATCGAGCGCCTCGGCTCGGACGCCGCGACATCGCGCGACGGCGACGGCGACGACGCATCGACGGCAACGTTCGGGACATCGGTCGGTGGACCGCCGACGACGGCGACGGACGCGCGCGCGGGCGTGACGGTGGCGACGACGTCTGGGACGAACGATGTCGCGGACGCGCGCGCGTCGCCGGCGTCGGCGCGGCACACGAGCGCGCATTTGCTCGATTATTTTGAGTCCCTGGACGTGTTCAACGAGTGGGTGGCGGTGAGTAACCTGTGGGAACGGCAGGAACACGCGCGAATGAGCGATTATCTGTGCGCGCGGTTGTATCGAGAGAGTAGTGATGCGGGACTGGAGCGGTATCTGTCGCAGATCGTGACGATGTGGATGGAGCGACGGAGACGAGGCGGACGCGGAGAGGGAACGATCGACGCGGGTTCGGGCGGCGAGCAGGGAGAGTCGTTGGAACGCATGATCGTGTTGACGTGCAGACGGTCGTTGAGGTTGGCGACGAAGATTTGTTGGTTGCTTGCGGCGAGCGCGGGGGACGGTGAGGATAAGAGAGCGGTGCTGGAATTCAGGGATAGGTGCGCGGACGAGGCGGTGTCCAACGGCACGTGGGAGGCGCCGTTCGAGGAGCGCCTGCGGAGGGCGCCGTCGGGCGAGCGGACGTTCGGCACGAGCCCGTTGAAACGGGATAAATCAACATCGGCGTCGAAATCGTCCGGAATCCCCATCCCGGTGACGCCGCCGAGGCGCATTTTTGGCATGGCCAAGTCGCCGTCTCGATCGCAGAGCGTGGAGAAGAAGCAAGTGCCAGAGTCGCCACCCGCATCGAACGGATTTCTCGCCGGTGTCTCGCGTGCGCTCTCATTCATGTCTTCTCCCTCGGGCTTGAAGAAAGAGGCCGCGAAGAAGAGTAAGGAGTTCAAAGAGAGGTTGGCAAAGGAAGCGACGGCGAAGGAAGTAACGCAACCGCGAAAAGCTGTCAGCGGATTGTCCACACTCTTCAGCGTGTGCGGGACGGGTGAAATGCCCGCTGAGGACGGAGCCAGAGCACTACGTCTGCGCAAAAAGACATTCGAGGCGACGATGAAGCTCACGGACGACTTGTGCGAGCTCTCGTTGACTTTGTCGCGGGTTTTCCCGCTCGAGGGTCGCCAAAAGATTTTGCGATACAAGTTGTTGCAGATCAATAAGCGCTTCCGTCACATGGATAAAGGTACAGGTATCTTGTTCCCCATGGGTCACAAAGAAATGGAAAGAGTGATTCGAATCCCGTGGGAAGAGGCCGTGCTGTTGAACAGTCGTGAAAAGGCGCCATACCTGGTGTGCTTGGAAGTCGTGAATTCAAACCCCACGCAAGAAGAGATGCACAACGCCACGTCTTCCACTGAATCGGCCGGTCTTCCGCACGTGGACGACTTTTATCCGACAGACGCACACGATGACGATTTCGAGACTAGCAGCTTCCAGGAGCGCATGCGAAGATCGTTCGAAAGAGAGTCCATGGGGAGGATGCACTTTAGAAAGGAAAGCGACGATGATTCACAAGATTCGAACGAGGACAAAGCATTGAGCGCCATCCTCACCGTGGACGAAAAAAGTCAGATGCTTTCGCTGACTGTCATCGCCGCGAAGGACAAGATCGTGGCTTTACCACAACAGTCTCCGCACCGGCGTAAACCGTCAGATATTGCATTGATTGAACTCGCGGCGCACATAAAAGGTACAAGACTATCGCAGGAACGAATTGAGTTTGAGAACGCGGTTGAGGACGAAATCGAACTGCCCAAAGCGAACGGTGTCGGTGCGACGATGACGTCGTCCCCTCACAAGCGTAGCGCTGGTGGTTTGGGTGAAGCATGGAAGGACAAGGTCGAGCGCATTCGCAGGTCGTCTCCTTACGGCAATCTTCCTGGATGGGGACTGCGACCGATTATCATCAAGGCTGGTGACAATTGCAGACAGGAGTTATTAGCGTTGCAGCTCGTGCGCACTTTCGCCGAAATCTTTAGGGAAGCGAAAGTGGGCTGTTGGATCAGAGACTTTGACATTTTGACGACGAACTCACACAGTGCGTTGATCGAAGCGGTGACAGATGCTCCGAGCATTCACGCGCTCAAGTCTCGCTCTCCTCGTGGTACGACGCTGCGCTCGCACTTTGAACGCAAATTCGGCGTCGGAACCCCACAATTCCGTGAGGCACAAGCCAACTTTGTGGAGTCTCTCGCCGGGTATTCCGTCCTGACGTACCTACTTCAAGTAAAAGATCGTCACAACGGCAATATTTTGATGCATGAAGATGGTCACTTGATCCACATTGACTTTAACTTCATGCTCTCCACGTCTCCTGGCGGGATAAATTTCGAGTCGGCCCCGTTCAAGCTGACCAAGGAGTACCTTGAGCTCATGGACAGCGACATCGAGGGCAAAAACTCGGACGCGTTTGACGCATACAAGGCCCTCGTGATCCACGGCTTCACCGCCGTGCGTAAGCACGCCGCACGCATCGTCTTGCTGGTGCAAATGATGGGCGACAGTGGCTGCCCTTGTTTCTCTGCTGGACCCAAAGTGCTCAAGCAGCTGCGAAGACGTTTCCTTCTTCACCTGAATGAAGACGAAGTCATCGACAACGTCAAGGCACTGATCTCTGACTCCTGCGATGCTTGGAGCACGCGTCAGTACGACTTCTACCAGCGCATCCTGAACGGCATCCTCTAGCGCGATGTTCGCGTAGCATTCGTAGTGATTGAAAATTTCTGTCCTGTCAACGCGCCTCGCCTGGCCTGGCCCTCCACCGCGCACGCGATCATCATTCCGCGTCGTCCACCATCGTCAACCCATCGACGCTCGGTCGCGCGCGGTTCAGAGATCTTTCTCACACCTCTCTTCTCTCCCTCGCACCGTTCCGCGAGCGCGCTCGATCGATCGCACGGTCGTTCGTTCGTTCACTCATTCGATTGAAACCGTTCGTTTCATTCAATCGCGCGCGCGTTCTCTCTCAGTCTCCGTGATAGCGCCATGGTGCAGCTGGCGCTGATCGCGGCGCCCATCGGCGCGGCCACGGCGGCGGCGGCCGTCGCGAAGGCGATGCTCGGGGCGAAGGGACCGCCGAGCGAGGTCAGACGAGGGACGGTGGATGAAAACGAAACCATGTTCGCGTGCGAACGCGTGTGCGCGAGCGATCGTCTGATGAGTAAGCTCGGGGGTTTAGGAAAGAGTGAGATGCCGCACACGTGCGTGACGGTGTGCGGAATGAGCGGAACGGACGCGTGCGTGGACGCGTGCGCGCGGGTGGTGTGCACGGCGCAGCACGGGGTGCCGGGGTGGAACGAAAAGTGCTTGAAGCGGTGCGCGACGGAGTGCACGAGAGGACGAGCGGGGACGCCGTGAGATGGACGTATCAGACGAGAGATGACGAACGAGACGCGCTCGGGATGCGACGCGTTCGTCCGTGCGCGCGAGTGTTTTAACAAAGAAAAAAATCAAACTTCAACTGTCGACTTTTAATCGAGGGATGTCTACGCGTCCAGCATCTGCGACGGCGGTTCACCCTCGTAATAATCTTCTGGTTTTACCTCGTGCGTGGCGAGCATGGCAGATTCGATGTCCATGACGTCGCCGACGAGCACGAGCGAGTGCAACGGCGCGCCCATGTCCACCCGACGCATCTCTCCAAGCGTGCACGCGCGAATCTTCTCGTCGTCCTGCCCCACGCGCGCCACCGCGACGCACATGGTGTCCTCGGAATACGCTCCCTCGCCCCTCGTCTCCTCGACCTCGAGCATCTGCGTCGCCGCCGTCGCCGCCGTCATGAACCTCGGCGGCTCATACTCCTCGATGCCTCTGCACAGCGCCTTCACCGTCGGCTCCTTCACGCGAATATCCAGCAAACACAGCGTGTGCGCCCCGGTCTTTCGATTCTCTCGCACCCAATCGTAAAAGCTATCCGGTCTCCACGTCGGCGTGAAGAAACAAATCGACACGGTCCGTCCAAAGTTGTACAACGACAACCCGGTTCCCGCGACGGCGTTCATGATGCTCGCGTTGTACACCGCTCGCACCGCCACCCCTTTCTCTCGCGCTCGAATCACTAAATCCCCGTGCGTCGTCGCCGCGAACGCGTCACCGACCACGCAAAACGCCACGTCCGTATCTTTCGCCTCATCGAGCACCGCGTCCACGCCTTGCTCGACGAATCGTCTGTCGCACGCGACGACCGGTTTCTCGTACAGTGCCTCCATGCGCGACGCATCGACCCCCAAAACGGACGTGTACGCCTCCAAGTACACCTTGGCGCACGACCGTATCGCGTCCAGGCCTCGGAGCGTGACGTCGCGTTCGTTTCCGAGTCCGAGGCCGATGAGGTACAACATGCCACCGTCCGAGCTCCACGCGCGACGCTCGCGTCGATCGACCCCGCGTCTCGCCCCCGCGTCCGGCGCGTCGTCACCGTCCCGTCGAGCTCGCGCGCGCGTCCCACCGTCGCGCGCGCGCGTCGCCGAGTGTCCTCGCCACGGCGAGTTCGTCGAGCGCCGACATCACCGCGCGCGCCGCCGCACACGCCGTCGCCGCCGCTCGATGCGCGCGCTCGACGGCTCCGCGACCGCGCGATGGGTCGTGCGCGCGCGCGCCCGGGTCCCGCGCGCGCGCGCGCGCGAGGGGCGGCGACGCGCGAGGATGGAGACGATTCCATCGGCGCGCGACGATGATTCCGTCGACGCGTTCGACGCCGCGAGGGACGGAGAGACGTCCACGCGAGCGCGAACGAGGACGCACGCGATGGCGTCGACGTCGACGACGCGTCGCGCGTTCGCGACGTCGGTGTCGATCGCGATGGTGCTCGGGGCGGATGCGTCGGCGCGCGGATGGGCGCGGGCGGGCGGGACGGACGCGGATGGAGAGCACGCGCCCGATCACGCGCTTCCGGGACCCTATCGCGTGCGAACGCTCCCGCAGTTGGAGCACACGTGCGATCGGTGCTTTCCCATGTGCACGGGATTGAGCTGCTTGACGAGAATCAAGGTGTACGTGCCGCGCACGGAGTTCGCGGTGGACGCGTTGTTTCCGGTGCGCGGCGTCCGGGGGATCGATGCGGGTGCGTCGACGAGCGAGGACGGATCGAGGGGTGATGTGGCGGCGCCGTATCCGGTGGCGATCATCACGCCCGGGTTTTTGATCGATGGCGACGCGTACGCGACGCTCGCGCGGCGGTTGTGCTCGTGGGGGTTCGTGGCGGTGACGTACACAAAGACGGAATCTGTCGCCGGTGGAACGCTCGACGACGACGTGAGCGCGGCGATTTTGGATGATTTAATATCGTGGATCGGTTCAGACGTGTTGCTGTCGCCATACGCGGACTCGCAAAACGTGTACTTGATCGGGCACAGTCGCGGCGGGAAGATTTCGATGCTTCAGGCGACGAGAGACGACCGCGTCAAGGCGGTGTGTCTGCTCGATCCCGTGGACAACACCGTGTACGCACCGATCGCACCGGGGTATCCGTCATCGCTCGCGGTTATGGAGGCGAATCCATCGCGTGTGCCACCGATAGCGATCGTAGGCGGAGTGAACGGCGGCGAGTGCGCGCCCGCTTCGTCAAATTATGAGCAGTTCTTCGCGGCGTCGCCGAGCGGCGCGGTGGCGCGCGATCACCCACCGTGGGGGATCTCCTGCGGAGCCGGACACTTTGATTTCGTGGACGAGGCCACGTTTGTGCAAAAAGTGATCTGTCCCGAGGGCACGCTCGACGCAACCGCGACGCGTGATTTGAGCGCCGCCATCGCCGTCGCGCACGGCGAGCGCATCTTCCGTCCTCTTCCGGCGTACGGCGATGACGACGCCGTGCTCGATCGCGTCCTCGTCTCTCTTCGTAATCAGTGGATCGATCGAGGCATCGATTTCACCACTGTTCGTAAGATGTAGTAGTCCGTTTGGCGATCAACGGTGTCACATGGCTTTGTCTCGTTCGCCTCCGCGGCCCATCACCCATCGCTCGTCACACCATGCCCGACGACGCCTCCGACGCCGCGTATCGCCTCGCCGTCGCGTGCGCCCTCGTTTTCGCCGTCGCCTCCGTCAAGCGTGAGTCCTCCGTCGTCGCCGCGACGTGGACTCTGTCAGCCCGCGCGCGGACGAGGGAGTTTTCATCAGCGCTCCGGGACATCAGACAGAGCGCGACGACGCGGGCGTTATCCACGCTCACCGCGCTCGCGATCGCGTGTAGCGTCACGAAACCGACGAAGCGTTCGTTTGAGCGGTGGTTCTCGGGATTCACGAGAGATTTGATGACGCCGAGCGCGGACGCAGAGGACGAGCGGAACGGCGGGTGGCGGGCGTGGCGCGCGAAAGCGAGAAAGGCGTTTAGAACGTACGCCAGGGCGACATTGGACGATGGTGAACGTGGAACGATGCGTGGGATGATGCGTAAGGTTTCGAACGCGATGACGGGCGGGGAGGGACGGGTGACGACGGACGATTGGGTCGTCGCCAGGACGTGCACCGTTGAAGACAAAGCGTTCTTCGTCGGGGTGCTCGGTCTGTGGTGGGGACCGATCCCGACCGTGTCTCGGGCGCAAAAGGGGATGAAAGGGATCGCGGACGCGTACGGCGAACAAATCATAGCGATGGCGACGAGTGGACGGTGATGAAAAAGTGTAAGATGAAAAAGTGTAAGATGAAAAAGTTGTACTAGCTCCTATTCGATGTGCTTGGCGTCTCGTCTCAGCTTGTAAGCCTGGTACGCCCCTCCCGGGGCGGTTCTCGTCGCGCCAAACATTGGTAAACCTGGTAGGAAGAAGGCGGCGAGCGCGCTTCCGAGTCCGCCGAGATTGCGCGCTTGCGCGTTTGTCGCCGCCTGCGGTAAGTCGTCGTCGGCTATGAGAAAACTAAATTCATCAATAAACGACTGCATCACCCTCGCCTCACCAGGAATCTGTCCTCTCGCCGCCTCGGACGATTTCGTAAAGGTTCGTTTCACCTCGACTCTGGCTCCGGTGTCGTCTTCGCGAACTTCCATGGTGAGGGCTCCCGCTTCACGCAAGCCTTGGCTAGAGTCGTATCGCATGAACGCCAACCGTGCTCCCGTCGGGAGATCGTCCACCGACAGTGGTAGCGGTAACGGCAGCTCAGACGTAAACGCCAACGTCTTCGCCCACTGTCGAATCGCGTCCGCGGTGTTCTCAGAGATATCTAACGCGCACTCGTTTGCGTCGCAAACGTCCAGACTAGCCATGACGTCCGAAACAATCGGCCCGACCAATCCCTGCGTCACCGCCGTTACCCCATCGCCTCTCCGTCCGCTTTTGGATCCATTTTTCATTCGCAATTTTCGCAGTTCACCGTCGTACGCACGTCTCCGCGAAGCATCGATCAACGTCTCGTACGCTTCGTTCACGCGAATCATCGAACCGTCGAGCGCGCTCGCCCGTCGCACGTCCGGGTGGTACATCTTGCTCATGCTCAGAAACGCGCTTCGGATCTCGCGTTCGGAAGCCCCTTCGCGGATGTTTAACGTCTCGTACAGCGTCGACGAAGCCTCGATCACCGGTAATCCGTTGTTTTCGTTCGACTGTGATGATGTCGAGTCATCCTCGTTCGTTGTAGATTTCGTCGTGATCCCGCGTTCGTTTGGACGTTTCTGAGAGCTCCGGCGATGTCGAGCGACGACGTGTGTGGTGCGGTGCGCGATGGGGGCGCGCGCGGCGACGCGCATGACGCGTCGGCGTGTGACGCGAGCGGGTGGTTGGTTAGGGGTCTGAGGCGACGGTGAGCGCGGCGGGCGGAGCGTCGATGACGACGCGATGGGCCCGCGTGAGGATGATTACGATGACGAAGAGCGAAAGAGTGGCGCTAACGAAGATATGAATGAACATTGAATGATGCGACGGGGTCAAACGCGACGTGCGCGATGGACATGGATTGACTAGACCTCGAGGGCGTCCACGATGGCGCGCGCGAGGGACAAGACTTCGAACGGCTCGTGCCCGGCGATCGCCTCAACGGTCTGCGGGCAGGAATCGGTGATCCAAAAGTTGGAAAAACCTTGTCCGCCGACGCCGGAGGAGGTAAACCGCTTCCAGGAGGCGTTGGGGAACACGCCGTGAGTGGCGTAGGCGGAGACCTTGGCGGCGCCGAGGCGATGTAGCAACTTTTGACACTCAATGAGCGTCGAACCTGACTGCACGAGATCGTCGACGATAACGACGTGACGACCAATGGGCTCACCTTCCTTGAGTTTCACGATACGCTTTGACCCCTCGCGTACCTTGGTGCACACCACGCACTCGTATCCGGCTCCGGCGAAGAAGGAATGGAATCGCTTGTACGCCCCTTCATCCGGATACGCGATGACGACGTTGTTGGAATCCTCGAGCGCATTCAAGCGCTCGAGAAGGAGCGGGATCCCGCTCTCGAAGCACGGCAAGATACTATCACCAAAATAAAATCGCTCCTGCAGGGCGTGAATGTCGAAGATGATCGTACTCGTCGGCCCGCCGCGAGACGGCGGAATGTTACTCAAAATCCTCGCCAGAGTTACCGCCGTCGCCACCTCGCCCTCGCGAACCACTCGCTCGGCGGTGCCGGTGGGGAAAAACGGCAGCACGAGCGTGAACGACGCCACGAACATCTTGGGCAACGAGTAGATGATGCTCAACTGCTCGAAGATGACCTCCGGCGAGTGGAACGAGGCTAAAAACGCCACGTGACGATCCCGCACGTCGTACGCGTCGTTGATGAATAAATCAGGAAACCCATCCGGGAACGTTCGCCAATCAATCTGTCCCAGCTCCACCACGTTCTCGCTCGCCGCCGCGACCTTGTGTGCGAGAGGTTCCATCTCCTTACTGTAAAACAACACCGGAAACTTGCGTCGGCGCGTGTACGACGCCTCGTCCGAAAACTTCGCCCGCGTGAGCCTTCTGTTCGCCACCGCCGAGCTTTCACCCTTACTCTCGCTCACCTCGCTCGTCTTCGTGTGCTTGCTCACCTTTTGCGCGATCATCGGCTTTGGTTCCATCCCAGCCGACGTCGTCGCCGTCGCCGCCGCCGCCGCCGCCGCCGCCGCCGCCGTCGTCGACCCCGCGTCCGCGATCGCCCCCACCACCCGAAGCATCCGCTTCACCCCCGCCTTCCCACCCCGCCGACGCCGCGCCGGCGTCTTCAATCGCCCGTCGTCGCCCGTCGTCGCGCGCGCCGCCGCGATAACCCTCCGCCCCCCGCGCGCGTCGTCCGCCCAACCCACCATCGCCGCCTTCGCGCCCGTCGACCCTTTCCTTCGCGCGAAACACCGTCCACCATCCTCCCGCGACGTCGGCGTCGCCCGCGCGCCCGCGCCCACGACGTCGACGCGCGATCGAATCATCATCATCATCCCACGACGCCCCGCGCGATCGCCTTATCCGTCCCCCCCGTCGCCCGTGTGGCGTCGACGCCCCCCCGACCCGCGCGCGCGCGTTCGAGGGACGTCCACGGACGTCCTCGCGTCCTCGACGCGTCGCGCGCGCGCGTGTGTGGACGTCCACGACCGCACGCACCGACGCGCCGCCGAGCGATGTCCACGTCGTCCGCGCGCGTCGTCCTCGGCGGCGCGTTCGCCCGCGCGCGCGACGACGTGCGGTCGCGCGCGCGGTCGCGGACGCGGCGTCGGGCGCGCGGGCGAACGCGCGGGCGACGTGGACGCGATGACGCCGACGCGCGAGATGTCCCGAGGATGGATTCATGGAAAGACGACGACGCGGCCTCGCGCGCGATGACCGCGGCGTCGCGCGCGGTGGACGTCGTCGCGGCGTTCGTCGCGGTGGCGCGCGCGTCGCGGGACCCCGGCGCGGCGATGGCGCGGCGATGGTGATTGGACCGACGTTTTGTGAAATTCGGGCAGGCGCTCGCGTCGCGGCGGACGTCGTCGGCGCGGAGGCGTCGAGAGAGTTGTCGACGCTGTGCCGATGGGATGGATTTCTTCGACGATGCGATCCGCGGTGCGGGTGATCGAGGAGGAACTTACGGGGTGGGGAGTCCGGTGGCGCGCGCGGCGCGGGACCCGCGGGTGGGGCGGCGGCGGCGGCGTCGCTCGCGCAGGTGTATCGCGCGACGCTGGACGGAGAGACGGTGGCGATCAAGGTGCGGCGACCGGGCATCGAGGATGTGGTGGACGCGGATTATGCGTTACTGCGCCTGGGCGCTTGGTTGGTCGAGCGCGTGGGGGGGGTGCGGGCGCGCGCGGTGGACGCCGTGGACGAGTTCGCGTCTCGGCTGTACGAAGAGATGGATTTTAGACGCGAGGCGAGCAATCTGAAAAAGTTTGACGCGCTCTACGGCGAGCGCGGGAGCAAGGCGAAGAGTTTTCCGAAACCTGGGATCAAGGTACCGCGATTGATCGATAAGTACGGCGTCGGTCGACGCGTGATCGTCACGGAGTGGATCGAGGGCGAAAAGCTCACCGGCGGAGCCAATCGCGCGGTGTCGAGCGACGACTTGCCGTACGTCAAGCTCGGCATCGCGTGCACGCTGAGTCAGTTGATCGAGACGGGGGTCATGCACGCCGATCCGCACGGTGGGAACGTGTTGAAACTCCCGAACGGGGGCTTGGCGTACCTCGATTTTGGACTCGTTTCTGAGGTCCCGCAGCAAGTGCGAGACGGTTTGGTCGCCGCCGTGGCGCTGTTGATTTTCAGTCGGGACTACGCCGCCGTGGGGCGCTTGTTCGGTGAACTCATGCTGATACCACCAGAAGTCATCGAAGACGAGACGGAGATGCGTGAGCTCGAGCGAGCGCTCGAGGAGGCGGCGAACGCGACGCTGAAATTTCCCGAGGATGGCGGCGTCCCGGACGTTCGATTCGACCAACTCCTCTTCGCCCTCTTTGCCCTCGTTCCGCGGTTCAAGTTCGTCTTACCACCGTACTTCTTGAATAACGCCCGAGCTCTGGGAACGCTGGAAGGAATGGCGAAATCCGCCGATCCAAATTTCAACATTCTCGCCGTGGTCTATCCGTACGCCATGGCGCGAGCGCTCGCGAATCCGGACCGATCCCCGGTGATCCGACGCGTCATTCGCCAGCTCGCCACCGACAACGACACCGGCTCGCTCTCAATGAAGAAACTCTTCGCCATGCTCTCCGACGTGAGCGCGTTCACTGGAACGAGTAAGTTCAGGGTCAGCCTCGACGCGCTCAAATCGACCGAAGGTCGGTCGCTCGTCGCGGACGTCCTCAAATCCGAGCTCGCGCGCGCGCTCACCGCGTGCGTCGCCTTCTTCCGCCGTCGCGGTAACCCACCGACGATTCAAAACGGCGGTGTCTCTTTCGCTTAGTTGTACCATCACGATAGCGCATTCGCTGTAAATTACGCTTCATACCTTCGACGCGCGCGCCGCGCCGCGGTGGATGTCTGTGTGTCTCTTGACTCTCAACAGCTTTCCACTTCATTCCCCTCCTCGTCGCTCCTCTCCATGTCTCACTCGCGCGGCGACCGCGTGTACGTCGAAGACGTCACCGATGACTTCGCCTCGCTCACGCGCGCGCGCGCGTCGAACGCGACGCGCGTGCGGGGCGTCCCGGCGTCGAACAGCGCGTCGGTGTCCAACGGCAGCTCGAGTTACGTCCCACTGCATCGCTCGACCACGCTCGATAGAAGCGCGTCGCGGGCGCATCAAAAGACGTACGACGCGGTGGGAAGCGCGAGTAGAGGGTTCACGTACGTCGCGAGCGCGGAGAGCGACACGACGAGCGGGGAGATGACTTTTATGGAAGAGTTGGCGACGCGGAGACGAGCGAGCGGCGCGGCTGGCGCGAGCGTGAGCGCGGAGAAGAAGGATTCGTTGAGGATTCGCGAGGCAGAAGCGCATGTGGCAGAACGCAATGACGGTGGTGGGCGGGATTTCGCGGCGAGTTTTCGCTCGATCGAGCGGTTGGCGACGATGCGGGACGTTGGACAGGCGGTGCACGACGGCGCGATTCCAAAGGTATCTCCGGTTAAGTCGGTCGCGTCGCCGGAGGAGTCACCGGCGAAAAGTTCGGAGGGGTCCTTTGCGTTTCGAAACGCCGGAGGTTTCTTCGGGCAAGGTTCGAAGTCGCCACCGGAGGTGGCGTCGTTGCCGCCAAGGACGCCTTCGCGAGCGGACAAGAGCGAGCGAGAGGAGTTTGTGTCGCCGACCTCGAGCGCGACGCCGACGCCCGTGAAGGCACCGTGGACGCCCTCGCCAATGAGAACGCCGCTCGGTACGAGGATCCCCCCGAATTCACCCGCGAGCGCGAGGACAAGGAGAAATCTCGAGGCGCAGATGCGTCGCGCCGCTGCTTGGGCCGCGGGCGAGGACACGCTCGCACAGCGCGGCGATCGCGACAAGGGCGTCAGTAAGCTCTTCGAAGCCAAGCATGGTTTAGGCGCAAAGCTTTTTCGACTGCTCGTTGCCGGTGGGCACGTGAAGGCATTTCTGAAGACCTTGGATAGCGCTCGAATTGAAAAAGCGCACGGCGGTGGCGCAAAGCTCGCAATCGTCGCTCTCGCCACAAACTGTGGTATTCAAGCCGCGCACAACATGATCTTGGCAATATCGTCAAAGATTGGACAAAGATTGCTCCGACGCATATCAGTACCGCAGGCTATGGCTCGCCGCGCAGCGCCGCTGCTGCTGCCTGCAACGCTCGCGTCCATGGGCCGATCGAATGCAGTGGGCGCTCGGGGCGCAATCTCTGAGGCTGCCGCCATCGTCGTTCCGCCGCTAAGCTTAATCTCCTTCATTGGTGCGATGTGGCCTATTCCGGGCGGTCAACTTGCTGGAGAAGTTCGTGAGCATCGTGGGATGCTCTACCACGAAGTCTTCCTCGACGCCTTGCCTTGGGTGAATGGCTTCTTCCGTCGCTTGCAACCGGTGACAAACGCGCTCGCCATCATGGCCTCATACGAGCTCGTGAGCACCGGTGAGGTCTACGCCGAGAACGGTGGTTTTGCCCTAGCTTTGGCGAGCATCCTGAGCTTCGCCGCGACGCCACCATCGAACAAGGTGACGGTGAACTTTAGGGAGGTGAAGGCGACGACGAACATGGTGTTTTTGCTGAGCATGTCGTACGCAGAGTGTGCATGGCGCGAGACTACCGTCTGGCGCCAGTACCTGAACAAGCGTCAAGGCGGCCTCGAGGGCGTACACGGCGTCGATCGCGAGCGCGGTGGTGCTCTGGCTGGAATTGGTGGCTTCACCAGAGCCGCTTCGCGCTTGCCACTGTTGCGAGGCGTGTCTAAAGGTAAACGAGACGATACGCGTGGTCGTCGCCGCGACGGTCGTCGCCGCATTCCTGACAAACGCTCTACTAGGAAGCACCGAAGTGTCGAGAGTGAGGCTTCGGACGGTCTTGTCGAGCGCGCTCTTGAGCGTCTCCCGGTGCTCGGACCCGTCCTCATCATCCTGAGCGGCTTTGTCTTCTAGTTCGCGCATTGCGCGTCGCCGAAACGTTCGACGCGCCGCGATCGCGACGCACGTTTTCGTTCGATTAATATTAATATACCAACAGTTTCAACGCCAAACGTCGACACCGATCGAGCGTGCGCTCGGTCGCCGTAGCGCTCGATGACAGCTCTGCGCGCATTCAAATCAATCAAACATCTTTTCAGTCTCCACACGCCTGCGCGTCTCCCGAGCGCTTCCTCCCGACGCGCTCGAACGCCATAGGCGCGTCACTGACGGTAGAGACGCGCCGTACGGGCGCGATGCGCGACGCGCGCGACGTCGACGCGTCGAAGACGAAAAAATCAAAAATCATTCTCTCTCGCGCCTCTCCGTTCTTCGTCCCGGACTCCGACGGTGATGACGCCTCGGACGCCGACGGGTACGATCGCGGGTTGATTACGCGCTCGATGTTGGACGCGCATCGTCGCCGGAGAGAAGAGAGAGCGGGTGGGAGAGACGCCACTGTAGACGCCGCAGCGGCGGCGAGCGTTGAAGAGACGACGGACGAGGACGATGCTCTGGCGCTCGATCGATCGATCGGTGGGTTCGAAGTCTCGGATGGAGAGTGCTCGGTGCACAGCGACGCGAGTCACGATCGCACGGCGGGCGTGAGGGGGTTCTCGAAGGCAGAGGTAGCGAGCGAGCAGTTCGGTCGCGGAAAGCGCAAGCGAGACGCAGCGGTCAACGTCGTGGACGTCTTGGCACGTCCTGCATTGGTGGAGGATGAGAACGAGAGCGAGGACGAGGGTGGATCTCGAGAGCGAACGATTCTTTCGGAGCGTTTGGACGCGATGGAGTCCGCGCCGAGAACGACGCAGCGTGATGAAGGTGAAATGGACGATGTCGTTCTCGTTCCTTCGACGACGATAGCGCGTCCGATGAATCGAGCGCAGACGTTCGGAAAGATGAATGCGAACACTATGATCGAGCGAGCCGTCTCGCGACAGGCGACGATCACGTCGATGTTTTCAAAGGCGTTGGCGCCTTGGAAGTTTGAGCATCGTGTCTTCGGAACTCAGCGCCCGGCTGTCGACGCCAGACATGCGCCAACGCACGTCATCGAGCGCGACGTCGAGTACAACGTCGAACAGCAAGCGATGGTAGAAGACACGAAGCGAGAAGGAGTGCGAGTGCTCGAAAAAGCGATGAGAGATTTCGCTAGTCGACACAGCGTCGGAAGAGTGGGAGTCCAGACAAAGACGTCGGGCGAGCATCGAGCGGCTGAGAAGATGAGTTTGGACGAAATCGGCGACTGGCGGCTTTCCATGGCGCTCCTTGAGCGCGCGAATGGGTTCTGGGCAGTCTTTGGCGATTGCTTGCGCGTGTTCGTAGATGATGAACGAGAGGAGAGGCATCACAAGTTGATGCTCAAGTCTAATGAGATGCTTGATGATAGCAGTCACGCGGTGTGTCTTGAAGCGGGCTGGGAGCTCACATTTACGGTGGCAAGGATATGGTATTCCGAGGGGTATCAATTTGAACACGCTGTCGGCACGAATTGGGTGTCACAGGCGTGGGCTGTGATTGGATGGTTACTCGATGAGACTCGCCTGTCAGGTCGTCCGAACGAACAGCAAGCTTCGCCAGCGGCGACGTACAGCGAAGAGGAGTACGTACGCGCCCTCACCGAACGAATTGAGGAGCTTATCGCCTGGTGGCCCCGATGTACCGCGGATCGCCATCCCGTGAGAGCTCTTTGGCAGCGACTTCACGGTGCAGATGTGAACTCAGGTGCGACGAAAGAGTGGCGTTTGATTGTGCGAAATCCGGCGGCGTGTTGTCGTGTGTGCGCGCCGCTCGCATTGAGACCGTACGAGGAAACATTTCAAGCCGCAGACGCACCGTTCGTGCGAGGTGTTTCGTGTGAATCTTTATACCGAGCGCTCGGTGACCATCTCTCCAAGTGCGCGATTGAGCGCAAAGTTTTACACCGTGAGCTCGGTAGATGGCTCAACGACGCTCGCTTGAGCAAGGTAACAGACAATCCGGCAGAGAATTCCCTCGGCGACGACGGTTTTACCGCACTCGGCGGGCACTCGTTCCCCTTTTCCACTGCGTCTCAGCGCTTGCAGCATCGAGCGAGCGTGCACGTGGAGTTGTTCCGTGCGTGCGTACGCGCAGGATCTGATGACCAAGCTATACTTTGCCTGAAGCAACTACTAAGCTCGCTTGCGGCTCAAAATACTGCCAGCGAGGATCCCGCGCCTCGATGCGTCCTTCTACGCGCGGCGACGACGTGCCTCGGAATCTGGCTCGCGTGGCGAGCTACGAATGGTGCGCAAGGACAGGCTCAAACAAAGATATTTGACGAAATGATTCGAGTCATGAGATCATTGGCCGACTGCGTGAAAATGACGGGTTCGGTGGTGTCTTCGAGAGCCGGAACTAAGGGAGCCATGAACGACGGAGCCATAATCGCCGAGGCCTCGGTTGCTTGGGCCACTGCGTATGCCGTCCTCATCGTGGCCGACCAAGGGCAGTCAGCTACAGTGCTCGAGACGTTGGGTGATGTGGAGAAGAGATCAATGTCCGAGGACTGGCGCGAACGAATTTTCGTCTCGCGATCGTTGGCGACGCTCTGCTCTCCGGCCTCATTCTCGGATAAGTGCGCGCCGCTGTCTGACTTGAAACCAGCGCTGTGCGCTTGGTTTGCTTTGGCAGTGGACATTGTGTCGGGCGGTGCCTTGCCGCTCGCCGTCGCATTGTGCGCACGCGGAGAGTTGTCGATAATGAATCAAGAAGCTAGCTCCGTCACCTCGGTCGGTTGGTCGCAATCGAATGGTGGAGCTGCCGTAGCTACGGTTTTACGAGGGAAGAAGAGGCGCGGCGATGCTCGTGTTGGCGTTGCCGGTGAACAGCTGGGCACACTAATGACATCTCAAGAGTGCGATTTCAGAGTCGCCGTGGCTAAGCTGGCGGCGAAAGAAATAAGTAAGTCTTTTGCGAAAGATGCGAGTACAATGGCGTCCATTCGTCGTATCGCCATGGGATTACCAGAGCACTGCGTCAGCATCTTCAGAGGCTGCTCTTTTGGCAAAGATAAACAGGACGATGAGTCTCGTAGAGGACCACACGTGCGAGCGATCGGTGGCATCATTCAAGCACTCGTCACGCATTGTGCCGAGTGTCTTATCGTTGCAGACGCTCGATCTTTAGCTCACGTGAGTGATGTCTCAGCTTTGACTCTTACTCTACCACGTTTAATTCCTCTTCTGCCTTCATCAAAGGCATCCGTATGGGGAGCAAGTGATGGCCTGCACATCAGCGACGCCTTAGCGGTGGCATTAGAAGAGCGCGCGACGGACATTTTTCGCGCCGAACTGTGCGCTATCGATGGCGCATTGCGGACAGCTCGGCGCGATGCCGACGAATGTCTTGCTTCGGTGGCTGAACGCCAACTCGCCGTGTGCACGTGCGGCACGCTTGAATCCATCATCGGGGCGTCGAATGTGATCGAACGTGAGCGAGCGTTGATCACTTCCCTCGCAAAATCTCTCTGTGGCGATGATAATTCGCCTCTTGGCCTCGCGGGTGAGACTGTGGTGAGGACCTACCTGCCGCACTTCATGCTCCACGCGTTCGGTGCGCCACAAAAGTGCGCGGCGCGGCGACTCATAACGTCGACTCAGCTGGTTTCCGACCTGATAACGCCAGCGAAAACGAAAGATGATGAAAACGTCATCGCACCGTCGCTCGTTCTAGGGTCAGTGGCACTTCCACTCGTTGTTCTCGCGCACGAATCTATAGCTGAGTCCGTGGACCATCACACCAAGGGGTGTCTCGCCGTCGTGTTGTCGGACGTCTTGTGTCCACTTCTTAGCGGATTCAAAGAATCTATGGATTTCCATCGGCACACACGAGAAAATACTGACAAGGTATTATCTGCAAAGCATCCGCAAGTCATAACGGCGAGGTCAACGATTGAACAGCGTGGAGTCGCACCGGCGTTTCCAAAGCCGGCAGCTTTCCCAAAGCTGGCTGCTTTTCCGAAGCCTCATCGTCCCACTTCGACTCGTGACGAGTCCAGCACTCAGTATCGCCAGATACTAGAGATGAACACTGCGACGGTAGCGCCAAGGGCCGTGGAGAACGCGTCAGAGGTTGCTCTGGATGACATGATAAAAGCCGCGCTCAATTCTAGCGCAGTATGGCGCATCTTCCGTGCGTACGTCTCGGCATCGGTTTCGATACTGTCCGACGCTGCGCTGGCGACGCCAATCTCTAGAGAGATTTCCACTCGCGGTTCCTTCCACGTCATTTCGAAAGTAGACGAGAAGACACCGCGAGCGAGAGAGATTGAGCGCTTGCGAGAAGTCTTGACAAAGGCAAAAAAATTGAGCAGCAAAGCACTTGCGCGCGAGCGGAAAGAAGCGGAACGCACGCTGAGCGATGTGTTGACGCCACTTTCGGAGACAGTAACGACGATATCTCAAGAAGGTAACGTTCAGTGGGGTCAAGGCACCGCACTCGCTCCAAATTTGTTCGTCGTGGAGGAAAACACGAGCGAGAGAGCTCGAACGCTCCTCGTCGCCTCGGTGCAATTCCTTACCTGCTGTGCGAAATCGCCCAAAGTGCGGGAGATCGCTCAGGTATCACAGCACTCGATCGCGATCCAGGCTGCGGCGACGTTTTTGCTGGAGCCAGATTCGCGCGCTCCACCTTCAGTGGTAAACGCAGTGAAGGCGCTGACTCGCGTGTTCGGGGTCGAGCGGTCTCAGATACCGAGGCATCACTTTCTTAGAGGAGGATAGATATAGACGATATTCTTGTAGTGCTAATAGCTTGTAGCTTAGAGATTCCAAATGAGTCCGATCTAAAAAGCGAGTGACGTCTATTCGTCGCCTTGTTGGACCACCGGCGCCCCGCGAGTGAGCCAGTCGTCGAAGTCCTCGAAGAGCTCGCCCTCGTAGTTGGAGTCGACCTTCATAGATTCGTAGAACTTTTGACCGACCGCCGAGCGCGCCGCGTTGCTCTTCGCCGCCTTGGCCTTGGATCGCTCCTCTTGCGCGCGAGCTTGCATCTCGCGAGCAACCTTGGCATACGGGTTGAGCTTGTCCATGGCGGACTTGTTCTTGAGAGGGTTGCGCTTGAGCGGAGCGTGGGCGCGAATCGCACCGAGCTTCGGCGCGTTGAGAGCGGACTGAATTTCGTCGGAGTTGATGAGACGAGTCAAGTCAGTTTGCGCCATGATGTTGGTCGGCGGCTTCCAGCCCTTCTTGGAGGCGCTCTTGGAAGTGGAGGTGCCAAAGATGGAGTCAAGCTTCTCAAACGCGCTCTTCGTCCAGATGATGAAGCGACCGACGTGGCCACCCGGGGCGAGCGTAAGCAAGCCGAGGCGATCGACGGAGCACAACTCAACGCCAGGAATGTTACGGAACGCTCGAGTGACGCCGTTGTCTTCCGAATAGACGACGAGCGGACCGCGGCGTTGGACGTAACGGCGGTTACGCATCTTACCCTTACCGGAGCGGACGTTGCGGCTCGCCTTCACCTTTTCGATGTCAGCATACGCGCCGAGCTGCTTGAGAAGCTCGACAGCCTTGGCCGTCTTCTTGATGGAGCTCGCGCTGTCGTCGACGACGAGCGGAACCTCCGGGACGCCCTCGACGCGGTGACCGCGCGCGAGGAGAAGCGACGGCACGGCGGACGCCGCGATAGCGGAGCACACCGCGTAGCGCTTTTCCTTAATGTTCACGCGTCGGTGCCAACGGCGCCAGGTCTACGAATCGCGAAAAGCGGAAGTGCTGGTCAGTCGTAGTCCTCCGTGTCTCGTTCAGAAAGAGCAAAGCCCAAAGCCCTAATGCAAGATCATCTTCGAGCGCGTCTCGCGTCCTCGCTCGCTCGCTGCATCGCTCACCTTGGTCGGCGCGAACATGCGACCACCGCGGCACATGTTACCGAACGCCCCTTGACCGGCGCGGTGGGTACCACCGCCCGGCACACGCGGAATACGAGAGACCGCGCGACCGGTGCCCCAGGACTCGGCCGCGGTTTGGTGGCCGGCACGTCGGTACACGGCGTACGCTTGCCCTGAGAGTCAAGTAAAAAACAGAGTTGTATTTCGTCAGTACTCGTTCGCCGTGCACGTGCATCGATCACGTCGTCGCGTCGTCGCGCACGAAGATCGTCCGCGCCCGAGGTCACATCATCGTCATCGACGTACTGTCGTTCTTCGCGAGGCCGGTGTGCACGGCGTTCACGATGTCAGCGCGGATCGGGGAGAGGAAGACCTCCGGCATGGCGCACGACGCGCCGTTGCCGTTTTGCACGGTGACCGTGGGGAGAGCCGCGGGCATGATGATTCTTTGCGTCGCGGAGAGGCGGAGGGTTTTTCGAGCGAGGCGGCTCGGGCGTGTCGCGTTTCGGTCACAAAGACGAATTTGGTTTTTAATATGTGTGTGTCGGTCTTGTACAGGACGATATTACATATTCATAGAGACGAGTTCAAACGCACGCCGGAAACAAGCGAGGCGTTGTTGAATTTCCCATATTTTGTGTGGCGAATGCCTATACGAGTCACTCCAGACTGCGGCGTCCGAAGGATCTGTGGTACGCCGCGTGCGAGCGCTCTCGCGCGCGTTCCAATCGTTCGGTCGTCTGCGACCGGCGATGACGAGGCTAGTGGTGCATATTTTATGTGGCGTGAATGAATGGTATCCGTAGGATGCGAACGACGACGATGCTTGAAAGTGAGCCTCACGGGACGTCGTCTCGAGAGACGCGCTGGGCCTCGGCGCGCGCCTGTGCGAGCGCCGCCTTTAGCGCCTCCGTCTCCATGCGTAAACCTTCGATGATGACATCTCGTGTGTCCACGGTGGACGGTGTCGATGGCGCCTGACTCGGCGATGGTGTCGACGGCGGCGGTTTCGGGGCGCGCGGTGGTTCTGGAGGACCCGACCCGCTCGCCACCGACGTGGCCACGCGAAGTCTCCATTCGAGATCCTGCGAACCAGTGATGCGCGATCGATCGTCAGTCTCAAAAACGATGATTTAAATCAACATCCCATCGACGCCCGTCACACGACTGGTTCGAGCGCACGCGTCAGATATTTTGAGAAGATTAGTGTTCGACGTCTCTCTTCACCGCTCGACGAACCGTCGAGCGTCGGAGCCCTTGCGCGGTCGTTTCACTCGTCATCCGCGCCGCTCGATCGTGCAGCGGTGCACAAACAACACATCATCACGGACGTGTTGTTCATCGCTCGCCAGCGATCGCGCGCGTCGTCTTCCTCACCTGATTCTCCGCCTCCGCTCGCCGCGCGCGGAGCTCCCACCTCTTCGCTCGCCGCTTCACGTTGCGTCCGCTCACCGCCAACCACACCGCCAACGACCCGAGCGCGGTCGCCAATGGATCCACGCCCGCGAACGCGCGCTCCAGTCGCGTCGGCGGCGGCTCCGTCGTCGTCGCGAACGTCCCACTCGTCTCGCGCTCGGTGCTCGGTAGATAATCCCTCGCGTCGCTGTTATTCGCGCGCGTCATCGCGCGTGAACGCGAACGCCGTCGACCGATCGATCGAATGGTAACGGCGCTCGACGGCGAGCGCGTCGTCGTCGCCCGCATCGCGAACGACGAGCGTCAACGAGTGCGGGAATGTGACTTTTGTACTTTACTTTTCCTTATTCTTCATTCTCTCGACGCTCGTCGCCACTCTTCGACGCGCGTCGCTCCGAAAGTAGATACGCACACAGAGAATCGCACGATGACACTTCCCGACGCCTCAAATCACGCGTGGGCGCAAACGTACGCGAAAGCGACGCGGGATCATCCGTTACCTACGGAATCAGACGGTGGCGCGCCGATACAGTTCTCCTACGGCACCGCTGGATTCCGTACGCGAGCTGAGATCTTACACTCGACGTGTTTCCGCGCCGGCGCGCTCGCGGCCGCGCGTTCGCTCGCGCACGGCGGGCAGACGACCGGAATAGTGATCACGGCGAGTCACAATCCGGCTCGGGACAACGGCGTGAAGTTGGTCGAGCCGAACGGTGGGACGATGCCAATGGCGCTCGAGAGCGTCGCCGAGGCGTTGGCAAATGCGAGTGAGGCGGATGCCGAGGCGCAGATCGCGGCGCTCGGTGAGGCGGCGAGGATGGTTGACGCTTCGGCGGCGGCGGCGGCTCGAGCGAGCGATCGAAAGCCGCGGGTATTCGTCGCCAGGGACACGCGAGCGAGCGGACGGGCGCTCGCGGACGCGGCTCTGGCGGGGATTCGGGCGATGGGGGTCGAGGCGGTGGATCGAGGGGTGGCGACGACGCCGCAGTTGCACTATTACGTCCTGGCGACAAACACGGGCGCGCCGGACGCCGAGGCGGATTACTACGCGCGTCTCGCCGCAGGATACGCCGCACTCACGGAGAAGGATGAAGACGACATGACCGAGACCGAAAACGACACCGATAATTTCCCGCCGCTCGTGATCGATTGCGCCGACGGTGTCGGCGGAGACAAGCTTGCGGGTCTGAGCGAAGCCGTGGAATCGTACGGGTTGAGGTTCGATTTGCGAAACCGAGGCAACGCCGCGGACTCCTCCCTGAACGATGGCGTCGGAAGCGATTTGGTTCAAAAAGCACGAACGCCACCCATGCGTGGTGGGTTCGAGAGCTTGGAGCCGGGCACGCGGTGCGTTTCGGTGGACGGAGACGCCGACCGTCTTATTTACTTTGAGACGCCGCGCTCGCCGGGCGAACCCATTGCGCTCGTCGACGGCGATCAGATCGCCGTTCTCATCGCCGATTTTCTCGGCGAAATGGTGCGCGAGGCCGAACCGTATCTTACGGACGTTCGCGTCGGCGTGGTCCAGACGGCGTACGCGAACGGCGCGTCGACCAAGTTTCTCACCGAGCGTCTCGGCGAGCCCCCAGCGTGCGTCCCGACCGGCGTGAAACATCTTCATCACAAAGCAGAGGAGATGGACATCGGGGTGTATTTCGAATCAAACGGTCATGGGACCGCTCTGTTCTCGCCCGCCGCGAGTAAGGCGATCGAGGAGGCGACTGTGGAGGCGTTGACCCAACGCGCGATGCCTCAAGTCAAGGCGCTCCTCGCGTTGACGCACGCGCAGCGATGCATCAATCCCGCCGTGGGTGACGCCATGAGCGGGATTCTCTTGGTTGAGGCCATTTTGCGAGTGCGAAAAATCAAGGGTTCCATCGCGAATCTGTATTACACGGATCTGAGCAGTCGCCAGACCAAGGTTGTCGTTCGCGACAGGACGACGATCAAAACCGTCGACGCGGAGCGAACGTGCGAGAAACCGCCAGGATTGCAAGAAGCGATCGAGAAAATATTGGATGATGAAGGGAGAGAGAAAGTCAGAGGGCGAGCGTTCGTTCGACCGAGCGGGACCGAGGACTGCGTCAGAGTGTACGTCGAGGCGACGGATGAGGCGACGGTTGGACGCGTCACCGACGCGATTGTTGAAAAAGTGCGGGATCTCTGCGCCTAAGGGCGAAAACACGAAGTCTTAGAGATTTGAAACATCATGAGGTACTAGCGAATCATCGTGTCTCTGATCAGACGAACGCGTCGAGCGAAACGTGCGTGCGAGGGCTGATGATCGCGCGACTTCGTCTCTGAAATACCCGTAACTTTTGCTATACTAAATACTTCATTTTTCCGGACCGACAATTGTTACACCTCGTAGTATAAGCTCATACAAGCTGTGAACGCGTCGACCGACGTGATCCGAACAAGGCCTTCATAGCTCAGTTGGTAGAGCGCACGCCTCTTAAATAAGGCGTCCCGATGACTTCGGGCTCTATATGCACATTTCAACTTCAACCGCACGTAACAGTGTGATTGACTGAATGCTTGACAGTACACGGACATCGTCCCGTAGTGTAAGCGTGTGGTCGCGGGTTCGAGCCCCGTTGAAGGTATCGATTTTTTTTAAGCCCAAAACGGCCAAGGGTGGCCACGGTGCGCGCGGATTCGGGAGTACACGGCTCTTTCATCAAGGGTGGCCACGGTGCGCGCGGATTCGGGAGTACACGGCTCTTTCATCGTACGTCACATTTCATTTTATTTTACACGTGCATCACCGCGAAAAATCCCTCGAAGAGGGCGTCGGATTCATCATCCAAAACGTCATCACGCGTTAACGCCGAGTCCACTCTGGTTTGCGGATGAATCGTCGGCGTCCTGGACGCGACGACGAAATTCACCACGTCGTCCGAGTCGGCCGTATTCGATTCGTCCTGTACGGCCATCATGCACGCGCTCGTGCTCGCGACGTAGCGATCGAGCGCTCTCGCTCCCTCGTCAATGATTTTTCCAACCGCGGCGACGGTGGCGGATACTGCGCTCGCGTACGCCAAGACCTTTGGCGCACGAAACAAGACGTGAGCGACGACTCGGATGAGTTCTCCTCGTCGTGTGCGACGCGCCATCATCTCGTTCGCTCGCATCAACCGACCGTACGATTCACCACCGATGACGCCGAACTCGCGCCAGTTCGCGCCCGCTCCAAAAAGCCACGCGTGCGAGAACGCCGAGCCCTCGATGTTCACCGCGACGTCTCGAGCGGGCCAACTCGCGTAAAACACGCTCGCGATGATACCGAGTGCAAAGACTGCCGTGATCACTGGAATTTGCATCGTCAACGTTGAGGGCTTCTTCGCGCGGACCGCGAGCTCGCGCGTCTTCTCAAAGACGTCCCCGTCGAACGCGTCGTCGAAATCAATCTCCATCTCGTCCACAATCTTCGCCAACATCACTCGGAGCTCCTCTTTCGTTCGCGCACCGACGATGGGAGACTCAAACGCGACCACGGGGGAGCCGAACGAGCCGAATCGCGCGCCGTCCGCGGGCGTGTTCAACGGCGTCGGCGCCGCACGCTCGGACGCGTCCAGTTCGCTCGGCGACGCCGACGCATCGTCCAGATCGAGCCCGAGTCCCAAATCAAACGACGTCTCCAACATCATCGTCGACGCCGCATCCTCCTCCGCGTCGTCTTCATCCACCTCGATCGCGCGCGTCCGCGACGCGTGTTTCGCGCTCATCGTTCCCGGAGTCGACCCCGCGAAAACCGCTCGCGCCACCGACCCCGGCGACGCCCCTCGATCGTCCACGACGTTCACGTCCAACGCGCCGAGCCCTCGTCTCGCGCGCGTCGCCGTCGCTTTCCCATCTCTCTCGCGCGTTCGCGCGTTTTCCTTCGCATCCGTCGTCCCCGTCGTCGCGTCGTCCCACGTCTCGTCGTCGTCCGCCCACCGCAACGCGCGAACCGCGGACGCCATCGCGCGCGCCGTCGTCGTCGTCGTCGTCGTTCGCGCGCGCGATGCCGTCGTCGTCGTCGTTCGCGCGCGCGGGGCGTCGCGCGGTGCCGTCGCGCGCGATGTCGTTCCCCCGACGGTTCGTCTCGCGCGCCGTGGGGTCGGCGTCGTCGTATATAATCACAACGGAGCCCATGTCCACGCCGTCGATGGCCCCATCGACGAAATACATGCGCGCCGTCGTGATTATATACGTCGACGAAATACATGCGCGCCGTCGTGATTATATACGGCGACGCGCGCCCGCCGCGCCGGTGGGGTCCCGGACGTGCATCACACGGGCGTCGTACGTATACAATACGACCACGACCACCCCACCCGCGCCCGCCAGTCTCTCATGGGTTCACGACGGGTTGATTACGGCGAGCGCCCCGCCGCCGCCGCGCGATGGGATTTTTTGAACACCGCCGACGCGACGCGACGCGCGACGCGACCGCGCACGCGCGCGCGCGAACGATGACGGACGCGAAGCGAGCGAAGACGACGGATGGACGCCCGTCGGCGACGGAGGGCGTCGACGCGGTGGTCGTCCTCGATTACGGGTCGCAGTACACGCAACTGATCGCGCGACGGGTGCGCGAACTCGGGGCGTACTCGGTGCTCCTGCCGGGCGACGCGGACATGGCGCGGATCGAGGCGTTGAAGCCGAAGGCGATCGTGCTCTCGGGGGGGCCGAACAGCGTGCACGTGGAGGGGGCGCCCACGGTGCCGGATGGGTTTTTTGAACGCGTCGCGGAGACGTCGACGCCCGTGCTCGGGGTGTGCTACGGGATGCAGCTCTTGGTGCAGCGATTGGGCGGCGTCGTCGAGGCGGCGGTCGGGAAGGGAGAGTACGGGCGCATGCCCGTGGTGTATCAGAGCGATGACTCGTTGCTGTACGGGAAGGGGTCGAAGGCGGGCGATTCGGAGCAGGTGTGGATGTCGCACGGCGACGAGGCGACGAAACTCCCGAGCGGGTTCGTTTGCGTCGGGAAGTCCGAGGCGGGAGCGGTCGTGGCGATCGAGGACGCTGATCGTAAGTTGTTCGGGTTGCAGTACCACCCCGAGGTGACGCACAGCGAGAAGGGGACGGAGATGCTCCGGAGGTTCTTGTTCGACATCGCCGGCGTCAAGGCGGAGTGGTCGATGCAAAACGTCCTGGACGAACAGATCGCCATCGTGAATGAAAAGGTTGGGAAGGATGCGCACGTTATCTGCGCGCTCTCCGGCGGCGTCGATTCCGCGGTCGCGGCGACGCTCGTGCACAAGGCGATCGGCGACCGCCTCCACTGCGTCTTCGTCGACAACGGCTTGCTGCGATACAAAGAGCAAGAACGCGTGATGGAGATGTTCAAGGACCACTTGCACTTACCCGTGGACTGTGTCGATCACAGCGAGCAGATGCTCAAGGCGCTCGCCGGGGTGAGCGATCCGGAGAAGAAGCGAAAGATCATCGGCGCCGAGTTCATCGAGTGCTTCAAGAACTTCAAGAGCGAGATCGAAAAGCGCACCGGAGTGCGACCGACGTTTTTGGTGCAAGGAACGCTTTATCCGGACGTCATTGAATCGTGCCCGCCCCCGGGAAGTGATCAAAAGCACTCGCACACGATTAAGTCGCACCACAACGTCGGCGGTTTGCCCAAGGAGCTCGGTTTCGAGCTCGTCGAGCCGCTTCGCATGTTGTTCAAGGACGAGGTTCGAAAGCTCGGGGCGCTCATGGACGTCCCGCGCACGTTCTTGGCGCGCCATCCGTTCCCAGGTCCGGGTCTCGGCGTTCGCATCGTCGGAGACGTCACCGCGAATAACGCGTTGGACATTTTGCGCCGAGCCGACGAGATTTATATCAACACAATCCGAGAGTTTGGTTTATACGACGAGATCTGGCAAGCGTTCGCCTACTTCTTGCCCGTTCGCACGGTCGGGGTGCAGGGCGACCAGCGCTCGCATTCGTTCATGATTGGCCTGCGCGCCGTGTGCTCGAGCGACGGCATGACGGCGGACTGGTACCCGTTCCCGACCGAATTTTTGAAGACTGTGAGCTCGCGGATCACCAACCAAGTCAAGGAGGTCAACCGCGTTCTCTACGACATTAACAGTAAGCCGCCCGCCACGATTGAGGTGGAATAAATCCGTGGGAGTCGACACGAGGTTATGTTTTAATCAACAACACGTCACACGAAGCACCTTTACACTGAGAATTTCGCGCAAACCGCTCCGTCGCGTCACTCCGCGTCGCGCGCGCGCCCAGGCGGCGCGGAGGGACATTATCTATCCGTTTCTCGCGAGATCCGACCGTTTAAATTTGAATTCGAGACGCGCGCGCACGAGCACGCAATACATGTGAATGCCGGCAAAGTCTTCGTAGTGTAGATGGTTATCACGCTAGGCTTTCACCCTAGAGACTCGGGTTCGAATCCCGGCGAGGAAAGACATTTGCCCTTGCGAAGGCTTTTAATTTTTAATCAAAGAGCTTGCATTGAATTCAGTTCTTCACCGATTACCCGTTACAAAAGTTATTACTCGTATCACATTTCGCGGGTGGACGCGAGGCATTTCCTGTAGCAAGCTTCGCACACGCGCCCGTCACCATCTCTTTGGGGATGACTCACCTTCCCTCGAGAAACCGCATGCGAGCATAGCGCGCACGTGAACGGTGGCTGATTCTCCTTGCTTGCTTTTTGGTAGCACCCAACGCACACGCGTGCACCGCTGACTCTGTCGCGGTAATTTTGTTTCCCTCGAGAAACCGCATGCGAGCATAGCGCGCACGTGAACGGTGGTTGCTTTGCATACAAAGCGATTTGGTAGCATCTTGCGCACACGCGTCCATCGCCGTCTCCGCGGTAACTTCGTTTCCCTTGCATCTCTCTGTCGCACTCAAGGCACTGAAACTGCGGCTTCTTTGCATACAAAGCGATTTGGTAGCATCTTGCGCACACGCGTCCATGGCCGTCTCCGTGGGAGTGACTTCGCGACTTTCCTTGCGGAAAATCTTTGTCGCACCGTCCGCACGTGAACGCCGGCAAGGTCTTCGTACATCGCGTCTTCTTTCCGAATGTCTCTCTGATCTCGACCTCCCTGGTATGGCACACACCGGGCTGAGAAAAGTTCATTCCGACGACGCCGTCCGCGGTGTGCTCGTGCAAGGTCCCGTAGTGCGCGGTGAATACCGCTTCGACGAAGAATCCGGCGCTCGCAATCGCGCGCGCGACTTCCAAAATCGACGGCGTCGACGCGCACGTTTTCACGTACGTCTTCGCCAACTCGACCGCGCTCGCTTCATCCTGTCCGTGAATGACCCACAAACTGCATTGAAAATCAGCATCAGCATGGTCGTCGTCGCCCTTTCGGGCTCGTCGAACGAGTGCGTGTCCTCGCTGAATGTCGTGCGCGCGCCCGTCGCCGAGCAGCGCCGTCAAGTGCTCGTTGATTCGTCGCTCTACATCGACACTTTCCCCGATGTACGCGAACACGAGTCCGTCGTCGGTGCGAATTCTGTAGTGATAGCACCCGCGTACGTTCAGATATCGCACCATCGATCCCGTGGCCGTCTCGACCTTTTCCAAAGCCTGACGCAACTCGAATTCGCTCGCGTCCAGCGCCATCGCCGCGACGCGAACCGCGTTAAGATTTTGACACGCATACTTTGACTCCGCCGCGTTGAGCGGGGAGGACCACTGTGCGTTTGTTGAACTGGTGGTACGTCGAAATGCACGTTGGCGAGACGCTTCATCATCATCCATCATGTCGACCTTCGGCAGCCCCGTCGCCGCGAACAATGGCGCTTCACTCGCGAGCCAATGCGCGAACCTGTCCGGCGCGCACGCGCTCGGTGAGACGCGCGAGTAAATGTCTGAGATGATGCTCTCGAAATCCACGCCGCGCACCGTCTCATTGTTCATGGTCTTGGCGCACAATTCGGCATTAAACACCTCCAAGGTGACGACCGGTGCTCCTCCGAGTCCGTCCCCGGCGGCGCGTGTGACGTATTTCAACGCGAGCGTCGTCGCCGTCGCGACACCACCAGCGGTATCTTTGGGCGCGTCGTTCTCCACCGGCGCCTCCAATCCGACTCCGCTCGCCGCCTTCGGCGCCGCCTCGTCTCGCCTCGCGGCGTTCGTGACGTCGCCGAGAGCGACGCGTGTCGCCTCCGCCGCGAACGCGACGCGCGCGTTCGCCGCATCCGACTCGGCGTCCGCCTCGGCTTTGGCTTTAGCTTTGGCATCCGCGCCACCGCGACCCCCGACTGGCCAACCAACACGTGCGTTAGCAGCAGCAGACGCTTCCACGAATGCCTCACGGTTTCGCTTCCTCCACCCCGCGAATGCGTAGTCGTATCCACCGCGGTATCCCCGCGGCATTGCTCCCGTCCTGCGCGTCCACGGCGGACAGTTAGTTATTAATCCGCCATCGGCGCGCATCGAACGAACGCGTCACCGTCGTCGACGCCGTCGCCCGCGCGCGCGCGCCGCGACGTGAAACAAATCGACGCATCCTTGCGCGCGCGCCCGTCGTCATCGCGCGCTCGCGCGCTCCCCGGCGGCGCGATGCACGCGCCGCCGGGGAACAGCGCGCGCGCGATGCGATCTCGACCGATCGCCCCCTCTCCGCGCCGCGACTCCGCGTCGCGCCGCGCATCGTCCGCGAACGAGACGTACCTTTATTCCCTCGTCGATGTCGTCGCGCGCGCGCGCACGGAACGTTCGCGTTCGAGTCGAATTCGCGCGCCGCCGTCGCGCGCGATTCCAATTCGAAATCGCGCGCGCGCCGAGTGCCGACGCGACGACGCGTCGTCGCCGTCGCAGGCGTCGCGTCGCGCGCGGCCGCATCGCGTCGCGTTTTTTTTTTTTTTTTTTCGCGTCCGCATCGCGTCGCCCCCCGCCGCGACGCGTCGCCACCGGACGCATCGCGGCGGGGTGTGCCGCTCGCCGGTGGCGTTCCTCGACTTTTAGGGTATTTTGTGTTCTAGACCCTAATTCTAGGGGAATTGGGTTCGAAGTTTAGGGTTTAGGGTGAGGCGGGTACGACCGCGGGGCGCGGACGGGATAGAATTACAAGCACGTCTCTCATCGACTCCCCGAATCCGTCGCGCGCGCGGCTGCCGACGTGAACTGGGTCATGAACCGCGCGTCGGCGCGTTTCTCGTCGATACCGCGTTTCTCGTCGACTCTCGATCTCGATTTCTCGTCCATTTCAGTACGCTTCTTCAGCACCTCGTCTCGATCGACTCCCCAAATCTCCACGCGCTCGATCGCGAATCGCCTGGCGCCGTACTAGTTTGTGACGTCATTGATTCACCGTCGGACATCGATCGGTACACGATGTCTTTGGCGATCGATCGGGACATTCGATCGGTCGATCGATCGGTCGATGCCTTTGGCGATCGATCGGTCGATGTCTTTGGCGATCGATCGGTCGATGCCTTTGGCGATCGATCGATACATCGATCGGTGCGTCGATCGATCGCCAGCGGCGACGTCGCGCGGTAACCGCCAGTTCGCGCCCGCTCCAAAAAGCCACGCGTGCGAGAACGCCGAGCCCTCGATTTTTAAGCCTATCAAATTTTTATTTGTATTAACCTCCGTTTAAATAAATTCTGACTATATACGTGCCGTACGTCCGAGTTTGTGCATCACGTATTATCATAGACGAGTCGCTGATTATTACATCGAGCCACAGTTCTTGTCGAGTCCGTTCTCCACCCGCACTGGTACATGTGGATCGGTCGCCGTCGCGATCGGACTTCTCGGAGGTAAAGATGCCGACGACGATGCCTTTAACAATCTCGAGCGCATTAGCGCCGCCTTACGTAGGTCGTGAAGCGGTGATGGATCGGATGGTGACGACGGCGGTAAGCTTCCATGGAACAGCTCCGCCGCGCCGCCGCCATTCACGCCGTTCGCTTTCCCGTAGTTAAACGTCATGGCGCTCTCCCCAGTCGGTGATTTGGCAATACAGGCGCCGCCACCACCGCTGCCGCCGCCACTACCGCCCGATACCACTCCTCCGGGAAGTCCACCAGGAGGAAGCATCGATGCGTCCATCCCGACCGCCGGGTGATTGGAATACGTCCCACTGAGCGTTCGTTTGAGCAGAGATCGTTCCGATCCGTTCATCGAGGGTGATGTGGACATCGATGTCGACGCCCACGTCGAATCACCGATCGCGTACGACGACTGATGCTCGTCCACGCTCAGAGACCTCCACATCGACGACGCCATGACTTCGGACATCATCCGTCCACCGCTCCCCGGAGTGCCCCAAACCTTAGATGGGTGCACCTCGTCTTCCACCCAATCGTCACCGATCCTCGCCCTCTTCGACGCCGGTGATGCCGTTCGCTCGATGCTCATCGGTGTTCCGTCGCCGCCGCTCGTCGTCGAGCTCGTCGGTCCACTCCTCGCCCCGCATGCGCGCTCGCCTCGTCTCTTTGTCATCGTCGGCGACGCGAACGACCCGCCGTGTGCGCCCGTTCCAACCTCTTCTCCGTCGCACTCCTCCCCCAAAGACATGCTCGCCCCGAGTTCGCTCATCGATCTCGACTCCGGGTCTCGCACCGTCGATCTCGAACGCACCGGACCTCGATGTTCGTCCAACGCTCCCCGTTCAGCTCTTCGTCCTACCTGACGATTGAAACCTTCTTCGTCCAAGGCGTCGTCGCGATCGGGCACGTTCACTCTGAGCTTAATCTTAGGCATCGAAGACGTCACGTTTCGATGATTCGATGGATTACCGGTGCCATCGCTCGCGTTGGCGTCCATGACGACGGGGAGTGGAGGCGTCTCGGCAGATCTTATTTCACAACAGAAAAAGCTCAAACATGAACGTCCGTCAGTCACCTTGGAGGTCTCACCAAGACGACGTCGATGCTGCTGGGATCGATCGACCGAAGCGATAGAGGTAACCTAAAAGATGAGCCCGATTTTAAGAAGTGTGTGTCTACGAAACACAGGCGGAAGATTTGATTCACCGAGCTCGCGATGTCAACGTCGCCTAGACGGCGACGGATGCGAAGAGGCCTGGCGACGCCACGCGCAAGATTGGATTCCATGCCGGTGGTGACGGCAACGGCGTCGTTCGAGCCCAGAGGCGACCAAAAGCCTCGATCTGGTTGTACCACCGAGCCGGTGTCCTTGTTCCATCCGAGGACACGTCCGAAATCGTGCTCGAGGACGTCCACAAGGCTTAACATGGACACGTCATTCTCGTGAGCCAACTCTGTGGCGCTTCGAATGTCATCTTCATCGGACTCTCCAGCATGATGAACCGAAATCTTCTTCAATCCCGCATCGATCGAAGTACGCACAGCGCTGGTGATCGTCGCTCCCGAAGGAGCACCGTGTTGCCGAGAGATGACTCGACCGAACGCATCGAGTATGGGCAAGCCGGGCTTCATGCCAGCACCGACGACGTACGCGTCCTCAGGTACAATCGCGTCCCTACACACCGTCGCTTGCCCCCCGTGCCTAGCGATGAGAACGAAACAAATGCGCTTGGCGTCATTATCATCTGCGGCCCATCGCACAGTCGAGGCATACGATACTCTTGAGCCCGCCTGCCGAGCGCTGGCCTCAACGAACGGTAGCTGCGTTGAGAGTGGAATAAGAAATGTCGCCGACCTTGACGCGCGAAACGCCTGCGCCAAGTCGTTCCGTGCCGATCCAATCGATTTATCATCGTACCACGATATCTCAGCCGACGCTAGGTCGGATTTTATCGCACGAATGACGTCTTCACTCGCATTCCAATCGATCAGAGTGGACTCGACGTCTTTGACGAGATGCTCAACGTACTTCACAGCCGCTTCACTACCTTGCATAGACCTACCTAAAAGTAAGTACAACGGAGGTAGAGGGGAGCTTTGAGAAGATGACAGTGGCATTATCGCTGGGCCGGTGTCAAGAGAGCCTCGTCGAGTATCAGCGCCCGATGACACAGCGAACTGATTGTCAAGCCGCTGCATCCTCTCGTCCAAGTTCATAAGTGGCGCAAATGGTTGACCAAGCATGGATCGAACGGCGGTCACTCGCCGCTGTAAATCTGAGGGCATTCCGGCGCACGTGCTCGCGATGGCATCTCGGGTGTTGGCATCGAGATTGTGCAACTTGATCACCGGCGAGAGGAGCTCGGCGGGATATGCCACTGGTGGTCGCCCCGGTTGCACCAGCTGCACGCATTCATCGGACTCCCTGGCGTGCTCCAACAACGCGATCCGCGCTGGGTACCTATTTCTGTGGTAACTCAACAAGCTATCACCCTTCAAGTCCTCTCTAGGCTCTCCAATCTTCTTACCACCGATGTTGGCGTAAGACAGCTGCCCTTGGAGATGGGGTCCACCGAGTGCGACAACTTCCGCGCCCTCTGGTAAATCCATCAGCGAAGGATCGTCGAGAATCTGGCGCACACTCAGAGGACTGCGCAGCTCGTGTCCCAGCGTGCACAGTACGCGTGCCGAGTTCTCATCATCGATTTCGACGTCTAACGTGTACTGATCCAGAACTGCCACCGCGTCGCTCACGGCTGTCCATGCCCATGAACCGCGTGCCAACTTTGAGGTGAGCATGATGCCGCTCCTCCCGACTCGAGAAATGTCAAACATATCCTCAAAGACTCTGAGCGCGTGCTCGTACAGCGATTCCCTCAGAATTTCGGCGTATGCCACGCGTTTTTCAAACGCTGGAAAGCTCGGCAAGAGATCGAACGGCGTGCCCTCCATCACCTCTCGCGTTGATCCGCGTCCGAGCGCCTTTAGTGCCAAGTCTCGTGCGCTCGTCGTCGCGACGCCAAATCTCAACACCTCACCCTCATCCCGCGTCCCCGCCTGCGCGAATAATTCCGTGCCTCGACCACCGTTTGCCTCGAACGGTCTCTCACTCATCGTTCGCACATTGGTTCCCTCTCTCATTAGACGCACCGCGCTCCAGAGCGCTTGCACACATGGTTTCCCCTCGTTGTCGCTCAGCGTGAGCGGGACCACGCGTAATGACGGAAGTGCACCGTCTTCCTTCGTCCCTCTTACCGCATACGAAGTCAGTACGTGTATTGTCGGTTTATCGTTCGCAATTGCGTGCGTCTGCATCGCTAATCTCGACGCACGGCGTCGGTGACGATTCGGCGCGAATCGTGGGAAATCTTCTCGGCACGGCTCGTAGGATTGATATTCCGTGGTTCTCCATCGCGAATTTGATGGCGTGGAGGACACGAACGCGCGAACGCAGTCAACAGGCGTCATGACAGGCGACGAGGCGAGGTAGGACGACACCGCTTGACCCCTCGCCGATCGCATGCCGCACAATGTGGCTGACCCGGCGGGGGCAGAGGGGGACGACGGGGGACGACAAGAGCTGGTGCTGTGCGGAATATGAATAAGATGGCTAGACTAATTAATCTCCTTGGAAGAAGAAATTGAGTATGTTATCCGACGGATCGGCGCCGAGAACGTCGCTCTTGCCGACCTTGTCGAGATCCAGCGGCGCGAGCAGAGACGGGTCAAACGAAGCATCGTAACCAATGTTACCCAGGTCGCCTGGAAGGCCCAAATCATCGGCGCGGAATATGTTGTCATCCAAGAAAGGGTTAACATTCTTCCCCTTGATGGTCATAGGCTGCTCTTTCGCTCGACTTTGGGAGACACCGCCGCTTGAGGAGGCGTTTGACCCGTTGCGCATCAAGTCATTTCCTTGCAGGCGCTTCAAGTAAAGTCGATATTTTTGCAAGTGACTGGCGACGTTCTCTCGCGTCAGACCTTGAATCCCCATGAGGTCGAGGATGCGTTTCGGTACCGCCTTATCAATGCCGAGTTGATTCACCGCCGTGACGAACTGGGTGTGCAACTCTGCGCTCCACACTACTCGAGGCTTCTTTGAACTGTCGATGGCGTCCCCTTTCCTCTCAGCCTCCTTCTCCTTACTACCCTTGGCACCCTTCTTCCCCGCCGGTTTCTTCCTCGCCTTGCTCGAGCCGGCTTCGTTCGCCGCACGCTCGACCTCTTCGCTCTTCGAATCCGAACCCGACGTCTTCAATCGCTTGCTCGGCGACGATGGGTTCACCCCGTCCTCAGAACCGGAGTTTCTCGCTGAGTAATCGCGTCGCACGACGTGTTGCCAAATATTTCTCAACTCCTCGATTCGCACCGGTTTGAGGAGGTAATCCACGGCACCGTGAATGATCCCTCGCAGTACTACGCTCGAATCTGAGTTCGCGCTCATCATGAGCACTGGCAGGTTGAGTTCGAACTGAATTATTTCCAACAGCTTGAACCCATCCACGTCTGGCATGTGCACGTCGCTCAGCACGATGTCGAACTCATCCTTCCTCGTGCGCAAGATGGCGAGCGCGGACTCCGCGGTGGAGCACGCGGTGACTGCGTTCGATGGAAACGAATCGCGTCAACGTCAGTCTGCCGTGTGTTCGCTTAGATAGATATCCACCAAAGTCCCCCCTGAACCCTCGAGGGTTGTCGGGCTCTGACCCTTGGAGGAGGGAAATCGCGTGCCTTGTCTCGGGGGCTTTCGCTCGATGCGACGACGATCATGACGTGATCACGGCGGGATAACTTTGATAAATATATCCTTCACCTCGATCGCGTGTCTCGTCGTCGCAAATCAACTCAAACGCGCGCGTTCGCCCTCGCAATTGTCCGATGCCCGCGTCGTCGCGACTGAATCAGTCCCGTCCCTTCGTACCTCTATATTTACAAGCCTTGAGCATCTTTTCCACAACTTTGAGGCACAGTAAGTCGTCGTCAACGACCATCACCCCCATCCCGGCCGGGAAGTTCTTCGAATCGAAGAGACGGTTGGGCGCCGTCCCCATCGCGGTCCGCCTCGTCACCCGCTTCGCGCTGTGCGGTGGTTGGGATGGGACGAGTCATGGGAGGGACTATTTGATGGTTCATGACTCGACGAATTCAGATAAGAAGATCGATCTGCAAGGATCTCTGCGTTTTCATTGGTTGTCGTTTTTTTGTGGGTTGATGGGAATGGACAAAGCATGTCTCGGCAACGAGCCAGGGTTTGACTCGACGACGACGACGACGTCGATGCGAGTGGGAACGAGAGTACGCACAAGGTTGTTTCATATTCACAAACAAAGTTCCGGGAGCTCACGAGCCTACTCGAAATCCCAATCGTCGCTCTCCCAATTCTTTCCGGTCGACGGTCGAGGCGCGGGCGGCGTTTCACCGGTGGCGGTTCGGAAACCGTCGCGATACGGGCTCTCTTCGTCTGCGAAATCACCATCGAGCGCGTCGAGACCGTCCTGAATGTCGTTATAGTCGTCGTAGCGATCGTCCATGGCGCCTCTTCGTCCACCGTACGCGGAAGAGGAGGCTCGATTATTGCCGACCCCGGCGGAGGCGTCGTACACGTTCGCCTCCAAGTCCACCGCATCTTCGCGTCCATACTCGCGCCTAGCGCCGTAATCCACGTTTCGATCGCTCACGGGCGGAAGCGACTGCATTCGTCGCGGTCTTCTTCCGGATCGACCCCTTCCACCTCTCGGTCGTCCCCCTAAATTGCCCGCGTCCTCGGCGTTGAGGAGCTCTTGTCGTAGAGAAATTGTCTCCGTCGCGAACGCCACCGCCGTCGCCGTGGTCAAGAGCTGTCCGAATAGCATCAAAGGATCTAATCGCCACCCCTGGAAGATCAAGATACCGCCGCAGAGCAATCCTATGGAGCTAAAGAAGACGTCCTTGTCCCTCGACACCTCGGGTCTGGACGCGCGCACTTGATACAGCGCCACCGCGCTCACCATGAGCGACGAACCCAAGACCACGGACGGTCCGAGATCGACGCTCACCAACGCCTCCGTCTTTCTTCGTCCGTCGCATCCGTCCCGTCCTCGTCCTCGATCGAGCCTGAGCTCGGACGACGCACTCTTCGCCCGTGCCGTCAACGTCCCGCCCCGCGCGCGCGTCGTCGTCCACCCTCGCACCGCCGCGCACGTCCCGAATCCGAGGTATCGCGATCGCGACGTCGTCCGGGGGTCCATCGTTCGAAGCGCCATCGACGTCGGCGCGACGTCGTCCACGCGCGTCGAACTCACGTCGCGCACGCGTGACGGTGCGCTGGCGCTGGAGTCCCGTCGTGGGACACATTCCACGCGTCACCGCGTGTGTCGGTGCGACCGCGACGGCGTCGAACGGGCGCGCGCGCGACGGACGGGCGACGGCGTCGAGCGCGCGCGTCCGGCGTCGAACTCGCGATGGCGCGACGACGGGACGTCGCGAGCGCGCGCTGGTGCGAGGTCCCGTTCGCGCACGCGGTGACCGTCGTCGTCGGGGATGAGATGGCGAGCGCGACGACGTCGACGGCGAGAGGAGGGTCGAGAGGCGAGGACGAGGCGCGCGCGCGCTCGGGTGCGATGGCGTCGCGCGGGATGGATGGAACGGTGGAAGGGGGGGACGAAAGCTTTGACGTCGAGCGGTGGGCGTGGACGGGGGCGAGAGACGGGGGGATCGTTCGGTGGGCGCTGGACAAGGGCGCGGCGCGGCGCGCGGGAAGCGCGGGCGCGGCAAACTATTGCTCAGGACACGACGACGCGGTGGTTCGTTTCGTGAAGGCGTCGCGCGCGATGGTGAGCGTGGACGCGGCGGGGGCGATGTGCGCGTGGGACCGTCGGACGGGGAGATGTCTGCACAAGCGCGCGACGCCGCGAGGCGAGGTGAGAGCGGTGTGCGAGACGGCGGTGGAGTGCGGAGAGGAGGGCACAGAGGGCGTTGCCTTGATCGTCAGCGTTGAATCACGTGGTGAACAGTGCAGCGTAGTTGACCCACTGGGCTCGGGCTCTGTCAGTTTGGGAATACCTCAGGACTTTGGAATCGTGGCTGAAATTTTTGTCGACGCGAGCGGCACTCTGAGTGTGCGCAGTGTAGACGGTCGGACGCACAGCTGGCCAAAAGTGGATGCGCTGGTGACGCACGAATCAGTTCATCCGCCGAATAGAAACACGAGCGCGTTCGATTTGACCGGTTGGGGCAGCATCACCAAAGTGACGTCCGAACTCATCAGTGAGACTAACGCGAGCGAAAATTTCAATCACGAAGTGGACACCCCGTTCGGACGAGTGCACGTTCGAGGAGATGAAGCGAACTGCGTGTTGTCGGTGAACGATTGCTCGTTTTCGCTGTCAGATAGATGGAATTCAACTCCAGGTTTAGTCGTCACCTCGTGTGCACCCGCAAAAGGGGGAGCATATGCGCCAGAGTCTTACATTTATGGATACTCTGATGGTACAATTTGCTCGTGTCCATTGTACGGAAGCTCGACCACCTCAGCCAAGTTCAGTGGTCATGATGGCGCCGTACTATCTTTACTGGATTGGGTGGACGGTCAGAATGAGAATTTTTTGATATCTGGTGGAAAAGATGGTACGGTGCGTGCGTGGGATTACCGAGTCTCAAAAAATGTTGCCATCTTGCGGCATCATCAAGGCCCGGTACGATGGATTCTTTCCGCGCCAAAGAGCGCCCGAGAGGTGAGTTGGAATAATATTTTTATCACGATCGGTGACGACGGCGTCCTTGGTTTAGTCTCCGCTGAGACGTGGGCTGTCAACTTCATCATGCCTGGGAATGGGGTCGCTGTGAAGGAATTGGTTTGGAATGCTCCACGAGGTGCTTTAGCCGTATTGAGCAAGGATGGAAGTTTGCACGTTTGGGACATCTTAACGGGAGTTTTAGAACGTCATCTTATTGGCGCAGCCGCTGGTGTAATGTTGAATAGTCTTCGAGAAGGATCTTTTCACATCCTGTTGCATGGAGCTGTTGGTCTAGCGCAGCGCCAATGGAGGTTTACGAGAAAACGACTGAGACCGTTGACATGGAGATGCATGCAGGCAAACATCTTCGGTCTTACCGTTCATACTGACGCTTTACTGGAGCCCGTAAGAGCTGGTCTCCCTTCGCATGGGGTTAAGCGCAGAATTAGTAATTTGGTACCGTCAGCAACGTCATCAATCGCCAAAACGTTCGTCGATGAAGAAGTGCGAGCATTGCATCTATTTCTTGGTACGTTGCTCAACACGAACGATTCAATCGTCACCGACGACGTTTTGGCCATCTTCTTCGCAGAGAATTACAGATCCTCGAGTGTCAGTTTGCATAGTTGTGAAGGTGCAGCGACTTTCAATTTGCCGGGTGTACGTGGTTCAAAAGATGTGAACGTTGATCGCGAGATTCGTATTCTGACGATTGCGGTGATAATTAGGATCATCCAAGTGAGCGAAAGCTTGAGCATTTCATCGTACTGCGCGTTGATAAATGCGATAGAGGAAAGCATCGGGCAGGTGGATGATACGGATTTAGTCTTCTTCGCAGGCTCCTGCATGAGTCCTGTGGAGTGCATACGTCAAGCATCGAGACGATTGCTATCTGTGAGCGTGAAAAAGTCTTTACCGACAACATTTAAATCTCTTGCGCCTACGAACTTGTTTGGTTGCGAGCAATACAAGAGGTGGGACCGGTTGGCTTCTGGTGAATTTATGCAGGGTTTGCTCGGCCTGATAATTTCGAGTGTGGTTTGCTTCATCCCAAACAAAGGCGTGCATGATAGCTGGAAGATCGCTGTATCAAACTCTCTTTTAGAGGCCTTATCATTGCCTGACAAGAACGTCGTCTTCACCGCAGCTTCATTACTAACAGAGGGCATCAAACTTGCAAACTGGTCTTCGTGTTTGAGCGATCCAAACAAGTCATTGGAAGAGGTGTTCACCCTTTGTTCGACGATGATGAGCTCGGCAACGAGTCCCACCGAGTCCATGATCGCTCGTGAGGCGCTCAGCGATCTACTATCGGCTTTTGCTCTGGTCAGTCCGCCCTTCTTCTTTTCTCACATGAACAACCGATTCCGCACGCTCGATCCAGACCATCCGGCTCATGTGCTGGCCTTCATGGCGCTCATACGTGTCGCTCAAACACACGTGAAAACGCTGCAGACGCACGCTGTATACATGATGGAAACCATAATGCTGGCTTTGAATCCATCAAACTTGATACTGCGTAAAAACTGTCAACAGACCGTGTATGTTTTACTGACAGAACTCGGCAAATCTTCTTCGATGGCTTTCCACCGAGAGACGCAACGCTTTGTCACCGCCATACATGGCGCCGTGAAAAATGGGACAGTGATGACGGTCTACGATTTGCACAGTGCCACGAAGTGGCGGAACCTGGAGGATAGTCACACAGATTCATACGATAGATCTTCTGAGACGTCGTCGGCAGACTGGTCAGATCCACTCAGTCTCCTTTCACCTGAAAAGCACGTCAAACATTCTTCGAACGTGTTAGTCAATCACGCAGGATCGGCTCTCGCCACTGACACGGGGCAACTTTCCGTCAAGGCGGTGTCATTCGACGCCGAAGGCAATCAAGTTGCTGCGTATTTGGATAAATTATCATTTGTGTATGTCTGGGATCTCACGACCTCCTGGCGTCACACATTCGCGAGAGGGACTCTACCGTTGGGAACTTCACATTACATGCCGTGCGTTCCTTCCGAAGCGCCGTTAGATGACGCGACTCTGGGCGGATCAGGTGAGTCATCCATTGAATGCTCGCTGAAATTTGTCAAGTCGCGTCAAATTCATCTTGTCCACGGCGAAGTGGACATGGTGTTTAGTTTCGTTTAAGTCTTGGACGCCGTAGCCTTGTAGCGATTTAGATAGAATCGAACCCTACGACGCATTCGTATTCATTCCTCCGACGGATTCCGTGTTGCTGCAGCGCGTCTCGCCGAGACCTTAAGCCAAGCTCTGCGATCTCCTCACAGCTTTGCTCGTCGCGTCATGGGATTCACCGAGCAACCGCCGCTGAGTTCTCTCGGCTCCGGCGGTGGTTTCGTTCCCGGCGCACCGCCTCCGACCGCGCCGCTAACGTGGATCAGTGAGAAACGCGCGCAATCGCCGTCGAGGACGCCCGAGCACGCCCAACCCGCTCTCGCTCCTACGGCTTTCGTGCCTTCAAGCGCTGGTTCTCCGTCGACGCCGATGATTCGCGTCCCACAACCGGCAAACGTGACGATGTTCAACCCGGGAACGATCGCGCACGAGGTCGCGCCCGTCGCTCTCGGGCCCAGCGTCAGCCACACAAGCGCTTCGAGCGCGCCGCTCGCGTACGCGGCTCCTCCGAGCGTGCACGTCGCTCCGGCGAGCGCCCCGGCTTCGTCGCCGAGCGCGTCGACAGTGACGACGCTGAGAGGAAGGGAGCGGTATTGCAGCGGTGGCGCGTGGGTCGGGCCGGCCGCGGCTTGGCCGAAACCTCCGCCGACGGCGACGCTGGAGAACGCCGACGTTTCCCGTGTAAGGCAGAATCATCTGGGGATCGTTCGCGTCCTTCGTGAGAAGTATCACGAAGCGATGCAAGGCGCGCCACCGGCGCGTCTGAAGGAATTGGAGGGTATTTCAAATAAACTCGGTGGGCTATTCGTATTCTTGAACAACACTGGAGCGTCTGTGGACCTGGCGGACGAGAACGCCGTCACCGACCCCGTTGCCGAGGCTCTGGTGACGCTTTCGGAGAGCCTCGCGTCGAACAACACTCCGATGGTCAACTCGGTGTTGCTTCATCTCTCGCAAAGACACTGGGAAGAAGTTTCTTATTGGTTCCCAGCGCTTAAGCGTCTCGCGCGTTTCGCTGCTGAGCGCTGAGCCAGTCGTCCAAGCCGGCGCACCCCTAGCCATAGCATCAAACATTCTTCATTCCTCTGTAGCGAAAGGGATCTCTAGCCACATCTCACTCCTCATACGCTTCTCGTTCCCGCGTCTCTTCGAATGAGATCTCAATGTACCATCGCTCCTGTCTCCAAACTCAAAGTCTCCATCCAACCTCTGTTTGTTAGCTCGATCAAACTCACTCGTTACCACGACGTCCGATCGGGTGATGGCGAATTACGATTCAGCGTTCTCTCCAGAGCGTGACTCTAACGCGCGCGCGCGCGAACGCGCGCGACGATATTTGCGTGAACGTGCGCTGAACAACGCGCCTCGGGCGTCACCGCGAGCGCGGCGTCGAGCACGTTGTCGTCATGGGCGTGTGTTCCTCCAAGAGCGGCGCCGCGCCCGAGGCCCAGGAGACGGAGTTTCGCTTGCGCAAGACGGCGGATGGAAGAAGATTGGGCGACGATTCGACGAAGAACCTCAGCGCGTTCGCTGAGGACAGCGGAATGTCGGTCGGGAGCGAACGAGAGGTGACGAGGGGGGAACCGATCGCATCGCTTCGACCTCAAACCAGGAATCAGGAGATTTCGAAAAAAGACTTCAAGACGAAGAAGAAGAACGCGATCGCGGTGGAGGACGACCAGGTGTTGGAAGGAGACGATGACGACGTGTATCGCTTCGATCAGTCACTGCTAAACAGTGCTCGGGCGGCGATGAACGAGGACGAGGACGCCGATCAAAACCGTAGCCTGCTTCGAAGACAATCGATCGTGAAGGCTCCGAACCAGACGGTCGCCAAGCCACCCGTCGAGCTGAGCGAGCGTCTCAAAAGGTACGAGGCCGAACCAAAATTAAAGGCGAATGAGTTACCGGTTTCATATGGTCCAGAATGGCTGGCACCGCCGGATATACAACGAGAGACGACGGTGAGAAAACCAAAAAAGTACTCCATTGGCAACCTTGCAAGAGGTGATCATAAGTTGGAACCGACGAATTTGACGGACAAAGACTTCTCTGATTATGCTCCCGGGAACGGGCCGTGGTTTAACGGTCCGTTCCCGAGCATGATGGCATCGTCAGCAAAGCAAATGGGTTTAGCGTACGGTAAATTCTGCGTAGTCGGTGTCATCACGTTGTTTTGGGTGCCAAACTTTCTTCTTTACCATAGGCTGCTAATGAACGGCACGTTTCAGGCATATTCCAGGCTCCTTTCTGCAATCTTATCGAGCCTTTTTATGACGCGAACTGTGCTCAACATGAACATGGAGTTGTGTCGCATGTTCTGGCGAGGTTCAATAGTGAATTCGCAGGTTATCTGCTCCTTGATAGGCGCGGTCGGCTTCTTCTGGCAAACTCTGGTCATCTTCACCGTTGGATGGCTGAGCGACAATCGCGGTATCTTTTCATTCCTGATCGCCTTTGGTGTTGGTTGGTTTATCGTTTGGAGGCAAGATCAGCGCCATGAAAAGCAACAGCGCATCAGGACAGTGATGGGTGCTTTCCTTGCGTTGGAAAAAGATGCGAAGCACATGGCCCAACTCATGGGCTCACCGGTGGTTCGTACAAACGACATCCAATACATGAATGCGGCGCCCGTTTGGGCGAGATACCGCCCAGATGAGCTTGTTCCGTGGCTGAACAATTTCTTGACACAGGTCTGGCCCTTCTACAACAAAGCGGCGAGCGAGCTGGTTCGCGAGATCGTTGAGCCGTTGATGGAGCAATCTCGCCCCTCCATGTTGAAGAGGCTGACTTTCAAGCAGCTCGATTTCGGCGAAAACCCTTTCATGGTGCGAAGCGTCTCATATGTCGGGAAAAAAGCCGAGGACAAAGGTATGAGCCTTGATATAGATTTTGCCTGGGCTGGAAGGTCAAACATCGTTCTTGCGGCAAAAACCCACATAGGAGCAGACATTAACATCGCAGTTAAAGATCTTGAGATTTACACCAAGCTCCGGGTGACACTGAATCCCCTTGTGCCGCTGCCAAGCCCGCTTGGTGGTGTCGTAATTTCTATGACAGAGAGACCTATCGTTGAGTTTCACGTAGAGTTACCGAGTGGGTTGGATGTGCTCTACGCCGCAATTGACAAGTGGCTCGAGGAGTTTGTCGCCGGTCTCCTTGGCGACATGTTTATTCAGCCCGAGCGTCTGGTCATACCGTTGAGCTTCAATTTTGATCCAATCGTCATGCCGGACGGCGAGGTGAAGCCATTCAAGTGGTACGACCATAACGTTTTGCAGCTGCGCAACACTGGGGTACTCAAGGTAACTGTTGTGCGAGCTGAGAACGTTCCAAGCGCGGATCTCTTGTCCAAGACGGATCCATTCGTGAAGATGTTTGTCAAGAAACATGGGTTGCAAGTAAACACGACGACGATTATGAACAACGAAGACCCAGTCTGGAATGAAATCTTTTACATTCCAGTCGATGATGTCGACTTGAGAGTGCTCAAGGTCGCCATGTACGATCACGACGTAGATCCTCTTAGTAGCGATGACAAGTTGGGTGCCACGGAAGTACGCATAGACACGATCAAAGCCGCGACAGCTGATGGGAGTGAACAAGAACTTTGGCTCGATTTCCCGGAGCAAGTCAAGGGGAATGTGAAAAAACCGCCCATGAAACTGTTGCTGAATGCACAGTTCATCTCGTTCGGCAGCGACATCGCACAAAATATGTTCACTGGTCTTGGGCTACTGTCGGTTCACGTGATCCGCGGCCGAAATTTGCAACCAATGGATTCGAATGGATTGTCAGATCCTTACGTTAAGGTCAAGGTGCCAAAGTTCACCCTTGATAGTATGGACATGGACAAGGGCAAAATACTGAGGGGCAAGAGAGGTAAGAAGGGCAAGAAGAATGCGGAAGCTCATGATTACACGGTTTATAGCTCAAAGATTCATTACAAGAACCTGAATCCAGAGTTTAACGCCATGTTTGAGTTCTCTCCTGCAAGTGAAGACACGAAGGTGTCGATAGAGCTGTTTGACGTTGATTCGACGTTTCCGATGGGGACTAAGAGTAAATTCATGGGGAATCTTGAAGTGCCGATTTCGACTATCATTCACCACGGTGGATCGATGGAGGCGAGGTTTAAAGTTGGCAACGCTAAGTCGGGTGAGCTAGACATCGCGTTCAACTGGCAACCATACACGTGAGAATTGTAGCAACAAAAACAGAATTTTGTACAACTTGTCGATCAAACATGTGCCCCATACCAGAATGTATCGGGCTTGTCAGGATAACCTGGAATGGGCAAATGTTGCCCATCGTGAGTAGAGGCGAACGTCGCTTCGAGTCGCAACCGTCCGATTTGCCGAACCACTTCCCTGCCCCATGCGAGCGCATCGTTGGACTCTAAATTTGGTGTATGTACCTTCACCGTCACGAACTCCGTAGGGCTCTTCCGCGCCAATTCCAGGCTCGTCGACGCGACTAACTCGTCAAGTGCTGATGAAATCGATTTCAATGCGACAGTTTCGACGCAATGTAGCGGCGCTTGGTGCGTGAAAATTACGACAACTTTTCGATGATCTGTGGGATGCCGCATCAGCGTGGGCAAAACATTTTTAAGAAGAATTCCAACCCCCGCAACGTCCTTGCAAAGCCGTATCCACTCATTGGCGCGCACTTCTGGAATGAGCGGTGTCGAATTGAAGGAGGTTCTCCAGCGACCTGGGACTTCACCTACGTTTGCGAGGAGAATGTCGATTGTCTCGGAGAGTGAATACTGAACCTGCGCGACAAATTTCTGCACATCAGACTCGCACGTCAAATTGACCGTAGACGTGAGAAGACGATCACCGTCCCACATATCATGTTTAAAATCTGCGGCGCACGCGACGGATTGCGTCGCAGCGGCGAGTCGCGCTGAGCTGGATCCAAGAATGGCTTTAGCAAGTGGCGTTCCGCCACTGCCATGACATGAATCTGCCAGCAGGTAAGTTGCGTATCCGTGAGTGCGATAGTAGCATTTCGCGGTGCGCGCGGTCGTGGCGAGCTTACTGCGGAACATGCGTCTTGATCTAACGCCTCTCGATTTAACGAATACCACAAGGTATTTTCTACATATCTACCTCGGAACGTGCTTCGCTGCCGAGAGAAGCGACCCGTGCGATAGTGGGTTGCAGATGTTTCATGCGATCCAGTTGACTAAGCAAAACGCGAAAACCGTCGAACGCAATGATGGGCTCTATGCTTAGACTGTCTAGGCTGATCGCTTTCGGGTACCTCTGACTGAAATGCGTGAGTACAATGTGCTTCACCTGCGCATCTGCTGCTGTTTCCAACGCTTCTGATGTCGTTGAGTGCCGTTTTCTCACTGCGTGATTGTACAACTCATTCTCGAAAGTTGCTACGTGGATCATAACGTCACACCCTCTTGCTGCGCGGGCAAATGCTCGCGACGGTCTGCAATCACCCGAGTAAGCAAGACTCCAGTTGGACGGTGATCCAATAATGAGCGCCGCGGCGTCTCTGCAGTGCTCCACTGGAACTGCCTCGATTCGACTCAGGCCAGTCAGCTGAATGAGGGTGGTTTCTATTGAACTGAGCGAACCTCGATTTGAGTTGGGACCCGACGGCATCGATTGATGCGCGTTGACAACTGATCTTGGTTGCGACTTTGGTTGCATTGGTGGTGGTGGTGGTGGTGGCAAACGTCCAAAAGGACCCGCAAACAAGTCCCGCGAGCGAATGAATCGATACGATGACTTTGACACACCACATATTTCTAACCACTCTCTCAATATCGTTGGTCCGACTAGAGTGAGCGGTGCCTCACAAGTTTGAGAGTGTACATCCAACACGCCACGAACGCCCAACATGTGGTCTGCGTGGTGATGAGAGATCCAGACCATCTTCAGACTTTGCACGATCGACATCATCACTTCACGGCCAAACATTCGCGCTATAGACCCGACCGTTCCCTCGCCGCAGTCAAGCATCAACCATGACTTTCCATGTGATACTGTCGGGTGTGGTAGCTCAACGAGAATGCCACTGCTTCCACGATACTTGCTCGGTTCGGCAGAGCCAGTGCCAAGAAATATGATTTCAGGGTCGAATTCGCTCGTTTTTCTCTTCATTCCAATTAATCCACGCATAAGCCTGGATTTTAGAGCGAGGGCAACGTCTTGACTTGTTTCATCGTTTGGGTCCTTGAGATCGGCAACTTCATCGCGCTTTATTCTTTCCAGAGTTGCTTGCGATGAAGTCGCTAAATCTGGACGCAGCATCTTAAGCTCGTTCAAAACTGCATCAGGCTGTAAATCATCGGGCCTCAGCGTCTGAGCATCCAGTTTGCACTTCTTCGATTCGTTTTTGCAGACACGAATGGAAGCACACAACCCGAGGACCTCAAATCGCCCAGTAAGACCTCCGTTTCGCGATCCATGGAGAGCTTTTGGGATAGGAAAAGCATCTGAATCCACAGTATTCAGTCGCAATGACATTCGAGCGCTCGCTCGGAACCCCAACTCGTCGCATGATCGACAGAAAAAGTGCTCGCATGAAAGTGACTCCGCCCACGACTGGTATGTAGGTGTGCTCGCCACATCTGTAGGCGTGCAGTGGAAAACAGCGTCGATGGCATGACAAGCTTTTGTTGAAAAACATCGTAGTGTAGGAATAGAAGACAGTCGTGGAACGTGGTCCGAACTCTTCGCGTTCATGATCAAGATGCGAACACCCAGTGAATCGGCGGTGTCTTTCAGCTCGCACACATAACCAACGCAAATGGTTTGAGCGGCCGATCTCACATCTGTCGAAGTGCATCGTGCGTGATCGGATCCATCGACTCCTTTACCATCATCTGACCCATCCTCTTCGCTCGAAACCGCCTTGTTCCGCCTGTGCTCCTCCCACTCACACACGAGACACTCGCAGTCGTCGTCCAAGAACAGTGGCCACACCGTCACAGCCTCGTCCGCGTAACACCCGATCCCTCCGCACCGTCGCGTGTTCGAGCGCAGATTCACTCCATGAACCTCCGGATGCACCCATCGCGCGCACTTTTGCGCCGCGCACACCTCCGCCGCCGTGCCGTTTGGTCCCGCCACGACCAACCGCGCGTGTCCGTCCGCCGCCAGTCTTAAAATCAGTCCCGTGAGTCCACCCACCGCTCGAGCGCTTCGCTCGGTGACGAAGCACGCTTTCAACTTCGATCCCGGTCGCGCTCGATGCTCCAAAGCGAGTCTGGAGTACGCCTCCGGGACTTCGAACGCGTACTGCGCCCCCGAGCTCGTGGTCACGAGCAGAGACGGTTCGACGAAATCACCCTCGGCACCGACGACTAGGACGGTGCACGCGCCGGACGCGAGTGGTTCCGGGTTGGACGACACAGCACTCGTCGACGTCGCCGTCGACGCCGCCGCGCGATCCATTGAGCGCGCGCGCGCGAGGCGAACTGCCGTCAAGCCTTCGCGTCGTGGCCGTGGCGGCCGCGAGCGAACGCGTCACATCTGCGCTCGACGGGCGCGGAAGTCGATCTCGAGCGAACGCGGGACGACGACGCGATGGATGACTTTTACGTTCGTTACTACGTGGTGCGCGCTTCTAGCGACGAGCGATGAGGATGACGAAATCGACGCGAGGGAGACGAGAGCGAAGGAGCGCGGGTGCGACGAGACGGGACGAGCGCGCTCGAGAGAGATGAAGACTGACTCGCGAACGAATCATCGCGCGTGCGGTAGGGGCACAAAGGGCGTTTCGGTCACGAGTTCTTGGAGTACGAGTTCAGACCAGACGGCAAGCTGCGGTACGCGAATAACTCAAACTACAAGAACGACACGTGCATTCGCAAGGAACTGACGGTGTCCAAGGAGGTGCTGAAGGAGGTGGCACGAATCGTTAGAGAGAGCGAAGTGATGAAGGGAGACGATAAAAATTGGCCTGAGCCTGATCGCGAGGGACGACAGGAGCTGACGATTGTGTTCGGCGACGAACATATTGAGTTTGTGACATCAAAAATTGGATCGCTGTTGGACGTGCAAAACAGCAAGGATCCAGACGGGTTCAGGAAGTTTTATTACTTGGTACAGGATCTCAAGTGTATGGTGTTGTCGCTCATCACGCTGCACATGAAAATCAAACCCATCTGAGACTCGCATTCACGGCGTCGGTAGTATGTAGGAAAACATAGAAAATCTCTTCATTCTTCTGCTACCTTCGTTTCTAATCAGCTCTCATCCACGCGGCGTATATCGCTAAGTTATCTATCGCCGATCGTCTCAGATGCCATCGGATCGCAATGGAACCGACGGCGACGAAGTAAACAGTAACGGCGTGTCGGTGTCGATGACGACTACGTCGGCGTCAAACTGATTGCTCGTCGAAATGAGTCCACCCGAGTTGAACGACATGACGTCGTCGTTAAGATCCCACTTCAAACCCTTCGTGCTCACTCGCGCGTCTCCTTGCAAGGGGACCAATCCGCAGTGAACGGTTTCGTATCTCATATCGCGCTTGACGATGGTTCTCCCTGAAGGTACGGCGAACGCCGTCGAGTGGTCTCCGATGAGCACAATCTCCAACGATGGAAAATCAAATAGCGTCTTCATGTTGTACAAGATGTGATCGAGTCGTCCCCCGAGCGCGCCCAGGGTGAAGACACGCTTGATTTCTGGTCTGTGTTGCACGATTGCCCGCAGACACTTCACGAAATCCGTCGAATCCTGATCCTCTCTCTGATCGTCTACGCAGCACCCGTACCTCGGATCGTCCCTGTACATCGCCATCACTGATGCCGACACACTGTCCATGTCCCCGACGATGCGATTCGGGTGTTTAAACACCGAATCGCCTGCGTACTTCACCGTGTGTGTCGCTCGCTCGTATTCATCCTGCAGGTCGCGCACTCTGTTTGCGCCGCCGTCCGCGCACACCCTGTACCCGCACCGCATCCAAAGCCCAAGCGCGTTGGATGGAACGTCGAAGTTCAACAATATCACCGCATCAGATGCACACTCTTGCGCTGTGAGATCCTCCGAGGCGCGCACGGGTGTTAAATGATTTAGCATGCGCACTCGTGAAGACGACGACGCTTCGTCTTCGCCCGGCGCGCTCGCTTCTAGTCTGACGGACATCTTCGCGCGACGTCGCGTTCGGTGTCTTAAGGTTAACGTTGAATGTACTGTTGCTCGCGACGTGATCCGCGAGACCGCGCTGGCGCGCATGCGAGGAGTGAGGACGGAGTAAGTTGTTTTTTGTTTGCGTCCGCTATGACTACGCGACGGCTTCCTCGGCAGCGCGACGACCGCTCAATAGGGCGCCGTCGAAAGTGGCGGAATATCTGTGATCACCGGCGACGAAAACGCCGTCGCCGAGCGAGGTTGTACGGCAGAAGTCTGTGGGCGCCTCCTGGTTGGGCTGGGCGTACGGGATGCGGTAGACGCGGAGGAGACGCCACGTGGAGACAGAGTCTGCGCCGAACCACGCGGAGAGCTCTTGGCGAACCTTGGACTCGATCGTCTCGTCGTCTTCCTCGGGAACGCCTATGATTGAGACGGACGCCAGAGATTTGCCCGCCGGGGCGTATGATGGCGCGACGTTGCTCGGGAAGCAACAGTTGTTCACAATGCCACCGTTGTTGTCGCCGTCCAAGTACAAGATCGCGTCCTCTGTTGGAGCCTTTTCCATGGCGAAATATAAACACGTTGTCCCCACGGCGGATTCACTCTTACTCGGACTTTTTCCCAACGATTTTCCTAATAATCTCGCAGCCTCTGGACCTTCACAGGCGACGATGATCGCCTTTCGCGCCGTGATCGATTCGCCGCTCTCAAGCGTGAGTGTCCTCGAAAGGTCCGCGCTGCGCTCACCCACATTCGCTACCTTTGCGTTCAATCGAACGCTATCTAACGCGAGCCCGTCGCGCAATTGCGCGCTCACAGCTCCGATTCCCTTCGCCGGCAAACAGTTCTGCCCGGTCGCGAGCATACGCATGACAAAGTTGAACAACCTGCTCGACGTCGTCAACTCGCGGTTGAAGAAAATTCCAGCCATAAACGGTCGGAAGAATCGGTCGATCATCGCGTCACTGAATCCAAAGTCTTTCAAGCGCTTCATGATGGTCGTCTCACCGTCGCGCGACATCATGTCCTCCAGGCTGCCCAACGCCAGCACGGTTTGGAATCGAACCAGTCCCACGAGGACTTTATCGACGACACTCCCAATTGGATTCGGCAACGACTGCAACCCGTCTACGGGATGACGAAACGGATCCGCGACACGATGAAACGCGCCGTCGAATCTCACGTCCGCGCCAGCGTAGAACGGTTTCAGATCCAGCGCGTCGTAATCCAGCACCCGTCGCGCCTCTGGGTACGATGTGAGAAAGATGGCGAACCCCCTGTCGAGTAAGTACCCGTCCACGACGTCCGTTCGCACGCGTCCACCGATGTCATCGCTCGATTCAAGCAACAGGTAATCGTCACCGCGACGGCCGAGCTCGCGACACGCTGCGAGACCGCTCAGACCACCGCCGATGACGACGACGTCGGCGCTATCCTTTTTCGACGACGACGACGACGCGTGCGCACGGGTCTCGGCGCGACGGCAGGATCTGTGACGAGGCGAAGGATTCACGTGCGCGTTCCCTCGCGCGTTGGTGAGCACGACGGAGGGCGCGTTCGCGCGCATGAAGTCGACGAATGACGAGGTGAGCCACGTCTCTTCTGGCAACATTAATAATGTAATACAAGGCTCACATCTTGCGACGGTAGACGAGCGTGGTGCCGTCCTCGATTTCGGAAATCCGCATGTCGTCGTCTAAGTAGGTGATGCGCATGAAAACCTCGTCTTGAGCGTCGGCGATACGACCCATGACGTCGCCGACAGGGACAGTGGTTCCGTTTAAGAAGTTAAACGCCGGCAAAATGGAGGTGTCATCTTGGCGAACAGTCGTCGTGAGAGACCCGAGTGGGACCGCCACGGTGTTCTCATCTACCACACGCATCTTTCCCTTCGTGATGACCGACCCCCAAGCCGAAACGAGAGGGGCAAAGCCGAGCAAGGGCACGCCAAATGACGCTTTGACGATGACGTCCGAAGTCAGTGTCTCCGCCTTCCCGTCGATCATTTGCAGGCACGTGCCGCATCCACCTCCGAACATGCTCGTCTGGTGCTCGTGTGCGTCATAAAAGAAGTTCGCACTGTCCGCCAGGAGCTTTCCGACCGCCCAGAAGAAGGGAGACGATCGAAACGGGTGCCCGCTCTCCTCGTACACCAGCTCCCACGCCCCGCTCAGGAGCTCCGACGTCGCCGGCGACGCCGTCGGGTTCTCCAGCGCGCCGACTAAAACTCGCATGTTCTCACGCTGCGTCGATGTCGCTCGCTCGCCCCTGGATGAGCACGCGGCGAGGGCGTAGACGTCCGTCTTCAGCGTCGTCGTGCTCGAGGCGGCGACGACGTCATCCATCTCGGTCGTCGCCGTCGCCTTCACGATGGGCTGCGTTCGACGCGCGCGCGAGCGATGATTAGCGACAACATGCGATCGAAGCGTCGATGTGGTCGACGAAGCGAGCATCGTTCGCGAAGTTCGTAAGAAGCGCGCAGTTGTGGGGACATGATAGTGACTGGTGACCGCGCCGGAGTCGGCGGTTGCGTTTGGAATTCAGAGAGTCGTTGGAATCGTTGTAACATTACACGTTCGACGCGCTTAAATGGCGAGCGTGTCGAAAATTCTGGGAACCGCGTACGCGGTGGTGAGACCAGCGGTGACGTCCTGGGCGAGCTCGACGAAGTAAAGCGCGGCTCGGCGCATGTGCACGGTGCCGACAGAGCCACTCTTTTGTCCGGGTTGCTGGATGCGCGGTTTGATCTCTCGCACGTAAATACGCAGAGCGTTCTCGAAAGCAATCTTCGCGAGCGAACCGAAGACGTACACCGTGAGGAAAAGAAAGAAGTGGCCGATGAATGCCTTCACGGCGATCACGGTGATCCATCCTTGTGTCGTCTTCGGAAGCTTTGTTGGGTGCGGCTTGTTGCGCCAGATCGATCCCATGTAAAATGAGAGCATGTAAAACAGGGTCCTCCACATACGACGGTAGCACGTCTGCGCACCCGCGAGAACTTGTCCTCGACTGTTCAAGGGAACAGGGAAAAGAAGAATACCAGCAGCGGTCAAACCGAGGAAGGCAGCGCCTTGCACTGTCATTACTGTTCCCGCCTTGAGACCTGTGTTGCACCACTCGGTGAAAGGCAAAACAAGTCTCAACCCAACTGCACCTAAGACAACACCTCCCTGCATGTTCGCTGGGGTTTCACCAACTGCTAATCGACTCATTACGATCGCTAGCATGTATGCGAATCCAATGGAGTAGTGTGCAATGACCATGTAAGGATTCTCCATGTCCCACAGCGGCACGCTACCGTAACGCCAACGAAGCATGTAGAAGGGCATGGCTGCTGCATTCATACCGGCGATGGACGGCCAAGCGTACACCTTATGCGGATCCAAGGCACCAAGCGCGCTGTTCACCGGTCGCTTACTTGAGCTTTGCGTGCTCATCGTGCCCTTTGTCAAGCAACCGTAGGCACAGCTCATGCAGTACAAGATCATCATCAACTGCGCATAGCTGCTGTCGACGGTCCACACAACGATAGGAAGCACCAAATAATAGAAATTACGACTACCTAGCCACATCGAAGTGACGTGAAAGGTTCTTCCGATCGTCCCGACTTGATCTGGGTGAAGCCCAACCTTGGTGAGAATATTTGGAACCAAGTGCTTCGTGATATTGATTTGCCCGATGATGTAGCGACGGAACAAGTTGTGGCACCACAGCAGCGCGACGAGAAGAGGAACCGAAAGACTCTTCGGTTCTTCGTCGATATCGTTGTCCAAAAGCGACAGCTTCCAAGCCTTCGTTTCTTCGGCTTCTTCTTCTACGAGTAATTTCTTCCTAATGGCCTCAAGCTCGTTGCTACGCATAGCTTTTTCTTCGCCTGGCACCGATGGAGCATACGACTGAGCGATGAAAAGCGACCGGGGAGACAGTTTCACTTGATGATCGACTGACATTCGCTTTTGTGGCATAGGTGACGCTAAAGCGTGTTGAGGCAGAATATCCAAAGCAGCTTCACGAAGGACCGCGAGCATGTTGTCAATCTTGTCAGATGAAAAGTTCGCGTGTGCGCACATTCGAAGAGCAGGTGGTGAACGGTGAGAGGGCAAAATAACCGGGCTCACTCGCGCCACACAAATTCCAAAGCCCTTACTTCTCATGCGCGCGGCAATTTGATGCAAAAGCATGGTTTCGTCACCGCTGCCGACGCCCGCCGAAAGCTTGACTGGGATGACAGGTGAGTCCGTGTCGGCCTCAGTCGTCATACCCGGAATTTCTCCACTCACCAGTGCACTGCGAATGCGCCGCGCACTGTCGCGCAGTTTATCAAGCATGGCCGGTTCGGCTTCGATACGGCTAATGGCATGGCACGAAGCCGTGGCCAGATACGGTGGTAACGAAGCGGAGAACACGTAACCGCTTCCCATCAGGCGTTGATACGCCACCACACCAGTATCACCAGCCACGAAACCACCAACAGAGGCGCACGAGTTCTCCAAACTAGCGCAAATAACATCCACGGAGCCACTGCCCAAACCAACATGCTCGATCAATCCCCGTCCAGTCTCTCCCATGGCTCCGAATGAAAAAGACTCGTCAAGAATCATGCGTGCGTGGTGATGATCCTTCAAAGCGACAAGTTCTCGCAGAGGCGCGCATCGTCCAGTCGAGCTGAAGCAAGCTTCAGTGATCAGCCATCGTCGCCTGACCGGTCGCGTCAATCTCGCGGAAGTCGCACCATCTTCGGTTTCGATCTGAGCGAACACACGAGCAGCATCTGCAGCATCGGCGTGATCGTACCATCGAACTTCAAGCTTTGCCAAGCGCAAGCCAGCGATGATGCTGGGTCCAACGCCTCGATCGACGACCGCAACATCCATTTTCGACGCGAGCGCTTGAATAACACTTGACGCGGTGCACACTCCAAAAGAGTACAGCACGGCTTCACCGACTCCAAGAAACTTCGCAATCTTTTCCTCCAAGTCCATGTGTGGTCGGAATGTGCCATAGAAACCGCGCGGTGAACAAGATCCAAGGCCGTAACGATGAATCGTTTCAGCGCACTGCGATCTCATCGTTTTATCGTGTGTCAGATCCAAGAAGTCCTGTGAGCTGAGCACCATGTCATAAGAATCCCTGAGCTCAGCCTTTGCGTACTGTGCCACCTTTTCGTCTTCGAGCTTCATCTCCTCGTTCACCTTGCTCCCGACACTCACTGGTGCCCAATGAAGGCGCGAAGCCGAAGCCAGAGCCTTTTCTCTTATTTTGAGCGCCTGCGCGACTCGTTTCTGGCTCTCCTTTCGTGCTCGCTCCTCCTCTACCACGATTGATCCGGGGAAAAATCTGTTTGGCGGGTACTTTTTGAACTTCAGGCAGAGCTCGTCGGAGATGTCTGAAATGTCATGCAGTGCTTTCTCCAAATCATCTCGTTTGTGAGCGGCGGATATGCAGAATCTCACACGCGGCTGCGTGATTGGTGTCGCTGGTGAACCGACGACGACAACAGCTAAGCCACGATTGAAAGCGAGTCGCGAGAAATCGCCAATCTTGTATGGCTGATACAACATGACGGGCATGATCGGTGACGGATGGTGCCCGAGAACTTCCAAACCGAGGTTCTCCAAACCTTCGCGGAAAAATTTCGAGTTTTCTCGCAAAGCCGTCAGTTTTTGCTTGCCAATGTCAGTTCCATCCTCTCCCGTTATCATGCGGAACGAAGCGAGAACTTGTGCACAAACCGCTGGCGCCATGGATACCGCCTCTGTGTAACCAAGAGAGAAGCGCTTCACTGCCTCAACCAGCTCCTTATCACCCGCGACGTAACCACCAGCGGCGCCAAACGATTTCGTAAATGTACCCATCATAACCGTGATGTCTTTCGTGTCTACGCCGAGCTCCTCTGTGACGCCACGTCCCGTCGCACCGATGGCACCTATGGAGTGTGCCTCATCCAAATATACGTGCGCTCCGTACATTTTAGCCACCTCAACGATCGGCTTCAGGTTGCAAAGCTCCCCTTCCATAGAGTAAATACCTTCGACGATGACGACGATCTTATTGTAGTTGTACCCTCCTAAAACAGCATCTTGCAGGATGAGTTCCAAGTCACCGACGCACTGGTGCTTGAACGGCTTGATCTTTGCTCCACTGAGTCGAGCTCCTTCGACGATGGACGCATGGTTCAGGGCGTCGGAAATGATCAGATCACCCTTGGAACACAGCGCCGGAATCACTGTACTATTCGTCGCGAAACCCATTCCCACCACGCACGCATCTTCCTTGCCTACGAATCTAGCCACGAGTTCCTCCACTGCACGCAGATTCGAGTCGCGCCCAAGCTCCGCCGCAGGTGACCCGGTGGTCACCGGATGCTCCGATAGCGAGCGCTCAACGACCGGCGTGCAGGTCTCATTCACCCCCCCAAATCCAAGATAGTTGTAGCTACCCAAGTTCAGGCACCTTCGCGACTCTGGCGTCGCCTGAAGACGAGCGAAATATCCTCTGCTGTGCTCTGGCGCGCGGATTGCGACATCGATAAAGTCCTCGGGACTCGAGTAAATCGGTCGGTTAAACGTGTCCTCGATGTTCCCGTACATGTTCGCGATGTAGAAAAAGTCCTTCGCTTTCCCCGCGCTTAGCGGCGCGAGGTCATTCTTCTCCCCGTTCTCGTCATCCGTCCGCCAGTCCTTGATCCCTCGCAAGGCGTTGTACGTGTTCTTCGCCACGCCCTCGGCGACGTACACGCAGTACTGTGACAATGTCGCCGCCGTGTGTCCGAACACGCGGTACGCCGACCGATTCTTCAGCACAAAGTTCTTACTGTCCGCCTTGTACTCCGCGTACTCCATCTCGATCGACGCGCGGCCGCGAACGAGGCGCTAGGCTTCCAAGTATTCCGTTGCGCCGTCGACGATGAGCTGTCGGTGGATAGATCCCTCTCGAAGGGGCGTTCGACGCCGATTCGAGCGCTGTGATCGCACTCGAGGCGAACGCGCGCGTGCGCTCGAGTCACCGCGACCGCGGACGGGGCTTTGTCGTCGCGTCGGCGTCTCACGACCGTCGTCGCGTCGTCCGCGGCGTCGAGAGACGCGTTTCTCCGTTTCTCGAGAGATTTTGACCAGTCATGACTCATCGTTTCGCCACGGCGCCACGTCGACGACATATGAACACCCGCGTGTACCGGAAACAGCGACGGGCTGGTCGTCGTCGTCCCGGTCGTCGTTTTCGACGCCGCTCCTCGACGCATGTCGACCTCGACGCCGACCTCGACGTCGCGCGCGCACGGTGGTGGCGTTGTGCGCGCGCGATGGCGATCGCGCTCGTCTCGCGTTGAGCGTCGAGTTGGCACCAACGCTGCGAGCGCGGATGAATCGGAATTTGAAAATGACCAACTAGAGTCAAAGAAGACGCTGGTGGTGATCGAGTGCGATGGCGCGGTCGTCGACGTGCATGGAGACGGACACAGAGTGGCGTTTAATCGAGCGTTTGCGTCGAAGGGGTTGAACGGGGTGACCTGGGATCACGCCGAGTACGCGTCGTTATTGAGAAGCGGAGGCGGGACGCCGTACGGAATGTGCGAGCGGTACTTTACCTTTTATGGCTACCCGTCCGCGGTCTCTCCGGCGACGAAACGCAAGATTGAGAACGATGAGTATATGCAGGCTATGAAGCGGTTGCAAGAGATTGTTCCGCTGGCCACGGACGAGATGGATTCCGAGGACGACTCTGAGGAGGGACGCGCAAGCGCTGAGGACGAAAAGCGAATGAGGGAAATTTTCCTGCGAGATTTGATCAAGGAGAAGGATAATCAATTCGGTCTTATGATCGATGAGCATGCACTCAAGATTCGAAGCGGTGTGGAGCGATTCTTGGATGATTGCATTCGAGAGAATGACAAGACTTGAAGGATTGACCGCGGAGGCAGCCGCGGCAAAGCTCTCATCGGGAGGGATTGCGCCTCCGCTGTACAGGCACGAAAGTCTGGGAAGCGGTCACGCGCAGAGTGGTCGAAACGCCGCCGGGACGAGCGCGCCGAGTCGCCGCCTGCGATGGGAGGTGCAATCCATCTTGTCCGCCGCCGAAGGTGTGGACGCAGTGAAATATTCGGGCGATGTCGTGGATAAATTGTTAGATTTAGTGCGCCTCGACCACGGAATCAGCCCCAATCAGATGTTTACCCGCGTAAACGTCGAGAACAACGGTCGTCCGGCGCCACTGTCGCTGTCGACTGCGCAACAGCTCGGGATATTGCCCACGCGGTCAGTCCCTCCGCTGCTGACGCACCTTTTACCAGAGCGTTCCGTACCTGCGGCTTGCCGCTCGTATCTCCAGGAACTTCTGCTTCACCCACCGCCGCCGGAAACAGCTATGTCGATTCAGGAGGCATGCACTTTATTTATGAAAACAACCTCAGCGATGCCCCAACTGGAGGTTTTACCTCCGAGCAAAGTGGCAAAGTTATTGAGTCAGCGCGAGGCGAGTCATACGTTCTTCGCGGATCTGGCTTCGATGGCGCGAGGCGTGAGCGCTTTGCTCACGCATCAAGACGAGAACATGCGACGTGCCGGGGATCTGATGATCGATCCCACGTCTCTGAAGCTCGGTTCTAAGCTCACCGGCGACATCCTTGCGAAGTCATGCATTGAGGCGACGTCGATGATCGAAGCGGTGATTTCGGATGACGTACTTAACGGGGCGTTGATCTTGCGCGATAAGATAGACGACCGCGACGACGATGATGGCGATAGCGACGATCGTGACGACTCAGCGTTCATCATGGAGGGAACGGACCAACCGCTCAAACTCGAAAATATTCCAAACCGGTTCACGTTTGAAAATGAGCGATGGCGCGGTCGAGTTCGACAAGAACACATCTCCGAGGCGCTAGAAAAGGTTGAGAAGACGGCGCGTAAGCTTGA